ACACTATATATATATATATATATATATATATATATATATATATATATAGCTGCACTCGTTACATCCACACACTCGATTGGCGGCGGTCTTCTTTGAGCAACAACTTCCCGTGCAGGTCAACTCTTCACCGCACTTCTCTCTTCTTTTTTTTTGTTCCGTACATCATCATAGAGCACACATAACATATTCTTCAAGTTCGTATTCTTCGCCACAGCCATGGAGGAGTATACGATAAAGCGAAAAATCGGTGATGGCGCACAGGGCGTCGTGTACGAGGTAGAGCACAACACCTCCAAGGTGGCCTACGCCATGAAGGTCATCTGCTGCACGGACCAGGAGCAGGTGAATCTCGCCCTCAAGGAAATCAAAGTGCTGCTACAGCTGCGTCATCCCAGCATTGTGTCCTACGTGGACTTTTTTCTCATCTTCAACAGCGCGAAGCTGCGGCACGAGTTTGCCCTGAAGAGCGAGGGTGGCGACACCCCCGTGCAGGAAGGCAGACAGGGTGTTCGTGCGCACGCAGGGGTCGACAGCCTGGCCATGTGCAGTCTGTCGAACAGCGAGGTGAATCTGGGTGGCGCGGAGGGACGCAGCGGCGGTGGCGTTGGTGGTTGCGGTGGTGATCGTGCACGCGTGCAAGGACAGGGCGTTGTGCAAACGACGCTGCTCAACCGGGCCAGTCAAAGCGCCGCAGCTGCCGCGCACTGGCTGGGCAAGGAGGAGATTGCCGTCTGCCTCGTGATGGAGCTGTGCCGCAACGGCGACATGCAAGGGCTGGTGCGCGAGGCTCGTCAACAGTGGATGGAGACGGGCAGCCACCCCATCACCGAGGCACAGGCACTGTCGTGGCTGGAGCAGGGGGCGGCGGCGCTTCAGTTTATCCACGACAAGGGCTTTCTGCACCGCGACTTGAAGCCGACCAACATCTTCTTTGACGAGTACAAGGACATCAAAATTGGCGACTTTGGGCTGGCGGCAACGGTGGGGCTGGGCCGCAACTCGGCCGTTGGCACGCCGTACTACTTGGCACCTGAACGCATGCTGCAGCAGTGCTACGACGGCAAGGTGGATGTCTGGGGTCTCGGCGTGGTCCTACTGGAACTCCTCACCTTGCGTGAGCAACCCATCAACAGCATGGTGCTCGACGACGCCAAATCGGCCGATGCCGTCGTGCAGCAAATCATCAAGATGAAGTTCTCCGCAAAGCTCGCGAACTTGGTGCGGAGCATGCTGCAACGGCAGCCACAGGATCGACCGGAGCCGCTGACGATCTTGCAGCGGCTGGCCGCCATCACGACGACCGCGCCCCACCTGGGAATGTCTGCCAGTCTCTTTGCCGGGATGAGCTGCCCCAAGATCACCGACGCCCTCTGCGACGTCTGTGAGGTGGAGACGGCGACGGTGATGTGCGCCAGCTGCAAGGCCGCCTTCTGCACCGGCTGCGACCGTGCGCGGCACAAGCACCACTCCCGCCAGAGCCACGACCGCACTGCCCTGTCGTCGCTCATGAACGGCCTGAGCGGCACCGCCAGCACGCCCACGTCGGTCACGACACCGCAACAGCAACTGACCCTTTCCTTCTCACGCGGGCCGTCGACGGCGAACAACTCCGACGCGGCACGCAGCAGCATGCAAAACGCCAGTCTCTTCCCCTCCGGCAGCGTCTCCCGCACTCTGCCGCGCGATCGCGAGATGAACAGCAAGACGTTCAACCGCTTCCAGCTGGCGCTGCCGGGCCACAACATGTCCCTGTCGGAGTTCTCCGCCTCGCAGAGCCACCTGGCACGCCGCGAAAGCTCGGGCAACCACCAAAGCCCAAACGTGAACAGCGTCGCCGACACGGTTCTCCGCGTGCCGCAGGACGTAGCGAGTCTCGCACAGGCGCTGCAGGTGGTGGAGTCGATGCCGCACATCCGTACCGTTGTCGTGGGGAGCAACACGACCCACACCGTTCCGCTGGTGCTCACGTCGCGGCTGCCGGAGGGTCTGAAGTTGGTGGGGGAGTCGCCGCCACCGATGCTGGAGGTGGCGGACAGCCCGTTTGCCCTCCACTGCCAGTCCGGCAGGGGCACAGTGGAGAACTTTATCGTGCGCCACGTCGGTCGCAGCCACACGAAGCTGCGGGAGGTGGACGTGAACCACCGCTGCCCCGACGCCGGGCCGGGGGTGAGTGGCGGGAGAGGAGGTGCCGCCGCCGCAGCAGCGAAGAAGCCGTCCCGCCCCACGGCGGTGTCGATTACGGGTGGGGAGTGGCGCTTACACAGGTGTCGCGTCTCGTGCGTGGAGGGGAGCGGGGTGACGGTGGGCGGCGGCAAGCACACGCGTATCGGTGGTGGCCCGGCTGTGACGCCCACCACCACCGGAGCCGCCGCAGAGTCACGCCCCTCGCCGTCTTCTTTGCTTGGCCACGGGCAGAGGAGCGGGGTGGAGGGCGACGACGAGGACGAGGAGGACGATGGCGCAGGAGTCACCTCGCGCCGGCCATTGGAGCCGGTGATCACCAAGTGCACCTTCATCGACGTCACCACGGCGGGGATTGTGCTGATGGAAAAGACGCGGGGCCTCTACGAAAACAACACCTTCTCCGGCTGCGGGTTCGCGGCCTTTTTGCTGAAGAAGGAGGCGACGCCGCGCATTCGCGCCAACCACATCACCGACGGCGCGGAGGCCGGCATCTTCTGCCAAGACGCCTCGGGGGTGATGGAGTACAACGTTGTCGCGCAGAACGCCGGGTGTGGGGTTGTGGTGAAGGGTGCGTCGGCGGCACCGGTGATCCGCAAGAACCGCGTGCTGTCGAACGGGCAGGCCGGAGTGTTCTGCTGCGACCACGCCGCCCCGTTTGTGTCGGACAACGAAATTCGCCGCAGTGGGAAAGCCGGCGTGCTGGTCAAGACGAGCGCTGCGCCGAAGATCACCAGAAACATGATCGAGGACGGCAAAGAGGCGGGCATCTACGTCTTCGACAAAGGCGCCGGCATCATCGAGGAAAACCGCGTCCGCATGAATCAGAATGCCGGGCTGCTCGTCACGACGGGCGGCAATCCGCACGTCATTCACAACACCCTGACCAAGAACGCGTACGAGGGGGTGTGGGTGTGCAAGAAGGGCGGTGGGACCTTTTGCGACAACGACCTCCGCGGCAATGCGAAGGGTGCGAAGGATATCGAGGCAGATAGCCGCGTGACCTGGGTCGGTAATCTGGAGGAATAGGTCTTCTTTTTTTTTCTCTCTCTCCATTCACTGCGTGATTGCTTATGTTTGGAGCAGATCTTGCAGGACGTTGCGTCCAACTCATTTTGCCTTTTCCCTAGCAGAGCGAGAAAACTCTTATTCGCTTTTGCGCTACACTTCTTGAGCTTTTTAGATCCACTTATATTTTTTTCTGGTTAGATCACTCCCGTCTTCTTACACTTTCACCCTGCCCCGGAAAATGCTATTCTTCATCTTCTTTTTTTAGACCCTATGGTTGTGCTCTTCGCGTGAACGTGTGTGTTTACTTGAACGAGGTCGCAAGAAAATCGGATTTGCCGCGAAGAGCTTAGCGAATGCAATCACAGCTTAACCCAATCCGAGTCACTGTCACTCCCTCACGCTTCAAATCTCTGTTTTGTATGTGTGTCTGTGTGTGTGTGTGTGCCTTTTCCGAGGGTAGGTTCCACGTTTTTTTTTTTTTACTCCCACACCTTATTTACATGTTTTGACACATGTTATTATTATGTTTTCTTTTCCGCTCAATCCGCACCTTTTGTTTCATAGAGTTATTGCGTTCGATTTGCCGCGGATGCTTATGTGGATATTTATGCTTTTTCGTTGTAGATGAGTGCATTATTGTACTTCGCCAAAAAAGGAAAACGAATGCGCTCCATCAGAGCGTGTTGGGGATCCGTTCAAAAATGAAAACAAGGCAACAAGGGGAGGCGATGACTTCGCGTCTCTCTTTTCTTGTTTTGTAAACAGCGCTCGGGCTTCTGGATTTGTCTCTTTGGGTTTTTGCCTGTCATGTGTGATGGACGAAGCAGTGCAACTTTGAAATTTTCCTCTGTGCCTTTTTCTGTTGTTTAAAGTTCTCGTCGTGTTGGTTTCATCTCTCTTCTCTATTGTGACACCCACCGGCATCGTTAATAGGAACAGCACACACACACACCCACACACACCAAAGGATCGTTGAGCGCAGAATTCTCACATGTGGCGAAGACTACCTGCTGCGTGCACTCCCTGGGTGGGTCGACGCTTGCGCTTTCCCACACGTCGCTTCAGCGCCACAACAAGCGTCTGCCGTGCCACCTCACAGCACACGTCGCCCCCGGCACACGATGACTTCTTCGTCGACATCGACAGTCTCGCGGGTTTTAGCGACGCAGCAGCGCCAGTGGACCGTTCTCCCGGGCAGCAAGCGGACTCTCCTGCGCACCCTTCATCGACCAGCAATGTGTTAGCCCCTGATGTACTGGGAGTGATTCGACACATTCCCGAGGAAGAGGGGGCGCGGTTCTCCCGACTGCAAATTCAGCTGGCGGCCAGCGAGAACGAGGCAGGATCGTACGGAGCGCGAGTGCGGTCTAACACGCGCGCCGGGCTGGAGCTAGGCGAGGAAGCGCGATACGCGGACCGGTGCGCTGTTTCAGCGGAGAAAACGAAGACAAGTGAAGGAGCAAAGGAGAAAGAGGAGAGCTCCGAAGGCGGCATCTCTGCCCTTGAAGGGATACATCCTGGTGATGCTCATAAGGATGGCAGTCGTCTGCCCGATCCCACGCACCTGCCTTACGATGACGAGCGCTTTGCCGAGATGCTGCTCGAGATGGAGGTGAACGGCGTGATTGACGAGACCTGGCAGGACGCCAACAAGGCCTACATCGAGGACGTGAAGGAGATAGCGGACATTCTAGCCTCCCTTAAGGTGCGCGACTTGTGCTGCATCGACGTCTCGGAGAAAACGTCCAACTTTGATTACATGATGTTCGGCACGTGTGAGGGGGCTCGGCACATCCACCTTGCCGCCTGGGCTGCCCAGGACGCGGACAAGGTGCATCGCGTTTCCAAAATTAAGCGGAAGCAAACGGACGAGCTGTGGGAGGTGGTGCCGCTGGGGCGTATCGTGCTGAACCTCATGGTGGAAAGCTTTCGGGAGGAGATGACGCTGGAGCGAAAATGGGCTGTGACGCGCGCCATGGACCCGCTTACCGCGGCCAACGCCCCCATCAGCGAAGGTCGTCAGGTGAAGGCACACGGCCTATGGACGCTGACGCTGAACTTGCAGGATCTGGAGGACTTTGAGGTGGACTACTGCAAGGACATCCTGATGCGCCAGATGTAAGGTTGCGCTGGCCTTCTTCCTTATGTTGGTAAACGTGTGGGTTTTTTTTTTCTTATTCATTAAAGTGGGTGGCTTCTTAAGGGTGCGGCTCGGGGCTTTTCTCTTTTTCACTCTTCACAGTTGCGTTGTGAAATGTAATGGCAAGTAGAGACTTGTGGAAAAAAAAAAAGCAATCATGTCGTGCAGCTGCAACAGAGCAGGAGGAACGAATTCCAAAGGGGGACGTTGTCTGGCACGGCGGATTTGATGCCATTACTTCGCCATCCTTCACCTTTGCGGGTATGCCTTGTTTTGCGAGTACATCATCGGCACAAAATGTTATCCACCCTTCCGCTTTATCTCCCCTCGCTCTTTGCTTTTTTTTTTCCGATTAAGTGTCCCTTTCCGTTAGAACAGCCGCACACGCTTTCAAAGGGAGACCAGCACAACACCCTCCCCTCTCTATCTTTATTGTTTGATCATTCAGGGCCACTGCCTATTTACGGATACGTAGACTTCAGCGCGTCAGCTGTCTGAAATATACACACACGCACACCAACGAACAGACAACACCAACTAAGGACAAAACACACGACGATGGACCTGCAGCGGACGCCGGTGGACAACACGCCGTTGCTGGTGAATCTTCTGCGCCTCATACGCGATGCGCGTTCCCCCAACTACAAGGACCACGAGAAAGGTCCGGTGACGTTCCACTTTGGTGGCCTCAGCATGCGAGACACCGGCGGCTACACGCAGGCGGAGGAGCTGTGGCGTCGTGCAAGTGCCCGCCACAAGGCCAACGCCGACAACAGTAGCGATGGCAGCGGCGCACCCTTCCGTGGGCCGATGCACCTCGCGGTCTACCTCAATGACGCTCCTGTGGAGGTGTGGACGCTGCAGGACTTCCGTGACCCCTCCACCGAGCACTCCGTCCCCCGCGACTATGAGCAGTTGGAGCAGCTCAACACACTGGTGCGCGTCCTCTTCGCCCACCTGCGCAGCCAGGAGATCTACGGCGTTGTATTGCAGAGCTGTGTGACGGCGACAGATGATGCGGCCCTCACGCAAACTGACCTTCGTGACGGGCGTGCTGCCGCCTCTCCTTCGTCTCCTCTAGGGCGAGAAGCCACCGCCTCAAGCATACGCGGTCCGCAGTCACCTTCCAACCACGTCTTGCTGCGGCTCTTCCAAAATGGAGCCGACGACTGCCCTCGCATACCGGTCACCGCACAGAAGCGGTACCTATGGTCCAGCGAGGACTTCGTGCGTGTGGACGCGGTGATGAACAAGGCGTGGCGCTACCAAGCCGCACCGCCTCTCTCTGCCTTCCCTGCAACGGCCGCCGCAGCTGACCCGATCAGCGGCGCAGCGCAGGAGCGCTCGTCACCGATCATGACCAACAGCAGCCGCGCCTCCCGCGCGCAGACGGTCGACAGCGACGCTCCTTCGCCGTCCACCTCACCGGAAGTGTTGGGCTCGCTGGCGAAGTCTTCGCTGCCCACGCCGCACCTCGCGCCAATCGGCACGTCGCCGTCCTCCATCAACCGACACTCTGGAGTGAGTCCGATGCGTCACATCTCCCCGCTGTTGATGCACCAAGGCAAATCGTCGACGCCGGCTTTGCTCGACTTCGCGCTGCCACCGCCGGAATTGTCGGAGCTCTTCGACGGTGAGCCGACACGGCAGTCCCGCTCCAGTCCGCTGGGGCAGCGCAACCCGTCCATGTTCACTTCGGTGGTGGGGAACCCAACTGGCAAGTCGAATACTCTTGCCTCGCAAGTTCCCACGCCTGCCGTTCCCCAAGGCGCCGCCGCGGTGGCGTCTGCGGTGGGGCACCTGGAGGACGTGATGTGGCTATCCGACGCGTTGCATGTACGGCGGATGGGCACGCTGGTCAGTGGGGGCAAGGACGGAGCTGTGGTGTCCACCTCTCCGTTTTCGACGCCGCTTGGCACGAAGCGGAGGCTGGGCTCCGCCAGCGGTGGTGGGCTGACGTCGTCTTCGCCGACGCAGCCGCAGATGGGCTCCCTCCTCGCAACCGTCCCCGTCGGGGCGCTCTCTGCCTTGGACCTGGACAGCCAGCTCGGGTGGAGCAGCGAGGAGTTGGAGGACTTCCACCTCAACGTTGGCGCCCTCGGTGACGGTCAAGAGCGTGACGCGACGCTGGGCAACTCTACATCTGACGCCACCACAGAGCAGCTCATGTCTCTTCTTGGACTGTGCTCAAGTGTCAAATTGCACCACGTTGCGCCGGCGCCGTTTGGTGATTTGGTAATCGCGCTGAACCTGGAAGACCCCACCACTTGAAGTCCGTTCCCCCCCCCCCCCTTCCCATGGTATTTACATATATCCACTGCTTCTCTTTATTATTATTATTATTGCTCCACCTGTCTTCTGTTTTTTTTTTCTCTTCTTCTTGTTTAGCTCCCCATGAGACGGCTGTCGTCATTGCTTCTCTGTGTTGATCGAGATGGTTGAGAACGCCATCGTATCTGCAAGCGTCCTTTTTTTTCCCAGTGAACACGTTCGTTTGTGCTCTATCGTGAAGGACGCGCCTGCCCCCTCAAAGGAAAAAAAATGCTTTGCTTGCTAAGTAGTGTCACATGAAATCGGAAAGAAAAAATCCGCTTTTGTTGTCAAAGAAACTGAAGGGCGTGAGGTCGTACTGTTTAACTGATAAACAGACCTTCAGCTGTTGTCAAGTGAGATGCGTCACGTATGTTCCTCGTCCACCAGCGCACGCATAGAACGCGGAAGCTTCTGCTGATCTTGTGACTATTATTATGAATCCAATCCGGACAACGTTCCACTGTCTCGCCCTCCTTGTGTTCCTCTTGTGTCTTCATTTTCCCTCAATAGTGCGACGTTTTTCTTGTATTTGCTGTTTTCGTTTTCTTTCGTTTTTCGAACAGCCTCAAGTGCCGCATTGTACCACTACCTCTTTGTTCTCCTTTTTCTTTTTTCAACGTAAACCTCTCTTCTGGATTCCCGCTTTGGCGCACTACCGTTGCTGTGAAAACACAAGGAGCTAGTGCTTCGCGCGTTTATTATTATTATTGTTGTTGCATGCATTCCTTTCCCCTCGCCTTTCCAGGCCGCATAGATTGTCACGTAGAGCAAAAATAACCCCAAAAGGAAAAAAAAACTGGTAGGGTATCATGTCTGCGCTTTGGTCTCGTTTTACGAGCAAGCTGAAAGACTCCGGCTACACCCTCAACGACCTCGTCTACTGCAATGAGGACCTTTTTCTCACCATCGCCGAGGACATGACGGAGTTCACGCCGCTGCAGATCGCCTCGCTCGCCAAGGAGTGGCAGCGGTGGATGCAGAGCACGTCCCCTGCGCAGCAGCAGAATTCAACGCTCAGCACCTCGCTTCCTCCTGCGGTGTCGCGTAACCGTGCTGCTGGTGATACGGCAACGAGTCGTTTGCCAAGTCGCGGCAGCCCCCCACGGGACGAAGCGTCGTCAGCGTCAGCGTCGCGGCTATCGCCCAGTAAGTCGTCGCTGAGCGCTGCGCTGCGTGAGAACGCTTTTAGCCCGCCGCATCGATCACCCACGAAGATTAAAGGCGAGGTCGACTACTTGCTGACGAAGCTGGCGGCGCAGACCGGCGAGGAGTACCAGGTGTCGCCAACGGAGGGACTGGTGGCGGTGGAGGCGTCGCCGGAGGCGTGGAGTCCGTTCATGGACCGCCTCGCACGGATGCACCCCACGCGGCCTCCCGTAAATGCAGGCGGACAGCAGGAGTCGGCCACGCAGGAGCTGCAACTACTGTGGAAGCTGTGCAGTCCAGCGACGCTGAGCAAGATGGAGAAGGCCTGCGTTTCCGGCGCGCCTTTCGGCTTGTCGAACCACGACGACACGGATGGGCTGTGCTCGAGTGCGGTGGTGTTTTACCACCGGGAGGCCACCCGCCTTTCCGCCTCCGCGCACGAGCTCGGCGACCTCTTCCGCGCGGGATGGGCACTTGTCGCCTTCGACGTCGCGGTGGGCAAAGCGCGGACGGTGACGAAGGACGAAGCACAAGACCTCAACGCCAACCTCTACCGCTTTTCGATGGAGCAGTGCCTCGAGATGCTAGAGGATGCCGGCTTTGATTCGTTCCACATTCCCTCGAGGAACGCAGTGGCGGTGTGCCACATGCACCAAGCGATGCCCCGCTTTGTGGTTTATGTCACCCCGATAGAACCGGTCGTTGTATCGCGTCGCCTGGGCGACAAGACGGCGGATGCCAACGGTGCGAAAGGTGGTGGCGCAGCGTCTGTGTCGCCTGCTGCCGTCCCCACGAGGGCGCCACCGGTCCCTGCGGCTGCCGCGCCTGATCCTTCCGCCGGAGGCGCACCGCCCGCAACGTCACTGGTGCGGCGCGTCGGCGAGGACCTGCACTGCACCGTGCACCCGACCAAAACGGTGGAGTTCTGGTCCTTCACCGAGAAGCGACTGCTGTGTAGCCACTGTCTCTACTACGACGGCTACTCGCAGGAGAACTGCATCCCGATCGAGCAGGCCGCGCGCGAGGAGGTGCCGCGGCTGGAGCGCTGGGTGCAGAACGCGACCACCTTCACCCAGGAGATGAAGGGCGTCTTCGACCTGCTGGAGGCGGCCCAGACGGACGTGTCACAGTCGCAGGAGCGGGTGCGCAGCGACATCGCGCAAAGCTTCACCCGGCTGCGGTCCCGCCTGGACGCATTGGAAACGAATCTGCAGCAGCAAGGCCAGCAGCGCGCGCAGCAGAGTCACGCGACGCTGCAGGACACACTTTCCCGCATCACGGCGTTGCTGCAGTTTGTGCAGGACGTGGTGCGAGAGGCCGACTACCCGATTGCCGCGTACCACAGCGGCTCCGTGGACGTGACCACGTGCATCTCCGTTCTGCGAGGCACGCAGCGTGCGTTTGGGGCGTGGGAGGCGGTGTTGATCCCGTCCTACGAGAATGTCAGCGTTGTCGACGGCGGGGCGGTGCTGCAGCCGGTGGAAGAGGCGCTGAAGGCGGTGCAAGCCGTGATGACCGAGCCGGGAAAGATTCAGCTGCCTGAGGCAATCGACGTGAACTACCTCAAGGTGGATTGCGATGTATGACGAAGAAGGGAGAGGCTACGATGGTTGTGGGGACGAGTAGCGCTTTTTTTGTTTGTTTGTTTGTCTGTTTGTGCGTCGTTCGATGTTGGCGTTGGTACGTGTCGCCTGTGATGGCCGTCATAGAAGAGGAAAAGAAAACACAGAACTCTCGCATGTTGGCGCAACCGCGTGCGTCTCTGCTGCTGTGCTGTTGCGGCCCTTCTATACAGAGGAGAAGAAAACGGGGACCTCCGCCGTTGTGATGGGACAACAAGAACGCCGTAATTTGCACTTTGTTGACGGCACACCTTCTTCTCCTTCGCTTTTGTACTGCTGGCCATCTTCCTTCCCTCTCTGTCTCAAACAAATATCCACATCAAATCATCGCTGGGAAACGTGGCCGCTTAGCACAGTGGCAGTGCACCACTCTCGTAAAGTGGGGGTCGCGAGTTCGATTCTCGCAGTGGCCTGCCTTTTTTCCCGCGGGCCCTGGGCCTCGGCGGAGGAGGAGGCGACAGAGGAAAGGCGCGGATGGGAAAAGCGGAAAGGCAGAGCAAACGCAGAAGGCGACGGAAAACGCGCGCCGCCGCGACCACGCATCGCGCGGGGGACCAAACCCGCAGCCACCGGGCCCCGCCGCCTCCCTGCCGGGTTCTTTTTTGTTTTTTGTTCAGCGCTGGAAGCTCTCCGACGTCTTGTAAAAAAAAAGAAGAAGTACTACCACTATCAAACAACAATACAATGAAAGGAGGAACGAGAGAACGACTTGAACGCGGTGAAAACTTTTCGAAATACTCAGGAGGGAAAATAAATAAGAATAAAAACTGAAGGAAGAATCGAGATCGAGAACCGAACCCATTCCCATGCATCACCGCACGCTGTTGAACACCGCCGTCATCTCAGCCTCGCCAAAGATGACGGGAACGGGGTAGAACGGGTTGGCCTCACGTAACGCATGGCGGACAAGGAAAGGAATATCCTTGTCAAGGATGCGGTAGCGTTCGTCGTTGGCGCCAAGCGTCGGGGGGATCTGCATGCGCACGTTGAGCTCGCGGATCCACGCAATGAAGTTCTTGGCCTTGTCCTCCTCCGTTACGCCGCGAATCGCTGCGGCGTCCGCGAGGCGGGCAAGCGGCTTGTAGATGGTGCTGCCGTACATGTCCAGCACGCGCGGCAGTATCACCGCGTTGGCGAAGCCGTGCGGCACGTTGTAGAGTCCACCGACGGCGTGCGCTGCCGCGTGCACGTTGCCGACGCAGGCCCGCGTGAAAGCCACCCCACCGAGGAAGGCGCCCTCGAGCATGTTCTCGCGCGCCTCGATGTCGTCTCCCTTTTCGTAGGCACGGAGGAGATACTTTGCAACGAGTTCTACGGCGCGTATCGCAGCCTGGTCCGTCTTGGGGTAGTGGAAAACGTTGATGTACGACTCGACGGCGTGGGTAAGCGTGTCCATGCCGGTCGTCGCCGTGATGAACTTTGGCAGCCCGACGGTCAGCTGTGGGTCGAGAACGCAGTAGCGGGGCGTCAAGAATGGGTCCATCACGGCAAATTTGTCGTTGTGCGCCGGATCCACCACGACGGCAGCGATAGTGCACTCGCTGCCGGTGCCAGCGGTAGTGGGAACGGCGATGATGGGTGGCAGCGGCCACAGAACGCGCAGAATCCCCCGCATCGAGCCGAGCGGGGTGCGCGGGCGGGCTTGCCGCACACCCACCAGCTTCGCACAGTCCATCACGCTGCCGCCGCCGACGGCGATGATGTAGCCGCATTTATTCTTTTTGTAGAGCTCGTTGGCGTCTTCCACCATCGACAATGTTGGGTTGGGGAGCACGTCCCCGTAGATCGCGAGCTCCGCACCGTGCTTCTTCATCTCGCTGATTAAGTCATCCGCCAACCCGAGCTTCATGATGGCTGCATCCGTCACCAGCAATCCGCGCTGCAGCTTCACGCTGTGGACAAACTTCGGCAATGAAGAGAGGGAGCCCGCGCCTTTGATGACGACAGGCGTGCGCCATCGGATGACATGGCTGATGAGGTAAATCACGCAATGGTAAGCGCGGCACGCCACGCGCCAGTACAGCGGCACAGGCATTTCTACTAATCTGCTTTGCTGCTGCTGTTCGCTTGAATCGAATGAGAGTAGTTCGTGGAGAACGTTTTTCGAAGAGAAGTCAAAATGAGAATTCGTCTTTAAAGAGGGCCAAATTACTTCGCGTTGGGTAACCCGGGGGAAGAAAAAAGAGCCGTGGCGGTGGGAAAGAAAGAAGCGTACATGAAAGAGGAAACAGGAGACTATTTTTAAAGCCGTGTTCTTGTTAAAGGCGGTAGTCAAATACACTGCGCGAGCATACTGTAACAGCAACTCCGCCTTGCCACTCATTGTCGTAAAGCTTCGAAGGGAAACGAACTGCATATCGTAGCGACCCATGAAAGAAAACGGAGGTGATTATGAGTATCGTTCAGTGACAACGGTATATCGGCAAAACAACGTGTGACATAAAGCCATTTCTTTGTGCAGACAAGAGCTCCAACAAGCGCAAAGAAACCAAGTTCAGCTACGCCCTTTTCCCCCGATTGGAGGGAAGAAAAAACATCGCACTTGTGCTTCCACTTTCGCCGAGGAGCACTTTTGTTAAAAGTCCAAGATCTCATCCAATGGGTTGGACCGCTTTAGAGGTGCCACGTAGTCGTGCGGCGGCGCCGACGGCAGCGTCGTACCGTTACCGCCCACAGCCGTTGGATCATCAATGTCCATCCGCTCGATAAGCGGGTAGTCAAAAGCTGCATCAGAGGACACATGCTCCTCTACGCTACTGGGTGCAGCAGACGTCCGATCAGCGCCGCTTGAGGACACCCTCGCCGGTCCCCCCATTCCGTTCTCCCAGTAAGACGAGAAGTAGTTGTAGCAGTGGACGATCTCCGCCAGATTGCGCGTCGAGAGTCGATCTGCATCTTCCTCTGGAATGGACTGGAGAAGATTCCACGCGTCGCGCACCGTGCGTTGATGAACGGTGTTGTCATGTGGCACACTTGTTGTGAGTCTTCGGTGAAACACCTGAAGCGAGTAAAGCCGCTGGCCAATGTCGTCAAACTTGCCTGACTTTTCCGCGTTCGCATTCGGCTCCGCCGCTGCCCCTCCACTTTCACCGTTTTCTACCTCCGCTCGGCAAAAAACTGTCGGGGTAAAGTAGCATCGCCAAGACGCCTGCAAAGCAGTCAAGGTGACAGACCGGGCAAAACGAGGCAATGGCGTTGGCAAGCCTGCAAACACGCGGGGGCCACGTCGGAGAAGGCTCATTCCTGCGTGCGTTTCTCCTTTACCCTTCTTTTCCTCTTCTGTTCTAGTTTTTTTTTTTTTCGAGCGACAGAATAGCTGAGTGAGAGAAACAGCGTTGTGGCGGTCACCGTTGCGGGATGTGTGCATAAAATAGAAGGAAAGGCAAATACGTTACTACAGATAAGTGGGGACAAGAGAGAACACAAAGCGGGCACGCACTAGCTGCGAAGGTCACGGCGCACTCAAGGTCCTTTATTCGCCATTTCAATCAGAAGCTATCGCGCTGTCCCACTCTGGAGTTGAGTGGGTCCGCCTACCCCGTGCAAAAACAAATACTAAACTCTAAACGTTGAATTATTCAATGCAGTGCAGCTGTTTCAAAAGAAGAAGAAACGCGAGATAATGTGAAGTAACTGCGCTGACGGTGTCTAATGCAAAAGAAAAGAGGAGAAAAAGCAGAACATCAACAACAATCATTCTTCCGTATTGAAAAAGCGCGTAAGTGGAAAGGGGGAGTAACGAGACTCATCAAAACGAAACGCCGACAAGACGAGTAGGCGTGTTAGAAGAATCCCCGTAGTTCCTTGTAGAGCTCTTCGTCCGAGTTTTTCCGTTGCCGGTGCTTCACCGTCTTCTTCGGGGCCTGTGAGGAACGCTGCGTATCGTAGAAGGAAAGTCCTGCTGAGCTATCACCACGCCCTTGCCTCGCTTCCGACGCGACGGAGTAGCCGTCGACGTCCATCGTGTGTGGCGGAGGCTCCTCAAACGCATCACCCACAGACCCTTCTTCGCCACCCTGCTGCTCGTCCAGTTCGACGCCCTTCTCTACTTGACGCTTTTGTTTGTCCTGCAGCTGGAGCAAACGCTCAATACGCGCTGGCAGGGGCTCTCGCAGGTTCACAGGACCACCTACAGAGGCGTTGCCGCGCGCCGACTGATCATCCAGCACCAGATCGACCGCCTTGTTCACGTCCACATACAGGTGCGCCTTGTTGCGCGTGCGCAGTTCGACAACAAACTGAAAAGGAGAGTTGAAAGGTCTTTCCAGGACGGTCTTCTTTGTCTTGTTGCGCAGACGCCGCTCCTCGTTGCTCAGAAACGCCTGCGCCGCCCCACCCACGAGTAAGTTCAACGCACGGTTCTGCAGGAGACCTTCTAAGTTCTCGCCATGGCAGGTGCCGATCAAGTGCACGCCGCGCTGCGCGATGGACCACGCCGCCTCCGCCTCCGCCTCCGTCGCAATCTCGTCGACAATGAGGTACTCGGGTGTGTGATTCTGAATCACTTCGGTCATGACGCGACTCTGGTCCTCGCGCGTCGGCACCTGGATGCGTCGACAGCGACCGAGGTAGGGCAAAGGAATAGGGCCATCGCCGCCAATTTCGTTCGACGTGTCCACCACCGTTACCCGCGACATCTCGCGACGCTGTGCCAGTCCCGTCGCCAGGTCGCGCAGCAACGTTGTCTTGCCCATCCCAGCTTTGGAGATAATCAAGAGGCTGCCCCTTTCAACCAGGGGGAGCAGCGCGCGTGCCACGCCGGGCACGTAGCGCCCAACGCGCAACGTCACGCCTAGCACCTCGCCGTGGCGTCCGCGCCAGACGGAGGCGCGGTGGGCGGTGTGCGCGACACAGCCACGCCCGTCCGCGCCGAAGCGACCAATTTGCTTGACGAGAAACTGCAGTTCGTCGGCGGTGGGCGGCGGAAGCTGAATCACCCACCCGCCACTCCCGCGGATTTCGACGTCCTGCCCGACGTGCACAAAGAACTCTTCGACCTGCGCGGAGTCGAACAGCGGGTGTTGGGTGATGGCTGCACGAAGCGACGGCGCCAGCAGCGACATTAAATGCAATGTTTCCGCGTAGGAGGTGCACAGGGCAAGGCCGTTCCAGTCCGTCTCGCGCAACGCCTGAGCCCGCTCCGGGTCGCTCTCCACCAGCTCGGCGTGCAGCTTGTAAAGGTTCGACCAGGCCGTACGGAAGTTCGGGGCAGACCACACCACGTCTTCGGATCGGTAGAGCGACACGTCTGGCACCTTGGACAGGATGTACTGCATGTCCATCCCAGACGGCGGCGGTCGGAGAGTTGACGTCGCCGGCTCATCTCTTTCAGCCGCGCGCAGTAACTCATGGGTGCTGACGCCAACCCTCGTGCGAAGGGCGCGGTGTGTCGTCAGCAGCGATGCGGCGCCGCAGCGCCTGCCGGTCCTGATGACGGTCCCACCAATCCGCATTGACAACTTGCGTCTTCTACTGCAGCTCTTTTCTTCTCCCCTCTAAGATAAATGACAACAACACTACACGAGAAAACGCATAAGAGAATAAGAAAGAGAGAGGGGAGAGCATTTGTGATAGATCGACTACAGTGCGAGGAGGGCATTTAAAAAAGGAAATGCAACACAAAACGTAGACCCGAGGGTTTGCGCGGATGACGCAGCGAGAACCCGGAATCGTGTGTGGCGCTCGGCTTGCTCACCTGCACAAGTACGGACTAGAAAGCGTTTCCGTCATCTTTCATCTGGATGAACTGCGTCTCGCGATATGAGCACTCACGCCCTTTCGGGTACGCTCACACGAGGGATGCGGAATAACTCCTGTTTAACAATTCGCTTCGTTATTGATTAACTTGTTAAGCTCGATTAACGGGAGGGTGAACGCAATTGACTTACTTCACGAAGGTCGTTTCTTTGGCGCAAACACTGGCCATCTTTTCTTTCCCCTTTTAAACGTGCGACAGACACATCAACACAGCTGCCGTTAAAAAGGGAAACAACGAGGCGTAGAGGGAAAAGGTAAAAAGCGAAGCGTCTTGCAGATCGTCGCAGTTGCGTCAGCTTTTCCTCTCACTCTCGCACGCACACAGAAACAGTCGACGGCTACAATAACAGCTAAGCAACCTGAAAGCAAGCTCGCATTTACATGAAGTCATCTTCATCAGGCACCTCGCCGTTGTTAACACGCATGTTGTTGTCGTCCATCACGCCTTTGTACGAGCGAAGGTCGGCCTGGCGCTGTTTCTCCTCCTGGTCAAGGCGGTCCTGCTTGTCTTTCTCGGCTTTGTCTGCGCGTTGCTGGCGGCGCTCCTCCATATCGCGCTCCTCGCGCAGCTTGCGGAAGTCAACGTCGTTCTTCTCCACGCGCGTCTTCTCTAGCGCCTTCAGCATTTGGCGGTTCTTGCTGCCGATGGTGTGGTAGCGCCGCAGTTCCTCTTTGTGGAAGCCGATCTGACCCACCGCCATATCGTTCGTCTTCTTCAGGTTGCTCCAGGGGGTGTACACAACACGCACATCGTTCAGCTTGCACCCCTCGATACTGTTCTCCTTGGTGAGCTGGCAGCACTCCTCTATCATTTCGGGCGTCAGGTCCTTCATGCCCTTGCCAGGAGGCAGGCGCACGTACACGTGTGCGCTACTGTGCTTGTCGACGTGGAACCAGATGTCCTCGGGCCAGCCAAACTTGATTAGCTCTTCGTTTTCAAACTTGTCACGGCCCATGTAGCACATGACCGACGCATCGGACGCTAAGGTAAAATAGAAGACCATCTTAGCGAGCGAGAGAGGCGGGCCGATGCGGAGAAACTTTTGGTAGAAAGAAACGGCAGAATAAGCGTTTGTGCTTCTGTGGGCAAACCGAGAAAAAAAGAAAAAAGAAGACGGCGGGGGTAAAAAAGAAGCCTTCACACAGAACTTCATCGGTGTCACGGCGTTGTAGGCCAGCCTCACACACCCGGAATGTGTCCTTGTGTAAAAGTCGAGAGAGAAACGGTCCGATGACAAACCTTCCTACTGTGAGCTCTATAATAAAACCGCTGTTGCGAGGGGTTGACTTCGCGAGGGAGGGCATGTGAAGCGTGACTCACAACACGGAAAAACAACAATAACGAAAGACGCTCGCACCGCGATGCCATTTGCGGTGTCGGCTATTAGCTGTTTTTCCTCGGTGACGAGAGTCGAATGAGATAAATCTAAACGGCGGAAGATGATTCCCGATACACCGACCCAACAAGCAGTAGAATAACAGTCCCTTTTCGCCGTTTCTCGACGGGTTTGCATCACAGTCCAAGGCGAATTTGAAGACCCTCCCTTTTTTGTGCACTAGGTTGGTAGGGACAACAAGGGGGAACTAAAAGGACGTAAATTTTTGCTTGCTTGGTGGCAGACAATTGGGAGAACAATAAACCGCAACAACACTGGCAGGGAAAGTGAATCGCCTACTCTACAGAGGGCAGCAAAAAAAGAAAAGAAAAAACGGGCTGTGAAGCGAAGGGGAAAAACGGCGGATCGTGTTGGAAATAATAATAATAATCAACTGAATGGTGCCGACACGGTGTTGGAAACATCTCCGCATCTCCTCGACCTTCCAAACCGCCGCCGGAGAAGGCACCAGCGTCATCATTCTTTCGTGGGACGTATCATCTATGCGTTTCCCTCGGCTAGTGCACGAGTGGCCGCCCTGTAATGATATCGTAGGATCGAGGCATCGGCGTCACACAGCCACGGCGACCACCACGCCATCGCGGCTCCTGCGGCTCCGGCTCCGCGCTTACAATAATGGGACCACCGCCCACATCAATTGTGCTGTGATTCCGGTACAGCGGCGCGGGCGTTTCGCGACGTGCAACGCCAAGTTCTAAGAAGTCCCACTGCCGGTCCGCGGCGGAGCGCCAGTGCGGCTGCGGTGCCATCATGCGTACCCCGCGGTGTGTATCATCCATGCTGCGGGAGCGCTGTTCGGGAAACATGCGAATGCCCGTCGTGCGCCGCTTCCGTGGTGGCAGTGGCGGCGGCACCGGGCGCTCCACCGGCTTCTCAGGAAAGGGCAGCAGCGAGCCGACCGCCAGGTGATCGTGACTGCTGCTGTTGCGCGAGTACACCGACCCGCTGACGGAAGAACTGCGGGCAGCGCCCCGGCCACGGCGGGAAGAGCCCTCCGCGTCGTCGCTACCGAGCCAAAAAGGACGACTCGATGACTCGTGAGAGGGTGGGGGCACGTAACGCTTCTGCCGCGGCGTCGGCACCCGGTTGGACGGCCTGGGCGTCATATTCCACTCGATGTGGTCGATGCCGCCGTTTGCCGATGCACACCTCCGCACCCCACTCGGCGGACGCACGTAATCGGTGCGCGCGCAGTCCGTGTGCTGGCCATTTTTGGCGAAGTGACGCCGCCCGTGCAGCGGCGTCGCGGCGCGCATCGGGGTATCGCGCACGTAGAGGCACAGCTGCGTGTCAGGCAGACTATGTGCGTCCAGCATGCGCGCCTTCTGGTTGTAATGCGCACGGGACGGCATGGAATCTCGATCTATGAGGTGCATAAAGAGCGAGCCGACTGGCTTCTTTCGGTCTTCTTCGATCTCGCGGTGCGTGAACTTCATGGTGGCGCGCCTCGTTTAAGTGAAAAAATGGAATGATGTAACAGTGGAAAGGTGAAGAGAAAAGCGGCAGTCTCTGCGCAACGCTCTGGAAGAAATAGATGAACAAAAACGTCAGCACTTCGAACTCTAAAACCTAAAATGATGAGATCTTTTTTTTTTGCACCGTCTACCACGACTGTGACACGGATGCATTCCAGTTTGTGCGTCAACGGAAGATATCGTGCAACACAAATTTTGAAAGAGGTAAAGGTGAAGGGAGGTAAGAGTCTTGCACCATAGAACAGCGTGAACCAATCAAGGAGGTGTCTTCGGCAATTCCTCATAGTAAGTGTAAGCTGCACGCCCTCGGTGTCCACAACACCAAAGACGAAGGCCGTATTCCCGCCCTTCACAGCGTATTACGCGTTTTAGATAGCCTTTTACACCAAAAAATGTGCAGTTGCGTTTTAAAGCGTTTGTTCGGCATCCCCACTATCCGCAAACGAAAGAGGTAAAAGCAGGTAAACAAAACCATAGAAGGGCCCTTTTTTTTTAAACTCCTTGTTCACCACCATCTCAGCCGCAGCGTGCACTCTTAAAACACTTGCTTTTTCTTCGTCTTTTTGTTTCCCAAACGCAGTGTCTTCTACTTGTAAAGAATCTCGAGCTGGTATCGTTTGCGCAACCAGACGCTCAACGCGGAGTTGAGGAGAAGGAAAAACAGCGGCGAGCTCAGCAACTCCAACACATGCTGACGCCGACCGCCAGCGGAGAGAAGTCTCGAGTTAACTGACACCATGCTCGTTTGCGCATCCACATAAAAGGTCGTGGACATCCCTTTGTACGTACATTCACCACGATAAAAAGGCAGATACGTGATGCGCGTCTGGTTGACAGATGTGGTGGTGGCCGGCAGTTGAAAGGTCGTCTTGAAGAGCTTCGACGCTTTGCGGCTGCCGTTTGCATCGGCGAGCGAGGGCTCTACAGGGGCCGCCTCCACTGGAGTGTCGCTGCAGTCCGCTTCGAAGAGCAGTTCGTCGCGAAGACGGTTTTGGCCGGGAGTGGACGCAGATGTTGCACCTTCCGCGGTTTCCACCGGGGCCGCTGCCGCAGCCTCTGACATCGGTGTCAGCGCAGAGACGTTAGCGGCGACATCACCGGAAGGACTCGCTGCCGCGTCCACCTCCACCGTGCGCTGAGACGACGAGAACGAACCACGCTGCGGCGGAGAAGGGGAGGTACCCGCGTCACTCCTAGTGGGATGTGTGTGTTCGTTGGCACCTTCGTGGGGTGTGCTTTCCTCCACGCGTGCACCAGGCGTTAAGACCTGAATGGGGAGGGCACCGGTGCCGCCGTCAGTGCCTTCGAAGGCTTCAGGAGCGTGCGTTGTCGTGGAAACTGTCGGTGTGGAATACGGCTCTTCTCCCTCCGCCTCCTCCTGCTCCTCCACCGGCAAGAGAGGCACAAGGAGTGTTGCCTCCACGTCCGCTGGCGACGTCGAGCTGGCCGCTGCCCCCGCAGCTTGGGTCGGCAGCGGTGGAAGCCGATGGAGCGCGCTGGGTGCCGTTCCACCAGAGCCGTTGCCGTCCGTCGCAAAAACGCTTCTGCCGTCATCCAGCGCGTGTCCGTTGGCCGCCCGCACGAGCGCCTCACCGTATCGTTGGCACGACATGAGCGCAGTGTCGCGCCGCGCAAAATCAAGGAGCACCGCGTGCGCCATTGTGTGTGTCTCGTACGGGCTGACGGGCGTCGTCGAGGCGGAAAGCTCTTTCGGGTCTTCCTGCGCAGGTGCTGCGGGGTGAGGCCGGCTCGGTCTGGCAAGGAGGGGCCACTGCGGAACGTCACTGCCTCCGTCGGCTGAGACCACCGTCGCCGCAGGGGAAACCAGCAGATCACGGCACCGCCGCAACATCTTCAACACGTCGACAGCGAGGAGTGTACCCTCGTTGATTGGCGGCGGGCTGCCAACCTGCGGGTCCATTTGACGTGTTTGCAGATACGCCGCAAATCGATGCTTGTACACGTTCTCCGATTCTGTCACGAGGCGCAGCACGGTCATTTGGTGCGCCATCGTCGTATTGAGGACGGACGTCATCATGTTGAGCAGCTCCTGCTGTGTGTCGGGGGTACGCATCGTCATGATGTTCGCCGACGACACGTTCAGCAGGTTATTGCGCATCTGTGACAGCGCCTTTAGGTTGTCGGAGATTGCGTTGTGCTCGTAGATCGGGTTCTCCATGCCGAGGTCCACCAACTCCATCGTTTCCCTGTCCATGAAAATGTCGAGGGATGATGTTGGGCCGGCTTCGGCTTGCTGCACCTCCAAGATGTGCACCAGTCGTGCGCAGCTCCAAATCTCCCGCGCAAGGTGGTCCGTGAGAAGCTGCAGAGTCTCCTCTGCGCTGAGGAGTGCGCGGCGGTCCTCTTCCCCCAGCCCACACTCGCGGATGCACGTGTTGCACAGCGACCACTCCCACACGCGCGCCTGCATAAAGCAACGCAAAATCGATACCAACGAGTCCGTCAGCGCCTGCGTGGTGCCGTGATGCTCGCTCATCTGAGCGGAGAAGCTGCTGTCTGACACGGCAGCATCGCTCAGCGCGGGATCGATCGGCACAGCATTCGACGGAGCAGTGTGCGACGGACTGCGCCGGGTCGCACCAGAACGCGGCGTCCTTGTTTGAGTTTGCACGTCATCATTTCTCGTCAGCTGATCCTCCTGCTCTCCCTCCCGTTGTTGTTTCGGCTGCGGATTGTCCTCCTTCCCGCGGTTGTGGAAGAGCTGCACGCTGAAGCGCAGCCGACTCTGGCGCGACTTTGTGTGCTCCTCACCGCGGTGCACCTTCGGCTGCGCCAACTCCTTCATTGCGACCCGCATACGTCCCAGCAGGGTGTAAATCCCGCGGCACGCCGCATCGATACCCTCCATCGCCTGGTCTAACTGGCGGCATAGCTGAATCTCCGTCCGGAGAAACGTCATGCACCGGTCACGGACCACGTGCTTCTGCGGCGGCGAGGCGCGAGCCATTGTTTGCTGAAAACGATAGGTGACTAGATCCCCCATGATATTCTCCAGCAGTCGCGATCGCTCCAGGTGCGGAAGTAGCGCGTCGCGAGCAATCTGGCACTGCGCGCGTACCAGCACCGAGACGTGCAGGGCGTACATGTGGAAGCCCTTGTTGCGCCGCACGTACGCTTCATGGGCCGCGCTCGACAGTTCCAACAACACGTCGCTGGTGGCGGTGCTCAGCTGGTGCAGCTCGTGCAACACCACCTCACTCAGCCGCGCTGCATTGGCCAGAAACGACAGCGTCGAACTCGGCTTGCCGTCGCCCTCTGTCCAGTGCGGTGTGGTGAGGTCCACCGTGACTCCCTCCTCCGTTTGAAAGGTCGGGTGAACGGTGTAGTCGAAGGAGAAGCCGGTGGAGTGGTGCTGACACCGCACCGCGAACTCCGGCACTTTCAGCCGCACCGGAGTCAAGTTCGTGATGTCGATCTCGCTCAGCTGCAGTGGCGCGCTGTGTTGCTTGACGAGACACTCCTTCACCAGCGTGGGAATGAAGAAGGGGGTCACGAAGAAGGGAAAGGAGGCGTCCGCGCCTGCAGCCAAGGTGGTGTGCTGATATTCATCCGTCTCCAGAGTCGTCGTGGTTGCGGCGCTCCGCTGCTGCATTGAAGCGTCATCGTTCCCTGCCGCCACGCCAGACGACTTAGTGCCCGGCAGCCACCCCTCCGGTGGCCGACGTCCAGGCTGGTGTAGCTCCACGCACAGAAACTGGTGATCGGAGAACTGGCCGCGGCACTCCGCGCAGACACGGCTCCAGCAGTAAGGACACACTTCACACGTCGGAGAGGTGCAGGAGCACCACTCGCACTCCTGAAGCTCTGCGACGATGGCCTTTTCCTTGTTGAGCAGCAGCTGATCGACGGGACGCGGACTCAGCGGGACTGCCTCTGTCTCCACCGTGAAAGGCGCAGCAGCCGACGGCGACGAAGCGGCACCACTCGTCTCGTCGACGGTGGTTTCGTCGCCGAAGAGAACGAGCTTCTTCTCTAGGAGCTTGGCACGGCGCACGAGATGCTGTCGAAGCAGAACGCACGTGTTGGTGATGTAGTGGTTTTTGGGGAGCGTGCGAATATCCCCTTGTGTCACAGTGGTCTCCTCACAGCGGTACGCACAAGGTACCTCGAGCTGTTGCTTGCGATCGCGTGCGACGGTGGAGTAGAGGCACCGCAGACAGAAGCAATGCTGGCACCGCAGGACGCGAGGGTCGATGAAAACGCATCCGCAAACGACACAGACAAGCTCATCTTGCAGGCTCGCGACGAGTGCCGCTTGCGTCGCTTTGATCTCCGCCGTGACTCCCTCCAGAGTGTCCGGCAGCGAGGGTTGGGTCGCTTCACTCATCGCGGGGGGCAAAAAAAGAAATGAAAAGGGAAGGACTTACGGTCTTCAAGATTTTTGTTGCCTTGATACGTTACGCAGACCAATTGGAATGAATAGCATAAAAGGAAGCACAGAAGAATTATAAAACTTCACTGACAGAATAACGATGTGGTGTGCCGGTCTCCACGACCCACTTTACAAGTAGCAACAACGAATTAAAATCGGAAACGGCCTTTTTTGATGAGGTACACAAGGGCAGCGTGCGGTAGAACAAGCGGCAGTGCTAGTGGTAGCTGCAGCACGCGACGAAGGTGGCGTAACGGCAGCAGGACGCGAATTGAAAAGAGGTTGACGTGCGTACACTGTTGAATAGGAAAGATGAAAAAACAAAAGAAAAGAGAGAGAGAGGCGCAACAAGGAATTTGTAGCTTCGCCGCGAAGACAACGATCAGGTACACACGACTTCTTGGGACGTTATAATAAAAAAATCAAAGAAGACAGAACGAGTCAAAATCGGCTTTGATGAATAAATAATAAATACAAAGGGTAAAGACGTGTGCGATTACGTGAAGAGCATTCTTTGTGTATTGCGTCAGCAATACACAAAGAGGGCAACATGAAGAACGGCGGGAACGGTAAAGGAATAGAGGAGGAAGGGAGGAAGCGAGAGCGCATTCGCAACAACACAGGGAGATGCTTGTACAACTCGCGCTCTCGCATGCCCGTTGTGGAAAGGCGAAGCCAAAAACCTTTCTTCGCCTAAGCACTTCTTTCATTTGCGATCCGATTGTGTTGAGCGGCTGCTGTTTCGAAAGAAAGCTAGCTGATATTAATGAATTCCACCTCGCAGTTTCGCTGCGCATTATTTTCATGGAGCAAGCACGGGGCATCGTTGCTGTTGCCGCTTCTTTTTCTTTTGCTTTGCGGTATTTGATGGGGAGCCGGTGAAGCTCAAAACACTGGCAGAGAAACAAGTCGATAAACAACGATAGAACAGATAAGCAATGGTGCTGACCTTTCCAAATGTATGGAGAACCAAAAAGAGAACATTATGGTGCGCAGGTGCTCACGCGGCAACCTTCTCATTCCTCCATGGTGAGAGATGTTCGTTGAACCTCTTGGGTCCTACCAGCCACGAGGTGACGTAGTCCCCGATTGCCGAGCTTGCTGTCAACCCAGGTGACTCAATCCCGTTCAACCACACCACAACTGCCTCGCCGTCGTGGTGGCTGTCTCCGCCTTTTACAGACTTCATGACAGGTGTGAGAGTCGCGTTCTGCGAAGCGGGTTCCGTAGCCTCCACGACTTGATCAATGTACTCAATCAGGAAGTCGCGAAAGCCCTCGTCTTGCCGCGCCAGCTTTGGGCGGATGCCAGCAAAGTCCGCAAAGAACTTCTTTCGCTCAATACGTGGAATGTACCGTCGCACCGCTTTATACTGACTGTCAAGAAACGCCGCCTCCTCGCTTGCGCTGCGTGCCACGCTTACGTCGTCGAAAGAATCCACGTACGCCGCATCCGGGCCGAAGCGAACCTGGCCAGCGACGTCTACCACACTGTGGACGCCGAGCCCCACTAAGTTCGGCAAGGGACAGGGATAGACCAGTCGTGATACGGGAGCCTTGCCGCGGTAACCGGCATAGCGTCCTTTGCACGCGTAGAGGCGATGCGAGGGGGGTTGGGCAACGCTAGCGCCGCCACATGACACCCGCGACCAGAGCGTGTTGGCTTGCAGGCCGGCTGCACAGATGACTGCCTTGTCCACGTCAATGGTGTACGTGTCGTCGCTATTGCTGCCATTGCTGTCGCTCTTGTTGGGATCGCCGTGAGAAGGGCTGGCTACGGTTAGTTTTATAGAGGAGTCTCCGCTCTTCGCGTCACACCGCCGTTTCTTCTCCGGCAGCTCCACTTTTATTACGTCGGAGTCGCACAGCACGTAACCGTCCGACGATTTCACCACGATGCTATGGAAGAAGTCGGCGAGTGTGTGCACGTCAATAATGCCAGTACTCGACGAGTTGACGATCGTATGCATCCGGACCAACGGCTCCTCGCGATGCGCCTGGTTTTGCGGGACCATCGTATATGGAATGTGGCGCTCCTTCATCCTCTCGATGAGTCCCTCGAGCTGGGAGTCCTCGCTGTTGTTGCACGACCCAATCCACTTGCCGTTGCGCTTCGCATGGATGGCGTCCGGGAAGTTTTGTTGAAGACGCCAGATGTTCTGGTTTCCTGCCGTGCACAGCATCGTCTTGAGCGTGTCTGCGGGGTAGTACAGCCCACTGTGAACGACGCCGCTGTTGCGCGAGGACGTCTCTTGAATTAAACCACCGTTACGCTCCAACACTGCAACGCTGCCAAAAGGGGCGAGTGCAGCACCCACGGCGAGTCCAACAACGCCACCGCCAACAACGCAATAATCCAAGTGACGCATGTGTGCACTGGTTGGAAGTGATTGTAGGTTGTGCGAAAGATAAAAAAAAAATAGGAGGCATTGAATCAAGGGGAACGGTTTTTATTTACAGCGGACATACACTACGTGGGTTGCATTCACTACCCGCGCGCAGACACGCATGATCCACCACACCAGCGCTCATGATATCCGTTCAATACTTAACAGTACATTTTTTTCTTCTTTTTTTAAACGACAACGCACGTCAGAAATATGGGCAGGATGTTTTTTTTTTTTACGATGAGACCACTCCTCCACTCCCTCGACGGCGTGGCTTCCCGCATGCGCTAATGCTATTCGTTAAACGGATTCTTTTTCTTCTTCTTCTTCTTTACCTTATCGATGATGTCGACATACGAGAAATGCGGGCTTTGACAAACAACGAAAAAGGCAAATACAAGATAATCTCGTTGAGCTCTCAGGTAGCCTTTCTGCTGTGAAGCTTCTTGTCGGATGCGTAGAAGGAAAGAGAAAAGGGTAAAATAATAAGTCGTAAGTGTTTATGTATATGTGTGTGTTATTCACGCTCTCGCTTTAAAAGAAAAAAAAAACTAGAATGAACGTGATGTGGTGCTGAGAAATGCACCAGACGTGACAGAAAAAGATCTAAACCTTTTCGGGGTTAATATTTTTAAAGTGTTTTTGTTTTTTGACTGTTGCTTCCTCTTGAGCTGACGCGTCTCTAATACGTGTGGGTGTCTGCTCAAACGACGAGTCCTGCCACGGCGATGCAAATAGAAGCAAGCGCAATCGTTGCGCGCACAGTCGAAGACGGAACCATCAGCTCGGCGTAGGAGGTGGAGAGAAGACCGCCAACAAGAGCCATCAGACTTGTCACCACAATGGTGAGGCACGTCAGTTTATGCGCGGCCACCACCGTTTTGTAAAAGGGTTGACCTCGAGTGAGGACGTAGCGCAACAGGGTACCGAGAACCATCTGACAGAGAATTGCAAAGCCGCACATGGCCCCCACCACACCATGCGGAGACATCAGATGAGGATAACCGTTGGTGATCTTCACGTACTCGATAGCGGCAAAGCCACCGGCAGCTGCCAGCTCCATTGCAAAAGCCGCGAGCTGATGCCGCAATATCACCTCCCCCCGCGGAAGGCCTGCGTCAAGTGGCTGCCGCTCTGCCACGTCTTTTGTTACGGGTGTGGAAGCTTTTGCTTTCACTTGCAGTCGCTTGAAGCTCGTCGCGACGTCTGGTAGCACCATCACGAAGGCAATCATCATGCCGATGGGGTGGAACTGAAGCGCATTCGCGAACCCACCATTTTTGCAGAACAGGCGCACTGTGGCAAGAGAGACGAGCGCCGTGGCGGCGAGGCTGCGGCATCGCGCAACGACCTCTTTCCTCGTGAGAGGCACGTCGTTGATATCCACGGTGCTCATCTTGACTGAAAAAAAAAACCCGTTGATTTGATGTTTCTTTTGGTTTTGGGGAGTAGAAGAGAAAAAAAAACTAGGTTGTTTTCACAATGAAATTTCAGATCGATAATGGCTACCATGAAGGTGCAGCGATGATTCCAATGAGGTAGGGCGTCGAGACGCAGTGAAAATTAACGGTGGGAGACGAGCAGGACGGAACTGGAGTCACGACGCACACGAAACAGGAAAAGAAGGGCGGTGCATTAAACACATACCGCCACGCATCACGGCTGCAAGTGGCCACGAAGCACCGGAGCACCGCTTCAAATAACTACATCCAAAAAAACAACAACTTGAATTTCAGTCCTGACGGAAGCAAAAATACCTTGCATACAGAAGCCCGCATTGCCTGCTTGATGAAATTCTTTACTTCGGCATCTCGATGATAGGAGAAGGAAAACAGCGTTTTCTCTTTGTGTACTAGAGTTCCAACATAAACGATGTGAAGCTATGGAACATAAAGAACTAAACGAGCACACAAATACGAAAGAAAGAAAAAGAACATCAATATCTATTTACATCCGGTAGGCAGTGAAAGAAGAAATAGGATCCCCACGCTGCACGCATCCACACGCGGATAAGGAGGAGGAAACACGCCGCCAGAAGCTGAAAGAGAAGGGGATCAAAACAAGAAAAACGAAGAATAAGAATACAGCGTGTCAACGACTTGAAGAATCAACACAACAGTACATCGAGGGCGGTTGCCGCAATAAAAACACGAAGCGGCGCGGTGCTTTTTTGCCCCCGTTTTGGGGTTGCGGGGCCGCGGGGCGGGTTTGGTGGTCCGAAAAAAAAAATGTACGACGGGCGGGGATTGAACCCGCGATCTCTCGCGTGTGAGGCGAATGTCCTAACCACTAGACGACCATCGCTACGTAAGCAAGGAAGAAGCCGAACAAGAAGAGAGAATGCCGACGGCTCACTTCCAGGTTCCGCCGCACAACGCTCGTGCGCGGAAGTGCGCGCTGTCCGACGAGATAGTCACGACACAGCGGCCACGCGAGCCGGTCGGCTGCAGGCACGGAATCAGCAGCAGCGACGCCGGCACATCGTCCCCGAGGTCGAAGCTCGTCTGCACCTCGGGGAGGTCGACGTACTCGGACCGCGCGTACAGCTCGTTATCAGCCACCCGCCCGCTGATCGGCTCGCCCGTCTGGTGATCGATGCGGATGACGGAGAACATGATCGCCGGCACGATGGTGTCGTAGTCTATCATGCGCAGGGCCACGGTGAAGCGCTGAAAGGGCTGCAGCTCCGTCAGCTCGATCTGCGGGTGGCCGTCGCAGTCATAGAAGTTGCCGCTGCCCCGCTCATCGTCCCAGCCGACCGTGACCTCCTGCTTCGCCCACCGGGGCAGACTGCGCACCTCCAGCAGGGGCGCCGCACACCACACTTGATACGAAATGAGCGCGTGAGTGCCGGCAGGGCGAGGGGAGCAGATGACCGTGTAGTACGCCACCTCGTGCTCGGCGACCGGGGCCACCTCCGTCTCCAGCACCGCATTTTGCCCCATGGCGTAGATGCAGGATGGGTGCGGTTCGATCTCGCCGATGGTGCGGGACGGGTTGCCGGCCGAGTCCACCTCCCCTCGCACCATGGTCAACAAGACCGCCGGGGTCTGCTCGAAGGCGTCGTCCTGGCGCATTTGCCGCTCGTATGCCTCGTCAACACCGAAGTCGCCCGCCTCTTCGTCGTTCTCCACCACCTCCATCGTGGCCGTCACCACCACTCGGCACGGCTGCAATGGCTGCTGTGGCTGCTGCAGCGGGAGAGAGAGGGGGTTCGCCGTGTTGCTCGCCGTGGACGCTGCAGAGGGGGCGCCTTTTTGGCCGAGTTGCGCCATCCGCTTCCGGTTTTCGGCCTGCAGCAGCACCGCCACCTCGTCCACCAGGACACGGGCGTGGGCGTTGAAGAGAATCGCCAGCTCGCCGTCGCTCTGGCACACCTGTGGCATGCTCGACGCCACCAGCAGCTCCGGCGCTGTGGTGTGTGAGTCCCAGTACTGCCCCTCCGCCGCCTCCAGCACCCGAAAGCTAGCCGGGGCAACCACCGTTAAGTCAAAGTGGTCCAGAGTGCGGGGGGCGTGGGTGCTCGGGATGATCCAGTACTGCGTGCCGGCGTCTAGCGTGATGACCGCCGTCAAGTGGTCCCCGACTTGCTCCACCGCAGAGAAGAGGAGGTTGGAAAAGGGGGAGGGCGGAGGGACAGCAGAGACTGGCGGGTTCGCGCTGTCCTGCTGATCGTTTCCACCACCACCACCACCACCTACCGCACCCTCTGGCCCACTGCTAGGGACCGGAAAAGGCGGCTGGTGCTTTTCGTGTGGGTTCAGCAAAGAAGGGGGGCAATGGAGGGGGTAATAAGCGTCGCGGATCACCTGCAGCCCGATCCCGCCCTCGCCACGCAGCAGCGCGTCTGCCGAGGCCGCCGCCGCGGCTGCGTGGGAGCGGCGAAGAGCGACATCGCGCCGGTTTAACTGCAGTCGCACCGTGGTGCGCTGCGGCAGCATCAGGCGGTAGTGTGGGTTGTTGCGCCAGGACAGCTGCTGCAAATCGCCGCCTGCGGTCTCGCAGGTCCACTCGTGGTGGATGTCGCGGCGGTGGAACTCGTCGCCGAAGACGCGGCAGAGATGCACCCAGTCAAAGTTCAGCAAGAAGTCGGTGTACGACATCCAGAAGGTCGACTTCGCCACGTGCGCGACGCCGCCGCCGCCGCCGCCGCCCCCACCAGCACCAGTGCTGGCGACGGTAGACACGATGGAGGGGGAGGCGAAGGAGAGTGTTACGGCTGCGCCGCTGTCAGGGCTTTCGCCACCGCTGCTGCTGCGCATTGCCGTGATCAACGACCGCTTCAAGTTGGACTGCATTGTCAGCACGGAGTTGTCACCGTTCACATAGGCGGTTGCCTCCGACAACCCCCGGATCGTCTCCCCACCCCCGACGAAGGTGCTGGTGCGCTGCAGCAGCACGTTCGCAATTTCCGTGTTCTTTTTCCACAACGGCGAGTCGTCTGCCCAGTCGCCGGACCACTTCTGCGCCGCGCTCCACGGGTTGCGCAGCATCAGCAGGCGGACGCCGTTCACCTGGCAGGCACGGAGCACCTGATAGGCGGTGCGAGCGTGGATGCCGTTGGAGGTGTGCGCAGCGTCACGGCTGAAGGCGACAACGCCCGTGTCCACAGCCAGGCTAGCAGCAGCCGCGGCGTTGATGGAGGGGTTCGCAGAGATGGACATCCTACTTGCACTGCAGAAAGTTGAGTGCTGCCGCACCGAAGACGCCTGATGAAGACGGCCATCCACGTCCATGCGGGGGGCCATGCCAGGCGGCATCATGCTGATGTGGCGTGATGCACGGCTTCCATAGGAGCTTCGGGGGGCGGCGAGGGCCTGCGTCACGACGTCCCACCACTTCCCCCTCGCGCTCTCCTCCAACGGGTGCAGGCGGTAACTCTCGTAAAAGCCGCTCGTCAGCAGCGACATGACGCGGCCGCAGCTGCTGGCGAGCTGCTCGGGAGACGTCAGCGACGGTGCGACCTCGACGTTCGACGGAGTCTCCTCCGCAGGAACGCCCTCCGTCGCACGCTGCAGATTCTCACGCGACAGGTATTTCCACGCGATCGGACGACGAATGGATGGCCCGTCAATGCCAACGCGGTGTTCATCAAAGTGCGAGTCCAGCGCGTGGTAACCACCGTGCAACTTCGCCAGCATCTTTTCCAGAATACACGGCCAGAACGCGGTGTCGTTGACGGTGGGTTTAGTGAAGATGAGGCGGCCAAGCTTGTCGACGGGGAGGAAGTCGTCAACGATGAGGTAGCGCCAGACGCCCTCGACGTGGAGCCGCATCACGTAGATGCCGGGGAACTCCGTCCCTCGCTGCAGCGACAGCAGTGGACCCGATGACGACGGAGCAGGAGTGCTCGCTGTGGCCGTGGCGCCTGGGCAGGGACAGCACAACAATGTCTGCAAGCTGTTGATGGTCCGTACACTCGCCACCACCGAGGTGAACGTCCACGAGAAGCCCTCTGGGATGTCTGCGGGCAGCTGCACAAAGAGCGAGTTCGCCTCGGGCAGCAGTCCACTCGCGGCAGCGGCAGACACCGCCGTGGCGTGGTTGTCGGCAGCCGTGCTGTGGTCATCGCTGACGGTGCAGAAGTTCGACACGGCGCCGCGGCCAAAAAGGGTGGCCTGCGGGTACAGCTCCCCCACGCGCCGCCAGCCGGAAATGCCGTACGTGTGCCGCGACGTGCGGTGGAGGTCGTCGTTGTGCGAGCTGAACTGATCGTCGTCGAAGAAGTAGTGCCGGTCCTCGCACCAGTCCCACAAGTCGCTGGAGGGGTCCACATCAAAGAGCACATCGTTGACGGCGTGCGTGAAGGAGCGCAGCACGTGTTGGACTTCGTGTGGAGGGCAACGCTTGCGAGCGGATGCGGCCTTCGCACGAGGCGAGTGGGACGCTTTCCGTAATAGAGACGAGGCGGCCGATGCGCCACCACCGGCGGCGGTGGGCGACGACACCGTTACCCTCGCGGGGGGCGACGCGTCGGTGTCCGTCGTCGGCGATCGTGAAGCCGCCGGCGGTGCAGAGACGGCCGCAGTAGCAGCACCTACAGCATCAGCAGACAAAACTGGCGGCGACGCCGACCGTTTCCATGCGGGGCGAACAGGTGGTGTGGGACTTTGGGCCCGCTGGCGATTCTTCTCGAGCTGCACCTCAATCGTGGTCACCATTGACGGCCGCACCAGCGTGTGCTCAAGAAAAATGTACTGCAGCACCGCGTTGTTCTTGGCCAGCTCCAACAAGTCGGGTCCCACGGCGAGGGTGATGGGGTTGTCGGAGATGTTCAGCTTTTGCAAGGAGGGGTGTCGCCGCAGCCGCGCGCATATGATGGCGACCGCCTCGTTGCCCAGCTCCTGATTGCGCAGGTCCAGGCTCTGTAGTGCCTTTGCACACTCCACCACGTCCAGCAAAGGAATGACGCCCTTGGTGCCGAGGAAGTTGCGTGACAGGTCGAGCGAAGTAAGAGAGGTGAAGTCGTCTGGAACGTCCGACAGCAGCTTCACCACCACCGAATTGGCAGCGCACTGCAGATCCGCGCATCGCTTCTTGTATACCTCCTTCAACGAAAAGCCAGCGTAGTACGACATTATTCACTTCACCAATTTGTATTAATCTACAGTGTTTTTCTGTTGTTGTTTTTTTCTGTTTCTTCTTGGAGATCGATAACGCAATGAAACCGATTTCCGAGTTTGAGGAGACGGCCCTTTATACACACAAAGAAAGCCTGCTTAATTCAGCGCCACAAAGAAAGACACTAGGGCAACGACACAGAGGTGAGAGGATGTTGATTTACAACGGCGTCAGTCCTGCCCGAACAGGACAAGTAAGGAGGCGTTTGGTAAAACACGCAGGACAGAAAGGTGACGCCAATGGGCGGCGAAAGCCGCGCAGACGCATTGAGGTTCTCCACCCAGCACGTCTTTTTTAAAACGTTTTCTTTCTCAGTGCGAAAGCGCTTTTGAAGTGATCGAAATCTGCGACGCCGTTTCCATCGCGGGATTCACGCCACGCAGCCCTCACGTCGATCGTGCGGCTACCAAAGCGTCTGCACACCAGTGATTCTCTTTTGTTTGTCTGTTAGGCATTCCACAGTGGAAGAAGAGACAGAATGGTAGGAGGACGCTGTTTACCGAGTACGTGATTTTCTCCCCCAACACAAAGTCAAAGGGAGAAAAAAGGATACCAAAGACCAGATATCGAAACAGAGAGAGAGAGGTCATCCGCTCTAAGAATAAACAACTCCAACACATCTTCATTGTTGAGAAAAGGAAACCAAGAGGCGCCGCCTCGCTCGCACATATCCTACAATATATATATAGATAGATAGATAGATAGATAGATAGATAGATAGGCATATGTTTGTTATCTTTGACCTCTAGTGCGTCGCGCCAAACTCACCACTCTTGTAGGAAGAATTAGTACTACTTCAGATATATAGGTATACGCTCCTATCGACAGCATCCACACAGGTTTGAGCTGTGCAGTTGCCATCAACAGCAGATACGGAAGAAATAATTAAAAAAAGAAACCAGCATCACGGACCTGATGAAGACCCTTCGATTCTTCTAATGAAAAGGAACAACATACAAGCAGCTGCAGCAAAAAGAATGGGCTATGCGTAGGGCCCGCTGCACTGGTCTCGCCGGAGAGACTCACTCCTCGGGTGAGGCTTAGCAGAAGAGATTTGGACGCGCGGCTGGAACGTGAGAAATGCGAAAGGGAAAAAAGTAAGCGTACAGCTCTCGCTTACAACCTTGTAGAAAAGCACAGACGCACAGTAGGGCTCAGAAAAGGGGGTTGAGCGCACACACACACCACACAGAGGAGGAAAGAAAAAAAAAAATCGTTGAAGTGAAAACAATGACAACGTTAAAAGTAAAAAGAGTTTGTATAGCTGGTGTTGGTGGGGGCACTTTGAGCCATCGCTCTTCAGTGACCGTTAAATCCCAGTGTCGGCGCAACTCAATCAGCTGCGTCCGCGTTGACATCGTACACGCAATCTGTTTTTGGTGGTGGAGGAAGGGACGAAATATGATGAGCTCGCCTGTCACTGCTAACACGCACAGGCCGCACAGGGAGGCAACTGAAGAAGAAGAAGAGGCAAAGGACAACACGTAGATGTGATAATATGGAAAAAAACAAAAACGTAAAGAAAAAAGTCCCACTCCAATCAGTTTTAACAATAATAATAATAAACAATACGTAAAAAAAAGTCGTAGAAAAGGGAAAAGGAAAAGAGAGGACCACCAAAGCAACGAAAACAAATGCGTTTTTAACGACCATCAGAAAGAGAACCAAACGGCTCTACCCAGCTCGAAGAAGTAAATGAACAAATAAAAATGAAATGAGGTGAGATGAGCGACGGGAGAGGAAGGAAACCAAATACGGCGAGACGAAAAAGGAGCGTAATAGTATGAATCGTAATTTCGAGTGAGATGTAAAAAAGGAAAAAAAAGGGGGGGGGGTAACGCGAGAGAGACGAAAGAGAAAGGGCAGTATTGAGAAGTGTCTAACAAGAGAAAAGAAATCGGACAGCGTAAAAGTAAAACATAACAAACGAACAATGCCACTGACAATAAAAACCAGCAGTGAAAGGAAAACAAAAAAAAGGGAGAGCAGCGACTACGTGGTTAACCCGCCGTCATGGCTTCATCCAAGCCTTTCTGATTTTGAGTCTGATATTATGATTTCGCCACTACAGGTTTCGCTGGCCTGTTCCAGTACTCCGCAACGTCCTTCGCAATCACCACAAAGAACCCTGTGCAGCAGAACACATTCACTAAGATGCCACACAGTTGTGAAGGCAGGAGGCAGGTTGGGTAGTGCACCGCAGGGAGATAAGTCTTGTACGAGGCATACAGGCACCACAAGGGAGACGCAATGCGGAACACGATCCACATCGCTGCGGTGAGATGGAGCACCAAAGCATACAAAACGCCATCGCTGTGGCCGCTTTCCTGCATCCACATCACGGTGTTGAGTGGGACATTTGTGATCTCTACCAGCATGTATATGGAGAGAAGGTACAGGCCGTAGTTGCAACATGTGAAGTAGTAGAGCATGTACGGAATCATCGCCATGATGTGGTGAATCGCGAAGGTGGTCCACCTGGGAATGCGGTAGGTCAGCACCACGTAAAGGTCGAAGAGGAGGTAGCCTGCGCTCACCAGCAAGGTGGCTTGCAAGAACGACGAGGAGTCTTGCGGCTCGTAAGTGCTGGACCACGACATGGTGCAAAGACCGTACAGCAGACTTGGGGCGACGATGAGAGAGTGGATGCTGGAGCTGACACGCGAGCAGTTGTCCGCCTGCTTCGACACGTCGTAGCTGCGGAAGCGCGACGAGTAGCGCTCGAACGCGGCCCATGCACCGCAGAAAGAGACGGAAAAGAAAACGACCCAGATGACTAAAATGGTGCAGCGCATCTCCACGGGGAGCCCGGATGCCTCCCTGCTGCACAAGGCATCGCTCGGGGCGTCCCACAGCATTCCGAGAAAAGGGGGTTTGGGTCGGAGAACAACAACAACAACAAAAATACCTATTTAAAAACAATAATGATAATGAAGAGGGTTAGGCGGGAGTGCGAAGTCGTATTTCCCGACAAGACGTCGCTTCACTCGCTGGATAGCGGAGCTCTAATGAAGAAAACTGCATAAAAGGTTTTCACCGTTCACAACGAAAGCGGGAAAGTTATGAAGAAGAAAGAAAGCAAAAGAGAATGAAGTGAAGGAACTGAAGAACCACACTAATACGCCAGGAAGGACACATACAATTACGACAACGATTATCAAGGGCAGCAGCTGTGCGGCCGCTGTGGGCGTTACGTGAAGCGCAACACGAAACTCAACGTTTTACAGTCACTCGACAACTTATTAGAACACTGTAATACAGCCCTCCAAATAGCAAACCGTCATTGCTTACACGTCAGCCCTTACGCATTCAACGCAGAGGATCGAGAACGAAAAACAAACCGGGCATACAAGCTACCCTTGAACCCATCTCACCGCACTTCATCATCTTTGCGAAACAAAAAACTTTGAAGCCATTTTCCCCACGCGACGTGCTGCCGTTACGCTTCTACTCTGCCGCCTCCCTCCCTCTCTCGCCGTCCCCCACCTCTTCATATTTGTTTCCGGGATGGGTTCACGTCCTTCGCGACAATTCTCATGTTTGTGCGGTAGCACACCCGCCCCAGCCACGCGGCGAGACCCACCGTTGCAAGATAAAAAACGCACGAAACAATCCACAGGCGGCCGTAGTGGTTCTTTCCCTCAAACTCAAGCGGATACGCCACCCACACCCACAGCGGGATGGTCGCGCTCCACGCAAGCATAATCGCCACGGACCACCAAATCGACCCCCGCTCTGACTTCGGCACAACGGCCATGTTCGTCAGCAGCTTCGGCTGCAACGGATCGCAGAACACAAAGCCAAGAAAAGGCAGGAACCACACAAAGTACTGCACGGTGCACACCTTGTTGAAGGCGACAAACAAAATCGTCTCAACACAGCACGCGTGCGCGATGTTCTTACGCAGCTTCCACGACGCGTAGAAGAGCACGGCAAACTGCGGCAAAAAGGCAAAGAGTCCGGCGGAGTAGTCCACGCCGACGCCCAGGTCACGCCGGCCCATGTTCAGGTACATGAGCAGCCAGTAAGGAGAGAAGTTGTGGCGGTGGTCCTCGCGGTGGACGTGGTAGAGGAACGCCTCATCCAGGTACTGCTGGCCGTACCAGACGTAGCACAGATACGTAGGGATGGCAAAGGCGACGGTGAAGCAGACACCACAACCAACGACGATCGGCGCACAGTGGAGAAGACGAGGTGCGACGCGGCTCTGCGAAGCCCGCTCCCACACTCCCAATACCAGCGGTAGAGCGTAGATGATCGGGTAAATTTTGAAGTGCACCGCGAAGCCGAGAATCGCGGCTGCCATGAAGGTGCGACCCTCCGCGAACTTCGCGAGCACGCCCATGCTCATGAAGGAGACCAACATGTCGCTGTTGCCGCGCGTAGAAACGTTCAGTACGACGGGGTTGAAGAGAACAAAAATCATCACCATCCACTTCGCACTGCGCGGCGTTGCGTACCGCTGCAGAATGGAGTAGCAGTAGTAGGCCGCGCCGAGGTCGCTCAAAGTGAAGACAACTTTGCCGAGCGGGTTGGCCACGAGGGCGGCGGGCAGAGCAAGCACTGCGAGCAGCGGGGTGTAGCGGTAGGTTGTCCGATCAAACGGGGAGCCGCCGTGCAGCATCTCTCGCGCACCGTCCACAACAATCATGTAGTCGATGTCGGTGTACTTCACGCGGAAGAAATGATCATGGAAGGCGGAGTAAACGAGGAGAACAAATCGCACCATCGCCCCGTAAAAGAGCAGTGTGCGGATGCTCGAATTGTCCACCCACGAAGAAAGGCCCATCGTGCTGAAGAGCGGTTATGAAAAAACCCTGAGAGCGTTTCTGAAAATTCAAACTAGAAACGATAGAGAAAACAAAGAGGGCTCGGCTGCAGAGAGCGCCAGTGGGAAACTGCATCTGAAAAAGAAGCGTAGCTTTCCTTTTACCTCCTTCTCTCTGTGTGTGTGTGTGTGTTTTGGAGTTACGCCACACGCTATGCGCGCAACAACACTACGAGGAGTCCTCGACAACAAAACAGCCCGGAAATTTATGCCGCAGCGCACACGAAAGCGCGGTCACCTTCGCAAATGAATCAAGTTCCTTGGCAGAGGAAAAATACAGAGAAACAGAAGAAGGTAAACAGGTACGCGAAAACTGAAACCATAGGTAGGCAAAGAGTGTATGTGTGTGTTTTCCTCGCCGATGACGCAGTCTCGGTAAACACAGCAGCTGCAATCACCATCGAACGCAAACAGAAGTGATTCGCTTCCCTTCTGTCTTATACCCTATCGCCGTTCACGAACTTCAACGGTTCACTGCTGATTGCGTCAAGAGTCAAGATGATGATCAGACGAGAAGTTTTTTCCGCGCTTTCTAGCGCGAGAATCCTGCGTAGTGTGACTGTAAACTGTCAACGTACGGCTTCCCAACGCTTGCGTTTACGATACTTCTTTCTTTGGCTCGACCAGTGCTTTGTGAAACTCACCAAAGCCAGTCGAATGGCAGCAAAGGTGGGCAAAACAGAGCGCAGTCTCCCTTTCACACCTCTACTTTTCAAAAGTGAAATACACTTGCACAAACGAACGGGGGGGGGGGGAGGACAAAATAGACAGAAAAAAATGAACGCCCTGATGCGCAGCGGTGTCCTCGGAGGACTTCCTCAGGTGAAAACAGACCCAGAAAAGCAGTAGATATGCGTGCATAAACCGGGAGGACATGAACCAAAAGGGCTGTAGCAAGTGATCTCAACCACCCCAACAACATCAACAAAACAGTATCATCGCACCTGGGAGAAAGAATCACACACCCGATTTGTGCGACACAACGTTCATGGACGAGTTGTCAGAAAGCGAATCCACCAGGTGCAATTGGATGCCGTTCTGCAACTGTGCGGTGGCCAACTCACCACTCGGCAGGGAGCTGTCCAGCGCGGCTATCATTAAACGCGTGTCGTTCATGCTCGGCGATAGGTGTGGACTGAGTTCATCATCGGCCGAGACAGATGCGGACTCCTCGGAGTTGTCGTCCTGATGACGCCGCAGAGCTTTCGGATGCGGAGAAGGCGCACGCACGCGATGTTGCGTAGAGCGATTTTGTGCCCTGCCGTCCCACTCATCCGCAACAGCCACCGTCAATGGAATCAGCTCGTTCGTCTCTCCCACTCGTGGGCCGCAAGACGCCCCAACGATTTCCCATGGGAACGGTGGACGATTCCGCGCCGCGGTAGTCGATGAAGGAGACACTGTAGCCTTCGCATCCGTTGCGACCGGCACAAGGTTGCCCTTCTGTACCACAGAGCCGTCATCGCGGTCGCCCTTGCTCGAAGAGCCCTCCTGGCTTTTCACCGGCATCGTCGCCATCGGCTGTGAAAGATCGCCGCCGTCATCGGCCATTACATAGCTGGCCCCACGACGCTGCGCGAACGCGTCGCGGATGTCCGCCTCCAACCTCAACCCGAACGTGGTCAACACGCCTTCGTCCTGCATCGGGCTGCTGTTCTTCTTTCTCTTTTCCGTAGAAGGGGTCGCCTCTGCTGCGGCTGCCCGATCGCTCTCTAACACATGCGGAAGCGGCTTGTGAACACCCGCCAGCTCCTCCGCATCAGTGTCCTGCTCATCGTTGAGAGCATCTCGCGCTTGCCGCGCATTCCGCGCCAGTGCAGCGAGGACGTTCCGCACAAACTCCGGCGTTGGCGGGCGTGGCACGGCGTCTGGGTTTTGGAACACCGCAGAGGTTCCGTTTTCCTCCCAGCACTGCGCCCGCTTACACCGCGTGACCGGGGTGAGGGCGTCGCTGTCGAGGCTGCCGTAGTGGGATTCCTGCGTCTTACTCATCGCCACACTGATGCTGCTAGGCGACCCGCTAGGGCTGTTGTGCGACACCGCGCCAGAGTTGTACTCCTCGTGCGCGGGATCGTTGGGGGAATGTTCACTGCCGGGATGATCGACAAGAGGGTAGTGGCGGCCTCTTGGGTTTTTGCAACGAGTGCCAGGACTCTGCCCTGGCACTAGCGCGGTGCTCGTCAGAGGTGAATTCGCGTATTTTTCCTCAACGAGGCACGATCCACTCAGCTCACGTGAGGTTCGACGACTGCGGCTCCCCAGTAGTTGACTATCAAAAGACATCTGCGGCCTATCGCCGCTCGTCGTGAAACCGTGACCTACCTTCATACTGTTGTCTCCTTTGTTCGCCTCCGGCGCAAGCTCCGGTCCCACTTTTTTCATAGCAACTATGCGCTCGTGCATCAGCGTCAGTTCGTCCTTCCCGGTGCAACTCGACTTCCTGCGACAATCGTTAATCTCGATGCTTCCGCTGTTCCACGCAGCCTCGGGTATCGCGGAAGTCGACGCCACTTCGTTGTTGTTGCCTCCGCTGCGGCCGTCCACGCCCGCCTCTGCCTCCTCTGCCTCTTCGTCCTCGTCCTCGTCCTCTTGCGCCTGCTCTTCATCGTGCTCACCTTCTTCTGCTTCATCCTGGTCGCGCAAATGCGGACTGGACAGCGAGGACTCCGAAAGCGACGGCATCGACGCGTCTTCATGGTCGTTATTGTGCTGGTGGTAACCCCCGTGGGGCACCTGCCCGAATGTTTGTTGCGACGGCGCAAGCACTGTCGGCATCTGAACGCGATCCTTGCGGAAGGCGTTGCGGTTGGGTCCGTCGTGCTCAACAGCGACGGCGGCTTTTGCGTTTTCCTCCAACGACCGTTTGGCGCCGGCGGGGGTGCTGCAGTAGGAGTAGTCGTCCTGGCTGCCGACGTGCGGCGTGTTGACGTCGCTGCGGGTGGACAATGGACTGAGAAAGATCCGATTGTCCGTCGACGATTCGCGGTTCATGTTCTCTGCCGGGAGCCCCGAGGTGGAAGCGACACCGCCGTCCTTCTTGTCCTTCTCGACCTCCGTGTTTGATACAGAGAACGCAACCTTTCCAACACGAGCTAAGCCGTCGGCCGTAAAGGCCGCGTTATTGTCGTCATCTCCCGACCGCGCTGTGTCGGAGTCCTCCTGCGCCTCATCATCATCATCATCATCATCATCATCATCATCCCCTCCCTCGCCTTTTTCCACGTCTGAGCGTGCCTTCGCGCTGTGTGACTCGTCCTTTGAGTCGGAGTCGGAGCTGTTCGATGGAGAGCTCTTCTTATCCTCCCCGTCGCCCTCTCGTCGCGCACGGAGGTCTCCTTTCTCGTCTTCGCTGTTCATGTCACTTGAATTGAGGCCACTGTGGAACGTCAGCGTTTGCGGAGCCCCGGAAGACTCCGCCGTCTCCCGCCACAGTGGTGGAATGACTATTTTTTGATGATTGGTTGCTGAGCCAGCATCGGGTGAGAAAATGGTGGTAGGGGTGCGCTCCAACGCTTCGGTATCCACGTTGTCCCTCCCCGCCTCATCTAACCCGCGCGTCTCCCCGGCCTCCTCGATCTCAATGGCGTCTGCCACGGCGGCGCGGTGGCGCGTCGCTCCCCGTTGACGGCGCCTGCGACCGTTGGAAGACGACGCGTGCGAGGAGTCGCTTTTGCTGTCCGTGCTTGCGTCGCTCAATAGGCCAGCTGCTTGTGGCGCTGTTGCTGCCGCGACGACGTTGCTGTGCTGATGCACCTCAGTAGTGGGGTCCTCTACCGCAGCGGAAGAGGGAAGGACTGCGAGATGCTTCAACGGAGAAACGACGGGGCTTCTACCGCCTGCCGTAAGAGGCTTTGCAGCGTTGGGAGCGCCTTGTTCGGCCGTCGTTTCCGGTGCGCTGGCAGCTTCCGTTGATCCCTGCAGCTCCTCCGTTGGTGCCAGTGCCTCGGCGTGGAGTGTGGCGGACGCATCATCCGTGAGGCACTTCGGCGAACTCGTATCCGTTGGCTTATTAGTTACGCCTCTCGCCTCAAGGACTTCTGTCGCTGCCTCGAAGCCAGTCTCCAACGCAACGCGTCGAGCTGCATTGCTTCCGTCACTCATTGACGCTTCTCTCGTTGTGATTTCCTCCATTGCATCTTCGTTGGGCTCCCGGGGTGCTTCAGGGTGGGGCGGTTGTGGCGTTGCAAAGGGTGAAGACAACACCTTCATCTCTCGGAGATCCTCAGCTACGGCAACATTCGTTGTCGGTGCTGCAGGAGCTTCGACAATTTCAAGGGATGCTTCTCGCACGGGATGCCCCACACCAAAGCCGAACACTAGCGCATCGAACATCGTGGACGCGTTCGACAGGGAGTCGGGGACTGCTGCTGCCGCCGTGACAGCCGACTGGCTCGAGTGGAGGTGGCTTCCCGCAGCTGCTTTGTCTTTTTCACTCGCGTCCGCCGACCGTTGCCCATCTGCGCTGGAAAGGGGCGTGGCTGTGCTTCCTTCGTTTCCTTCGCTTTCACTACGCACCAGCAGCGCCGGCGAGAGGAAGGGAGGGGCTCTGCTTTTCGAAAAGCCCGCGTGCGTTGAATTCCCTGCAGCGGGTACCTTTTTCCCTTCCCTGCGCTGCTCGTGCTCGGCTGCGACTGTCAAAGACACCTCCGTCTCGTACACCGACGCTGCGTTCTGTTGCAGGTGGGACTGACTCGCAGGGGTTGCGACGTCGGAGCTGGCTGCCGCGAGCTTTGCACTTCCACTCAAGTCGTGCATCGTGCCACCCATCGAAGACGGCGACTTCAGCATTGTTTGTGGTGCGCTCATCAATAAGTTGCGTTGCATCGCGAGCCACGCCACCGCTTCCACGCAGCCGATTTCTTCGCGGGCGTATCTCTCCTCGTAGTCGCAGATGCTGGGCTGCAACTCGGTACGCACGAGGGCCTCGGTGAAATCAATGGAGTGTCGCAAACGGGCCTCCTCGTACAGTAACTCGTTGACCAGCTCTCGCTCGCGTGCCGCCGTCTCGCTTCTCTGTTTTAGCGCTGCTGCTTCGGTCGTGGCCTCCGCCATCATCTGTGTGCGTGCATCATACTCCTCTTCTAACGCCCTTGACCACTCATTGAGTGCCAGTTCCATCATCAGCAGGCGGTCACGGCCGTACCGACCATCCCACAGAAGAGGCGAGTGCTCCTTCGACTCCGCAGTGCAGATGGACCAGCGCTCCACCGCCTCTGCGTGACGCAGCTGGTCGAGAGCAATTTCGCGTCTGGCGTTCGTCTCGTCTCTGGCCAGCTGCACACGCAGCGCAGATTCCATATCCATGAGCAGCTGCAGCTGCATCTCCTGCAAAGACGTGTGCAACGCCGCTTGGACGTCTGGGTCCGTGGTAGGTTGATGCTGCCTCCTTTTCACCTCCGTTGCAGCCGCCGTCGGTGCAAGCACGGTAATTTCCTCCACTTCGCCTTCCTTTGCAGGGATTTCAGGCGGCAACGTGAATACACGCGGCTCTTCCTTCTGCTCGACTTCTGCGGGGTGAAAACTGTTTGTCGGCGCAGCTAACACGGGTGCCACCGTTTGCGCCACACTTGACCTCTTCTCTACCGCCTCACCGACGGAGATGCGCTGCGTGCTAGGAAGCCTCGTCTGCACGCTTTTGTCCTCCATTGGGCGTGGTGGCGCCGACGGCGGGGGAGCACCAGGGGCCTCGCCGAACGCCACAGTTCTCGCTGCACCGACCTTGGGCTCCTCCGCACTGGTTGATTCCTCGCTGTGAGTCGGAAATTGTGCCGCGTGCGCTGCTGGTCTTTTCCCCTCCTCGTCCGTCGGCAGCTCCTGATGATCGGCGGTCTCCTGCGGCGCCCCAGCAGTACCAGGCATCGTCTCCATCGACGCGTCTGGTCGTGGTGGGTGCGGGATGTTGTAGGGATAGAGCCGCTCACTCGTCGCGTACGGAGTGGGCCGCGGCAACATCGTACCACCGTGGAGCCACTGGAGGGGGTCAAGTGACGCTGATTCCTTCGAGTACGCATGCATCGTTGGCGGACTGTGTCCATTGTTCCAAAGGAGACGAAGAAGCTCTTTGTGCAGAGCATCGTCCGCTGCCGCGTTCTCCGGTTCCACCCCTTTTGACGTCTCCTCCTCCTCCTCCGTATGCGATGTTTTGCCACGGCTCCTGCTGATGTTCATATTGATGTTGTTGCGATCACCTTCAGTACTTGCCAAACCAACTTCACTCCATTCCGCAGCGTGCTGAAGACCTTCTAAGACAGTTCGCAGCACCTGCATCGTGTGACGGGCGCGGTCCGCACTACGGTTCTCATCTTGCCGTGCGATGAGGCGCAGCAACTGGCGCTCGATGGAGGCGGAAAGCGGAGGCGACTGCTGATCCTCTCGCACATCAACGTCATCCTCCTCCTCGTACTGTTCGGCCTCCGCACGACAGGGGTATCGCGACGACGCAGGCCGCGCGGAAGACTCACTCGACGGCGGTGCATTAGGTAATACAGGACAAGGAGAGGCCTCCTTGCAGGGCAGAGGGTTCGGCGAGGACGCCGACATCGACGCTGCGGCTGGCCAGCGACGACCGCGCCGAGGACGGCCCTCCTCTACCGTCGTGCCGGACCGCGGCGGTGGTGCGGGCGGCTGCGGCAGTCGTACTGCACGCGGCACCGGCACTTCACAGCACTCGCACCGGCGGTGGCGGCGGTAGAAGTGCACGTACACATCGTCGCCGTCATCAGCGCTGGCATTGCTGTCGTTAAATCTGTCGTTTGCCTCCTTTTCAAAATAAAAAGAGTCGCGCACGTCCTTTCTAGGCGACTGACGGGGGAACCGCTGGGAAGAGGCGGGCTTTCTGCTGCCCGACGCCGGCGGGCGTTGCGTCGGCACGTGACGGCTTCCCCCTCGTCGAGCCCGCGCATCTCGGGTGCTGTTGGAGGACGACGTGACTGCCGGGGAGGGACACTTCCCGGTGGCGCGGGACGTGCGCTGGTGCTGCAGACGAAGCTGCAACAGGTGCTTGAGAAGGGCATCAACGGAGCGTCGGCGCGGGTACTGGGCTAAGGTGTCCAACTCCACGGTGATAGTGGGCGTCGTATGGGACGGCGCAAGAGGGGACCGCTCCTCGGTCTTTCGGATTGTACGGCCTTCCCCCACATCACGTGCGGCAGCACCTAAAGGAGACGCTCGTGCAGCCGTGAGAGCAGTGGACGCAACATCGCGTGATGACATCGGCAGAGGCTTTTTGTCCTGCATTTTGGGGAGTGTGCCGTGGCTTCTCTGCGCACCCTGGGCGGTGGTCGTTGTTGCTGTTGGGAAATGCGTGACGGGTGCTGGCTGCGCCGTCTCCCGCATCTTCGGTGAGTTCGCGGAGAACGCGGTCTCGCCCTGCGTCGGGCGTGCGCTGAGAGGGTCCTCGTCAAAGAAGACGTCCTCCTCACCCTCATTAGAACAGTCGGAAGTGCTGCTGCGTAAAGAAGTAAGGGCTGTGATGGACGACGGAGCAGTGGAGGGCCTTGCCCCATTGTCCCAGCTGCCATCATCCTTGTCGCGACCGGTTGTGGCAGGCGGCGGAGCTAACTCTGCCGTGTTCGCGGGAGGGTGAGAGGCCGAGGACCTCCCTTGGAGCACGGCGTGTGCGGTGGGGGACGCGAGTGCCGGCCTGTGGTGCGAGTTAAGCCCAACGACATCCGCAGCAGTGAACGCCGTCTGCCTCTCCTGTGCCAGCGGGAGCGCGCCAATGGGGGAGCGGGAAAACGCCGATGTCACAGCGTGTGCTCTGCTTCGCGGGAGTCCATTAGAAGCACCTCCTCGGTTGCGCTCGAGCATCGCCGTTGTGATCCCAGCCACCACGTTGCTGGACGACAGGGGTTGATAGGAGAAGTGTGGCCGCTCCACGAAGTATCCATCCAGTCCGACCAGGTTTTGCATTGACTCGAGGCCGTCTTCCACCGCTTCGTCCTCGCGCCGGTGGCGACTCCGCCAGCCCTTCTGGCGAGACAGAACGCCACGAAAGGCTGCCGAAGACGCAGAAGGCGTGCGCTGCGCGGATGAGGGCGAGGGCAAGGACGAAGAGTTCGGACGACGCAGTTTTGCTCTTCCGTTTCTCGGCAAGCGGCCGTACGCATAAAAAGGTCGGACGCCTCCATGGGAGGGCGGATGCGGTGACCGCGCCGCGCTGCGAGTTGTGTAAGCAGGATGAACGCTGTAAGTCCGTGAGAGGTTATTCTGGAAGCGATGGGCAGGGCTGGCGTCGAACTCCGGCCCTTTGTAAAGGCGTTGCAGCTGTGTCTCGATGGACTGATCCATCAGCGTTGCAGGATCAAAGGTGTAGAAAGGCAGTCGGTTTGCTTTTGGTATGGCGCCATAGCTGCCGTCTGCCATTACACGGCCGGTGTGCAGTTGCGCTGAGTGCGGACGACGCGTCGGTAGGGCATCGCCGTACCCAAAGTTTGACATCTAAGTGAAGTTCTGTGTTGTAAAGGAGAAGAAACGAGAAAGGAAAAAACGATGAAGTACGCGCTAACGTAGAACCTGAAAAAAAAAAAAATAACAAAAGGAAAAACGATGTCTAGCGAGGAAACACAACAGTTCCTGAAAGGGACCGAATGCACGCAAAACGCGGTCAAGGGCGGTGGTTTTTGTTGCTACGTAGTACCGTTTCAGAGAGCCCACAGAGCGAGTTCATCCAAGGTCCGAAGAACTAACCTTCGCTTGTAAGGGGAAAGTAAAAGCAAAAAAGGAAAAGGAAAGGAAACGTCACAAACCGTAAAACTAAAACACGAGTGCAATAGGCGTATCACATGTACTCAACTTGACGTATGCATCTCAGCAAAGAAATAACATCTGGTTATAGCTATAAAGCCTTCCAACACACACACACATAAATATAGATATATATTAACTCTTTTAAAGAAAACAACGAAGCGGAAATGACGGGGGTACCCGGGTCAGATGGAAACAAAAACCGTTTTTGAGCGAGAGAGAGTGAGAGAGGAAACTTCAACAAAAAATACTGTGCGGCTACTCGCACGGTAGATCAAACGAGAACATGCGCCACGACAAACACTCTCAACGTAGATTAGATATCAGAAAAAAAAGAAATGAAAAGACAGAGAAAGTAGAGAGAAGAGGCGAAGCCTACAATTGGAAGCGATGCAGGAAGAAACGCCTTCTGTGCCTTCCTCGTATCCGAATAACACCCGAACTAGAGTCCCCCGCGCTAGAACTGAGCAAATTGAATCCGGCAGTGTTCGTGGAATGTCGTTTGTCATCAGTTATTCACAGAGCAGCCTTAAGCATATCTCGTTCTTCACTCTCGTCTCTCTGAAAACAGAGAGGTTACTGTGTCTCCCATATCGCTGACACGCGCGACGGTTGCGCGGTACAGCGGTGAAAACACCAGGAATACATTTACCACTGCTTTTTTCTTTTGTTTTGGGAGCAATATAGTACTGAACCGAGAAACAAGTTGCCTCGTGCGGAGGCACAAACATCTGCGAAAAGAACACCACAAACAATGCAGGCGAGTCCGCCCAGAACATCTAAGAAAGCGGGACAGTTCTCACCTCAAAATCAGAAGCAAAGAAAAAAGAAGTCAGCAAATATAGAAAAGTAAAGGAGTCGACAGGAGCCGAATATGTACATTCGAAGAGCTTTTTCAATTCCTTTCTCGCCACCATACCCAACACGCCCGTCATTCCACACCACATCTAACGGCGCGGTCCCGCGACTTCTACTCCTTCGCCTGGCTTAAATGCTGAAAGAACGTCTGCTGTTCCTGCTCTACGCGCTTCAGTGACTCGTACTCCGCCACGTAGCGGTCGAGCTCCATTTGCTTCTCGCGCAGACGCACCTGCGCCTCCTGCACCGCACGAAAGCGCTCCTCCGCTTCGCTTTCCACGATGTTACGCGAGCCGATCGCGGTCAGCTTTTCCGCCTCAATGGCGTCTCCCAGTTTCCGCACAATCGCCATGGTGCGCTGCACCAAGGTGAGGAACTCATCCATCTTTTCCACATAGCGTTTTTCGACCTCTACCGCCTTCACGAGCTCCTCAAACTTTTCGGGGCCGTACATGCGGATAGCGCCATTGCTATCAAACATAATGAGCTGATCCTCCTCCATCGCTGCGTTGGCTGCCAAGGCGGATCAGGAGGTATACCAAGAGAAAACGAATGGAATAAAGTGTCACGGCAATCGTGGTGTTGTGACACTGTACGGGATCTCTAAGTTTTGAGTACAGTGACTTCGATAACAGCAGAAACGTTTGTATCGCTGATGCGTGAGAGTGAAAAGTAAGAAGAGAGATGATTTGATTAGCGACTCCTTTCGGTGAATGATCCAAAGTATTGCCACATCCACGTTAATGTTCAGCATAGCTCAAGTTTGTTATAGTGTGCACGACAACAACGAATTCGTGGAGCACGTTGGTGATTGCACGCCGTCTTTCCACGCGATCCCGTTCCCCCCCCCCTTCCTTGTAGGGTTTCCCTGCGTCCTCCCTCCTTTCCTTTTGTATTCCTTCGTTGACTGTTGTGCGAAACCCAAAACAAAAAAGAAGAGCGCAACAAAATCTATTTATGCAGCCATAGATGTTCCTAAGAGAATCGAATATACGAATAGAATCGGCCGCGGCGAGCTTTCTACCTGCTGCACCTCAGGAATCAAAAAAAAAGTCCGCTGCCTTCCGTTGCAAAGGAAAAAGGCACGGCGCACAAAGAAGTGTAGCTTCGACACAACCCCTCAATGAGAATTGCGGGCATCTTCCCGTTATCCACCTAGGTGAGCGCTGACAACGGATGCTCAGCTGAAGCAGCAGACCCAGACTTTCTCTAGCGTGCTGAAAGGAAGCTGTGTGGAGGCCTGTAGCTTCAAAAGACATGTAAGCCGCATGACAGAAGAAGAAGACGAAGCCGAATGAACAGAGACAGAAGCGTTGGCTGTCTGCTCGGCGGCGGTGCTATTGGAAATGACAGAAAAAACGCCTCGAATATGTTGCCGCGCCGCCTGCTTCAAGCCGTAGTAATGGAGAGCCTCTGTGGTCCATCGATGCAGCGCATCCAAGTCCAGCACAGCCGTTGCCTCACCTTCCGCGCAATTGACTTCGTCCTCCGCGTGGTAACTGCTAGCGGAACGGGACGTAGAGATGAACGAGGTAAAGTCGCATGGAAAGGCCGCCGTACCGCGGGGGTGCATCGCAACGCTCTCAAGCACGTGTCCGTACGGTTTGTTTTCGATGATGAGCTGATACAGCGGGTGGTGCGGCGCTGCGTGCGACTTCGGTGTCTGCATCACGGTAGTGTTGCTCTCTGCACGGTGCAGGAAAATGTGGTTGTACCGCTTCTCCATCGCCTCCTTCACGGCTGCGCTGAAGTCGCCGTTCAGCAACATATCGCCTGCCATGGCAGTCGAGACGAGTCGACGCTGAACGTGGTGCAGTAGCTTCACACTGTCCATGACGGTAAGCGCTTCCGCGGTGGTGGTCGACGGCTGGTGGAAGAGGCGGTGTAACCAGTCCAGGAGGCGGGATTCCAGCGGTGACCGACTTGTGCGACTGCCGTCGTGGCTGAGCGCGGTGTCTTTTGTCATTACCCGAAACTCCATACTCGCCGAGCGCGTCAGCTCCTTGCTGGCAGAGTCGAAGGTGAGAGGGTAGTGTTGCGGGCTGTGGACCTCAACGCGCTCGATCATCTCCACTGGTGGGTACAAACACGGCGTCCGCGTGCATATTTCTCTACCTTTTGCAGTGAAGGTAGTGCCCTGTGGAGCGGCATCACCGCTATCTGCCGCCGTTGGTGCCGTGGTGCCGCTGGCATCGGCACTGCGTAGGAAAATGCACACCGGGACGGACACCGGCTGCTGACTCACCGCATCCACTGCCTCCATCACCCGCGGCACAACCGCCAACCCGTAGAGGTGCCGAAGTGCCTGCAGGTGATGTGTGTTGTCCTCCGGGTCGCTTGGCCACTGCGGGTAGAACGCCATCAGCAGCGCCGCGACCGATGCAATGTTGTTTGACAAGGTCAGCCGACCGCTGCCGAGAAACAACAGACCCATGCTCATCGATACCGCCATGTGCGACCCGTAGGCGACGTTGGTGCGACGGTAGAGGTGCTGCAGCGCGGTGAACACCTTCAAATCGCCCGTGCCCGCCATCACGAGGCTCAGCGCACTGGCGCAGGTGAGGGTGCAGGTTTCATACGCACCCGTCGCCCGCTGCACGGCGGGTATGGCCGTCTTCGTCGAGCCGATCTGCCCCAGCAAAAAGCCCTGCAACTCTGCAAAGATGACGTCGCGCACCTGCGTGTCCATCGTACCGGCGTAGCGCAGGCCCATGGCCATGACTTGGCCCGCCAGGCAGTGGGCGAGATTCATGAGGAGGTAGTTGCGCTGTTGTGCCACCAGGCTGGGAACGTTGGTGGCGGCCGTGGTTAGTTGCAACAGGGAAGAGGGCAACTGCGCGAAGAGCCACGCCCGGGATGGCGCGATGGAGCTCCAGCAGATCAGCGACGCCATCGTGCTACGCAGGTGGCACATCAGCGGCGTCAGTCGCTGCACCGCCGTGCGTCGATTCGGTGGCGCCATCTTGGCCGCGATAAACGCGCTGTTTGTCTGCAGATACATCAGGCCCAGCGCGACGGCAGCGGCGGGACCGGAGACGAAAACGTTGTAGCAGTCGCCTTCGTAGACGCTGGCGCAGGAGTTAAAGGTCGCCTCGCGCTGCTCCTGCGAGAGTAACGCGCGCGCGAGGAAGTGACCCGCCTCGCCACGCCCCATCGTTTCCTCGAAGTACTCCACGCCCTCGCGCGTCGACACGGCAGACTTGCGGGGCGCACCGTTCATGAAGGCCAAAAGGCGGTCCTCCACGTGCGGGACGCCGTGCGCGGCACCCACGCCGAGCAGCAGCTGACCGAGACCAAAGCCCGCCCCCAACACGTAGCCCTCTCGCTTGCTGCAGTGCTCGTCCGTCGGCAGACGCGAGATCTCGATAAGGAACACCTCCACCAGGAACGTGTTCGATGGCGCTTGCTGGCACAGCAGTCCCATCGAGACCAACGCCGCCGTTTGCACATCGAGAGAGACTTCGATGTCTTCCGCGCTCGGGTTCAGCGACTGCGCGTGGACGGACAGGCAGCGGAAGACCGCCTCGCTGCTCGTGCCACAGAAGCTGCAGCTCAGGCCGAGCATGACAGCCATCGTGGTGGCTTCGCGCCACACGTATTGCTCCTGTCGGGAAATGAGGAGGTAAAAGATGTCCGTGCGCTGCAGCACGGTGAGGTGGCCGAGAATGCCGGTCGCCAGCAGCAATCCCGCACGCGAAGCTGCATTGCCGATGTTCTTGGTCTGGTACATGACCCACTGCTTTGTGATTGTCTGCGCCGCGGTGGCGCCGGTTGCTCTCGCATCTTGGTTGAACGTGCTCGACGCGTCTTCTCCTCGAGCTCCTCCGCCACCACCCTGTGCGACAGGGGACGCCGCGTCCGCGGAGGCACCGTTGCTTACGCCAGCACAAAAGGACGGCGGTAGCGGCAGAAAGCGCAGCCCTGCTGCACACCCGTTGTGGAAGAGCGGCCACATCAAGTCATCGGTGGACTTGTTCACCATGCAGACCCCGTCGTTTGTGCGGCCGTTCAGGTTCAGGGGTGGGATGGGAATGCTGTCTTGAACCTTGAAGCTCTGCGTACACATCGTCAGCATCCCACGGCCCAGCGGCATAGCGCGGGCACGGCTCGACAGCAGCTCCAGCGCCCCTGTGAGCTCCTCTGGCCGGTCCTCAAACCCCGACAGCGAGATTGGTGTGACAGTGTTGAAGATGTTCTGCGCCACCTCCAGACGCGAGTCACGCCACGTCTTGCGGAAATCAGGTCGCACCGACACACCATCGTCCTCGGCGAGCGCCACGCGAATTTGGCGGGCTACCGCATTCTCCTCCGCCGCCTCCACTACGTGTCGCCCGGCGCTGATAAGTCGAGCTGCGAGCGACGTCGGCGGGCACCGATCACGACGTCCAACGAGGTCCAGCAAAACGGCTGGCCAGGTCGCCTCTGCCTGTTCACGACCTTTGGCAATCGCCTCCAGTAGCGGGTACGCCACCCCGGTGTTAAGGACTTGGCGGACAAGGCTGGCGGAGATCTTTTGCTGCAGTAGCTGCGTGCAAATGCGTTCCCACCACCTCCGTCGGCAGGGCCCGCTGTTTTTGTGTTCTGCTCCGCCACTTCCTGCGAGTGGTGCGCTGCCGCGGGTACTGTTGTTGTGGTGCGGCACTGGAGCGGCTCCGAATACATCGCGATATACCGCCACAAGGCGATTCGCGAGTGCGATAGGGTGCGTTTCCGGTACATTCCGGAGAAGCGGCCACGCGCGGTACATCGCTGCGTGCGACGCCGCGTCTTTGCTACCCATCGCGAGCATCGAAAGCAGTCGAAAGAGATCTGGGGCATCGCCGTGGGCGAACTCCACCGGGCCCGATCTTGCCACAAGCGGGGCGTGGGAAGGCGAAGTGGAAGAAAAGGCCCCAGTAGGGTTCACGTCCGCCTGTGGTTGCAGATACTCAAAGTGGCGTTCCAGCACCTCCTGGGGAAGGCACTGTGCAAAACAGCTCGCGCCCGTGGCTTCTTCTCGCGGCTCATGCAAGTTCGCAGACGCGGTAAACAGCATCGCGTTGTAGAACTCCACGTAAGAAGGCCACTTCAGTTGCACACTCAAACTGTGGTTCAACTCCGCAAGCGGAGGCAGCACCTTCCACAGCGGCTCTTGCAGACGGCACGACTCAAACAATAGGTGCAGCGCCACCAGCGTCAAGCCCGCCTGCTGTGGTGTCCAGGACGGAATTAGTGCAGCATTTCCAGAAGATTGCGCCTCCGTGTTGGAGATGTCGCCGGTGCGTAGCGTAGCGTCTTTGTCTGACGAGACAAGCACACTCTGCACGCGCTGGAGAGTGAGCATCGACGGGTCAACGAACCTGTCTGAATCGGCGAGGATCTTCCTTCCCACTGGATCTGTTGCAGCAGCAGTAGCGGAGGAGGAAGCAGCGTCGCCGTGATCACGTGTCCCTGCGACACCTTCCTCCCCGGCAGCGAATGTGTTGCGCTGCACAACGGGCATGCACAGCCGCTTCAAGAATGCTGCACAGGTCTGAAAAGGATTTGAAGACGAATTCGACGTGCAGCTGCAGCCCCACGCCTCCATGAAGAGCTGGTATTCAAGGAAGGCCACCATGCGTGGTCCCATGGCGGCGCTCAACGCCTCTAACATAAAAGCCAACAGAGGCTGGACTTCGCTCGTCAACGAAGGGAAGGAAATCGTGTACGAGATGGTCCCCTCACACCGCCGACGGCGTCGGCTACGGCCACCCTCCGCTGCCGCCCCTCCAGCGTTTTCGGTGTGGGTGCTGGGAAACGCGTCCGTGGCCGCCGCCTCCGTCGTCTGCGCCGCCCCGCTTGGCCAGTCGTACTGCAGCACCAAGCAGGCATCGTAGTGGTAAAGCAGACTCCGAATGGGATGGGGAACAGCGGTGGCCGTGTCGGTGCCCCAGACCTTCGAGTTGCGTTCTCTGCGACGCCACTTCTCGTACGGGCCGGCAGCCCCGCCATGTTGTGCGTCCGAACCGCACGCATCACCGCTTCGTTTGGGCAATGTGTTCGCATCACCGATCAGCCGCACCTCGCCAAATCGCTGTGGGTGGGAGCTTTGGTGCGCACCAAAGTCCAGCTGCATGGCCACCGTGTCTGCCGACGGCTTCTCCAGTAGGGATGCCACGTCGTAGACGGAGATCCAATTTGCGCGCGGGTAGTTGCACACCGCAATGGGGGCTGGGTGGGTGGCGGTGTGCAGACATGGAAAGACAAAGGGCAGATCGCCGCACGGGAAGGAAAAGAGCACCTCCAGCTCTCCTTCGCTGGTGTGCAAGTCCGGCGTGCGCAGCACTCGGAGCCGGTGGGAGTGCGAATCGTACAGAAAGAGAAGGCATCGCGCGCAGCTCGGGTGCGCAGAGGCCACCACCGACAGCGCAGACCCGCTACTGGCCAGACGAGACAGTCGCACACGGTGCGGCCACCACTGCCACAGCATGGCGTCATTCGCGTAGAGGGGCGTCGTGAGGACCAGGCCAAGCTCGTCCGACGCGGTGCGCACGACAGCCAAGCAGCTTTGCAGCGGCGTTTCGTTCTGCGGATCGTAGAGGGGCAGCTGCGTCAGAACAGTCGCGTCCAGAAAGACAAACTTGGATTTTGGATTCGTGGTCGCAGCTTGGGCCGGCGGCACCCGAGAGGAGGACGGCAACGAGGACGGCGCGCCACTCTGCACCTCACCTCTCCGGGAGACGCCGGGAAGAGGACTGGACGGGATCGGCGTGGAGGATGGCGAACGTGGGAAGTCAAACTGTCCTTGCGCGGTGCGGCCCTCGACGTGCGCGACAGAGGCGTCCGCCAAAGGGCTTCCCGGGCGCGGGCTTGAATGCGGGCTCACAGGCCTATCCGAGTCTGCCCCGAACCCAATCGGTGAAGCGGCCACGCACACCTCCGCGCTGGAGATCGCAACATTGCTGGATTGCCCATCATTCCTTCCACAAAAAGGCTCCGGCACATAAAAGCGGCCGCTCGTCCCGTCACCTTCGGCCGCCGTTGTCGTCGTAGCTCCCGGCGGCGCCACCGCACTCACCGCCACGTACACCGGCTTCACCGACAGCGGCGATCCCATCCACCACGTGTCAGCCGCCGGCTTGTAGAGCTGCCCCTGAAACTCCAGCGAAGCACCCAACCCAACCTCGCCTTTGCTAGACTGCCGGCGTCCGTGAAGAAAGACGCCACCGCTGCCCACCGAAAAGGCGGAGATGTCACGGGGAGCGATGCCGTGCAGGACAAGCTCCAGCGCCGTCGTGTCCTTCACGCGGTACGCCGTGCAGATCGTCTGCGGCTGGACGAAGGTGTACCGACCGTACTGATCCGCCAACTCCTCTCGATGAAAAACGCAAAGGTAGTCCTCCAGCGCAGGGGTTTCTTCCTTCTCGGTAGATGCACGAGAGCCTTTGTGGTGTGCAAAAGATGTGGTGTTGCCAGGAGCGTCAGCGAGGGACGGGATAAAACTGCTACCTTCCGAATTGCCACTTTCGAGGAGCGCCTGATACGCCTCCTCCGTGCGTTGGGCCCGTAGAGCCTCTGTCTCGTCCAGATCCAACGTGTGTGCTGCGTCCTCCACGCTGGGCTTGGCTGGCCACTTGGCGAGGCATACCCGCAGCACTTCGCGGTGTGTCGTGCTAAAGCATGCGTGTTGATGATGCTGCAGAAAAATCTCGCGGGTTCCGTCGGGCTGGCAAGGACCGACGTCAATCGTATAAGGGCTAAGTGCCATGCTGATTAAGAGGAAGACTATCCTTTTTCTGTTGTTGTTTTTTGCGGAACGTCCACAGTGAGAATGGTTCCAGAACACACACACGCACACCAAGACCAAGGAGAAGAAAAAATATTGTAGGAACGCTTGTGAATCAAAACGGGAACGAAGCGCCGTCACTTGTCTTCCTTGCCGATAATCCTGATTTGTACAAGATCTGACGAGGATCTTCGAGGAACAAAACGTTTTTAACCAAATTCTATGGGGAACGCTCTCACCTTCGCAGCCACGATCTATGCGTTACGCAGCACAAGAGTCGTGGTGGTGGGAAGAGTCTGCTGGTATCAGAAAAGCGTGCGCGTGCTGGGCCTTTCGCTCGCCGGGAGCGTCACGGCGAAGACAGGAGAAGAAAAGAACGAGAAGAAATCTCAATGCAGAGGAAGCCTGGGGAAGTGATGAATGAAAGAAGAGAAGGCGACAATTAAACCTTGAACAGCGACAACAGGAAATGTACATTGACAGTGTTAACTTGAAGAAACGCTGCTTTCACACAGGCGTGATCGGCCTGCACCTCAAGAACACCTTTTGCAGCAAGAGAAGAAGCTGCAGATATCCTACATTGAAAAAGTCTCCTTCTTTTTTTCCCCCCTCTTTTACGAAGAGCAGAATATCAACAGCGGAAGAACCTCCAACGAAGACGGGGAAAGGGGAGCAGACAAAGATGGCCTCACATTTCTAGGGGGCAGATGAACAGCTCTCCACGACAGTCGAGGCGCTTTGTACTCTCGATGGAGTCCCAGCCGCACCTCGAATTTGGCGAAGTAGGTCGTTCAACGCACTCACCGTCCACAGGTGATGACTTCGAAACACGTTTTGAATCTCGCAAACACCGTATTCTGTTCCACGACGCAAAAGTGAGGTTTGGGTGGAAAGGCACCCAAATCGCGTCCGAGTAATAGCCAAGCGAATACCGCTTCACAGTGACAGCGTCGATCCACACGCAGTCCGCTGTAATCCCATGCCTCACATCGCTGCTACACTCGGTAGGCCATATCAAATTCTCCAAGTAGTCACCGCTGGCAAGACAGTCCAATGCCTGACGGCTTACCTCATCAGCGGACTCTTTGCTTCTTCTTCTGTCGTCACTTAGAAGGTACGCCGTACCATTTCGAATACCATCAGATGAGAAGGAAAGCTGTACGTTGAGCGCGGAGGTGGCTGCGGCAAACCAAGAGGCACCGTCGGAGTCTGGAACGCACACCTTCCAATGTCCGTGCTGCATCCCGTAATGCATAGCAGGCACAGGAGGCAAGTGTGCGTGAAGGGCAGCGCTCGTATCCACCAAGACAGGGAAACGCTCGCTCAGACGTGACAGTGGGGACAGTGGGCTGGAGGGTAGAGGATGCCTGAGGAGAAGCGCAAACAGGCTTGTCTCATGCAAAAAGGAGGCGTTTAGCATGGGCACGACGCCATCGTCCTGTGCAGCTACGGTGTCGCACAAGGACATCGGTGACGCACACAGGTGCGGCTTCGAGGGGGGAACCTCTTCAGTAAAGTTGCCTCGTGGGTCTGTGTCTGAGAGGAACTGTGATGGGACCCACGCAATGCGATTCTGGTAAAACCGCGGCTTGCTCAAGAGTTGGGCCGCCTGCGCTGGGTAAAGCGATGAGCGGACCCACCTTGAAGGCGACACCTCTGCCGCAGAAGAACTCAACAGCGAGCTTTGAATCCTGAGCAACCGATCCAATTTTGCAGAACGGGACGACGGCACGCGTGCACGCATTTTATCTCTTCATGACACCGCCTCTTGGGGGACCTTTATTTTTTTTAAAAACAAAAACACCTTAAAGCGGAATGAAATGCGTGCACGTCTACTGTCCTGTGGTGGAAACGCTTCTGAAATCGCTGGTGAGGAAGGGACGCGGCGATTGACTCTCCTCCTTTTCCCAAGGCAGAAGTAACGCGTCTTTACGTCGTGGCCGTAGAAAGAAAGAAGATGGAGAAAAAAATGGCATCGTTGAATAAAACAAGCGGCAATGCAGAGAGTGACGACTCGACGGCACCCGCCACAGTCGTCTCACCTTCCGTGCGTTTCGCCGAAGGTGCGCTCATCGTGCGCTGACCAAGTACAGCGAAGCAAAGCAGGAGAACACTGTAGAGACTACGCGCCATCATGAAGGATCTCCCCGTAGGTTGTAGGCCGATTGAATCACCTGATGGGGCACACTTTTCTAAAAGTGTTGTACCTGAATGGATTGTATTATTTGTGGTCCTTAGAACGTCGTAGTGGACAAGCATATGTTACAGCATTTAAACTTGTTAAACGTAATAAAAAGACGCGCGGGGGCATCCGAGAAGTCCTCAACTTCTGCTTGAATTCTCCCCAGTCGCAGAAACAGCGCTGTCGCGAGGGCGGCCGAGATGCGAGGAGACTAAATGAGAGAGAAAAAGAAGTCATCGTTTACTTCCCCGCTCTCTCGCCGCGGCTGCCAGCTCGTGCACGGTGGGCACCATGGGGAAGTCCGGGTCGTCCTCCTCCGCCTTCAAAAACCCTCCGCCACTCGTCACAAGCATCGAAATAAAAGCGTCACCCGGCAGCACAGGAATCAAAGCAGCGTCGTTTTCTGCAACGTGCGCTGGAAGGCGGTGCGCTTTGGTCATCCGCAGGTGCTGCTCCAACGCCGCACGGTCGTTGTGTGTTCCGTCGATCGCACAGTGCTCGTCAAAGGGGCAGCGGTCCGCCGCGACTGCCCGGCGCACGGCGTTCACGATACGGATGAGATCGTACTCGTTTTTCATGTCGTCGCGCTGCTGCACGGCAGTGCGGAAGTCGAAGTCGTGGGTGGACTTGAGGTGCTCCAGCACATCCTCGCCGTCGTAGTCGCAGTAAAGACACACACAATCCAGGTTCCAGTCCTCGTCCTCGTCGACCTCCTCATCTTCCATCGCATCCCACGCTGTATCATCGTCGTCTTCCTGGTCGTCCGCGACGCCGTTCGTATTCCCTGCAGCCGCAGTAGAACTGCGGACGGGTTTCAGCGCAGTTGGCACAGTTTTCTCCATCGTCACCGTGACCCACCATTCGGACAAACTCGGAACGGTGCTCGGATTCCAACTTGCGTGGTTCTTCTGCCACGCGTGTTGTAGCAGGACGTCAACGTCAGCGCTGTGAGTGTCCTCCCCGCACACCGGACACGTCCAATGCGAGGGCGCCGACCCGCGGTGCAGCAGCAGTGAGAGGTGCCTGAGCAACTCGGGAAGGTTTGACACGTTGTCGAAGTGCACACAGTGGATGTGGTGCTCGCCGATGAGGTGCTGCATCAGCGCATCCTGCCCGCGCACGTGCTGAGCGCAAAGCACGCAGGCGAACTCGGCCACATCCTGCTGTTGAAGACGGTGCAGAATTTGTTTGCACGAGTCCTTCAAATCGGATGACATGATCGGCTAGAAAAGGTAAACAAAAGGCTGAGCTGCGTAGTTGTGTAGCACAGTCTACCGAATCGGGAGGAGGCGGAGTAGGGGGTTGGGGTGGAGGGAAGAAGACGTAGGAAGAGACAAAACGACGGCTTTTCTGCAGTAGTGATGAGGGAGTTGCAATTCGGAATAAAGCTGAGAGCAAACAGAGGCCTGTTCTTATCATGCTCACAAGGAAAGAAATGAGCTGATGTGCGACCAAAACGGATTACGAATGTATATTTGCTTCTCTTATTTCTCTTTGCGTGGCGCTACGCTGATGAGGAAGACAAGGAGCATTCACGTGGGACCGCGTCGCAGAGCGCTGAACACGAAGATGAAGAGAGAGAGAATAACAAAAAGAAAGGAGCAGCTGCTTTCCGTAGTGTTTCGGCTAGTCACTTACGATAGTTCTGCGACGAGCTTCTCGAACGCTCGTACCCTCGATCCTCCGCTTGCAGGCTTGCGCGCAAGTCTTCCATGCTCATGTGCATTCGCTCCTCCACACGATCGCGCTCCTCTCGCAAAATACTGCTTCCTCGCCGATAGCGGTTATGATTGGAATACGAGGGAGGGTGAAGCGGAGGTGGTCCAAGGCGCTTTTGTGGCGATGTTGGCGGTGTTGGCGGTGGTGGTGGTGGTGGCGCAGAAAGGACAACCTGTGGAAAAGGAGATCGCCACGAGTGGGCAGATGTACTGTTCGCCACTGGCGAGTGCGAAGGCCATGGGGCATAGTGATGATCTCGACCATAGTGCGTCGAGGAGCGGTATTGGCCTACCGATGAAGGCGTGGTGGGGCCCGGCGAAAGGTAGCGATGACGCGTACTCGACGAGCTCACCACAGGAGTAGAAAGAACAACGGCAGACGCGGGGTTGTACCACGCAGGCGGTATCCCTGCTGTTTCACCACGCGTGGATGAAGCTGCCGTGGTAAGCACGGCCGGGTCGGCTGCCGAGCTGTAGCTGCCAGGGTTTTCCTCGTTGTAGGCTAGAGAAGGCGGATGTGTGCTATTGCGGACAGCAATGTGGAACGCAGGTTCGCCTTTAGAGATACGGATCGCCGAGTCAATGGGAGGGGACACAAGCTGCAGACGGAAGCGATGCGACTGCACTGCGCCGAAGGACGCGGCTTCCGCAGCCGCTGTCCGTGCGGGAGCGGAAAGAAACGAATGGCGTACACCACTCGCGTACGTCGACGGTGCGTACTTTACTTCATGCACCTGTCGGCCACCACTCCTGCGTTGACCTTCATTGGCGTTGATCGGGAAGGGTGCCGTTGCAGCGACAGCGGCAGCGGGTGATGCTTCCACATCTTCCACCTTACCGTTGTGCCCACCCTGTTCTTCGCGAGGCAAGACCCATCGATCACTAAAGAGACGCGGAGGGGACACGGAGGAAGCCAGACCAACCCGCGGTGAGGAACCTCTTCGCGAAACAGACTCGGGCCGCCGCAGAACAAGATTAATCGGCTCGGGAATGGCATCTACCGACTCCTGACCACCGCAGCGAAAGACGTAGACCTGACAGCACGGTGACAGCTGGTCTCGGCCTTCTAACAGATTCCATTGGCACTGCACATCGCTGTACGCGTAGGCGAACGCAAAAGGTTGCAGTGGCTCTTCGTGCGCATACTGCATCGTGAAGAGCGCAAAGGCAGTTTCCGCATTGGCGAAGAGGTGCACCAGCGTTTCGGTGCGCGGATTGTACCGTACGGCAACGTTTATTTTCTCTCCGTGGCAGTCGGCAGCCACGTAGACGGGAAACTCCATACAACCGACACGCCACTGCGTGTTCCTCTGTCACACACGCACAAACACTTCTGTGCGCAAACGAGGCGGAAAGAAAAGATGCAACTACTTGCACCAAAGTCAGCAGGAAGAATGTATTATTATTTTTTCTAGTTTGATGCCAACGTTGTGCAATTATGAATGGAAAAGGAAAGACAGAGTCCACTCTGCTGCTTTGTAGCTATTCAGAGGAAGTCAATAAGTGTGTGAACCACACGAAAACAAAGGGTAATCGTACCAATCTACTGGCGTGCAACGGATGAGCGATAGTTTTGCGTTGCTGCTACCTCGGGCTCTATGAATACACTCTGCACATATATGTTTAAACGAGTATCGGAAGTTCATGCGACCCGTTAACGGGAGATCAGCGAAGTGAGAGTTGGACAAGTGCAGTCATGCAGCACATTTGCAATTCAGCGGTCATACCTTTTAGAACGACCACGTCCCAATTTCTGTTGGGCAACCACAAATGATAATGAAACGATGAAAACCCCTGTGAGTCGTTGATGGAGGACGGCAGCCGCAGCAAGACAAGATGGAGTGTAGAGAGAGAGAGAGAAAAAAACAAGAGTGCTGCAGGGGTCCACTGAAGCGGGCTCAAGCCGCTCTCAAAGGTGCAGAAGAACGACCTGTGGGCTGATAATAAGCAAGAAGGTGAAAATAACGTATATCATTTCGTTAAAGTTGACATGCCACTTTCCCAACACTGGAACTCCAGCCTCTGTTTCCTACCGCACCGCAATCAATTCAAACTGGCCGAAGTGGTTGAAGTGTATTTTGTAGAAGCTCTAGGAAAGCAACGTTCCTGAAACGTAAATAAGCAACAGCAACGCATAATACGCTGCGATGGGTTCAGACAGCAAAAGCGGCAAAAAAAAAAAACGTCAAGACGATAAAATACGCACAGTAATAATAATACCAATAGCCAACCACAACCTTGTCGGAGACTCCTGCTCATGGGGAGGCGTAACAGCCGTCTTTCCTATCTCTTATTAAAAATACAGAGGTGTATATATTTTGGTGCGAAGAAAGAGCAATAATACGCAAAAAGAAGGAAGGACCGTGTTTCTCAGACATCTGCCTTTCGTTCTCTCCTCGACGCAACGAAGTGCTCCGGAGTGTGACAAGCAAAGACGCTAGCTCGCTAACGCCTCTTCATCCAGTTGAATCTCTGGCTCAAGCAGCGCTTGGATGCGATCAATGGCGTTGCTCACGTCATCGCTCTTCCCCAAGCCGCGTGCATTGATCAAGATGCCGCCAATAGTCTTGCGCTGCTCTTGGAGGATAAAAATGCGCGCGGCCAACAGCGACACAAGCGGGTGGTCGACCATCACTTCCGTCTGCTGCTCCGCCGTCAAGGTGCGGTCCGCCGCCTTCTCCCGCTTCGATGGCGACATCGTTAACGTCTCCATCACCAACCGTCGCAAACTGTTGCGATCCGTCTCCTCCAGCTGCTGCTTCTTGGCCAGCGCTTCCAGATCATGCTGGTGTGCCTGCAGAGTCTTGCACCGATCACGGAGCATCTCCACCTCCGCCTGTTGCTCCTTGTATGCGATCTGATAGGTGGCCAGTTCCACCTCGTAACGAGCCTTCTGTTTCGTTAACTCCTGCGTCATGGCAGCGGAGTCGGCCTCGGCCTTCACGATAGAGTCCTGAATGATCCTCAGCTCTTGCGCACTGCATTCGTCCTCGATCGCTTTCCTGCCCTGCACAGCTTCCCGAATCAGTGCCGTCCGTCCCTTCAGCTCATCACGCATGACCGCCACCATTTTTCTCTCCCGCACGGCACTCATCCAGGCCTTGTATACCGCATCGTACTTCCACTTCAAGCCTTGCACGTGCTCCGTCATGGCTTGACACTGAATCTTCGCCTTTTCGAAGGCGCCTTCCATCGCATGGCAGGCCTGCGTGACCTCCGCCAAAGCCGCCGTCTCCTTCTCGAGCGCATCCTCGGCAGCACGGAGAGGATGAATGTCCTCCTCCATGAGGATGAGAATGTTGTCTGACAGCGCGGGGGTGCGATCTGCCGGTATGGGAGCCGCGGCGTCACTGCTGCTCGTGAGGCGCAACGCCTCCTCGCTCGTCACAAACCGCGGCGGCGCCGCCTTCATCAGCTTCGTTTCGTACTCCTCCAGTGTTTTCTTCGCATTCTGCAAGGACCGCATCGCCCCCGTCACGGAGGTGAAGCTGCGGCCAAGAGACTGAATGAGGTTCTGCTTTTGCCTCACCTCCTCTCGCGTCTTGCCGGAGAAGCTCAGGAAGGTGTACTTGGCCGAGCCGAGGTCGGCAATGAGGGTCGGTACGTTTGCCATGAGAACTTCAGAGTAGAACAGCAGTCGCTCCTCGTCTGTCTCCGGCAGCGCCGCCGTTGGAGGCGCCAGTGCAGCGCTCCCGCTCATCGTGGAACGATTCTTGTATCAGGGGGAGGGAGGTTCGTTTTCAAACGCTGCGCCAAGAAAAACTAGAAGAAAAAACTGCGGCTATTAAGAGTGCGTTGTGGAAACGAGAAAAGTTAGAAAAAGAGGAAAAGGGGAGCAAGAGCCGTGTGAATGAAACAAAGAAAAACATCGGAAGGCAACTCAACTCACGCGCCTCCTGCGAAGGTCCTCAACAACACAAAAAACTCCTAGAGCCGCGAAGAAACAGAAGGGAGGAGCACATACGCGCCATCTGCAACGCTCATGGAAAGTGAGTGCTCATCTAGAAACACACCCGTGCATGAGAATGAACACTTGAAGCCACAGAGGTCAGTCAACGCCGACTGTTCATGAACCATCACATTGTAGAACGAGGGAAAAAAAAAACGCTAGATCGGTGGCATCAACCAGCGTAACGCAAGCAGCAAATAGGAGGAGAGAAGAGACACACAATTCGTCGCACGTGATGTGCACAGTTCCGTTTGTAAGACGGGCTATTGTTCGGTGTTATACCTACACAGAGACACGGTTTGCAGTACTGTATTGCTCGAAGGCTTCCGAGAGCAAGACTTGGAAACTGTTCGAATCCGCTGGAGATTCCCAGCGCACATCACGCGTAAAAAAATCGCCCGGTGACGCCACAAAGCGCATCGCCGATGCAGGATGCTTCTCCGGATGCACAAACTGCAGCTCCGTCGCGTGCAGAAGATGCCGTCTGCACCACACACGCCGCCCAAACGCCGCCCCGTTCTCTACCAGCAAAAAAGGATCGTCCTCGTTGCGCACGCGCGCCAGATACACCGCATCAGGCGCCGCAACACAGCCGTCCGGCTTTCCACGCGAGACAGAGGTGTAGAGCTTGTCGCCGAATATGGGATAGCCGAGAGAGGCGCAATGAACACGAATTTGATGGCTGCGACCGGTCAGCAGCTCCACTTGCACACAGGAAAGACCCAGCAACTCGCTGCTTGTCAACACGCGCACTCGGGTACAGGCAACCTTACCCCATTGCGTTGGTTGCAGTGAATCCTCTTTGGGGCCTTCGGAGTCCGCCAACGGAGAGAACAGAGGCTCACAACACATTTTCAGCCTTTTTAACTGACTGTGTGCTGTATCATGCTGGTAAGCGGGATGACTCTCCACGGTGCCCATGTAGTTCACCACAACGAAGGTAGCACCGATTGGGGCAGCACCAAGGAGAACCGCCATGTACGTCTTGCCCACGCTCTTCTCGCTTTGCCGCACAATGCGATCGAAGTCCTCATTTGTGAAGGCTGCCCGTGACGTCGTCACACGAGCCTCTACGGCCGCACTGCACTTGCGTGTTTGGCTTTCAAACTGGCTAGCCATTGCTTTCGCCGCTCTGCAGTTCCTGCACAAGACGAGCACGCCCGACGTCTCCTTATCTAATCGCTGGACCGTTAAGAGAGTTGGGGGAGCAGCAGGCGGCACCGCTCTGTGCTCCTGTGTGGGTAGAGCGGCTACTGCGTGCGGCGGTGTCGGCTCTCGCGACCGCTTCGCTGACGGTGAGACGCTTGGACTCGTGCGTTTCAAATGTGTGTCTGGTAGCTCACTTGATGACGCCGCTTTTAATGTGAGCGCAGCATCCGCAGCGACGTATGCGTGCATCTTCTCACAGGTCACTTTGTTTGCTTCGCAACCTGCTACCGCACCGCCCACCACCGTGTCGGCCGTATGAAACGCTCCCGACCCGCGGCGCTGCAACACACCGATCAGCGTGTTCTCGCAGTAGCGGCCACCTTCTGCCACGGGCAAATTGCCGTTCTTCGCACACACCAGCAACGAAGCATCTTCGAATAAGACGCGAATGTTCTCCTCGTCAACGCGCGGCTCAAGCGAGCGCGGCGGGGCAAAGCGCAGTTGGTCGCCTTGCTGAAGAACGTAGTCCTCTTCTGTCAAAATTGCGCCGTTTATGAAGACGTGACCTTCGGAGAGGTGATGCTTCCACGCGTCGCGGGAGAGGTACGTGAACTTGCGTGCGAAGAAAGAAAGCACCGTTTCGGCGGGTTGGGACTTGGGTCGACAGTATCGCACCTCACGCGGCATCGACACCTGGGAAGTTACAGCAACAAAAAGGAAAGGGGCGTCGATGATGTAAACAGGAAAAAAAAAACTATTGCGTCGCGGAGCGCGTCATGCATTAGAAGACGGAACAGACGTCAATGAATAAATGTGGATGTAAAGCCGTGACCGCCGAATGCCATCGACGCCTATTTTCCTTTGCTTTAAAAAGTCGCTGGGATGACTCCGTCAGTTCAACGCATCAGCGGTCGTTGCTGCACATTAGAGAAAGAGGACAAGAAGAGTTCGATACTTGGGCTGTGCATCCGCAGCACACACAGACACACACACACACACAGCAAAAAAAAAAAACATGGTTCTCGGAGTACATAGATAAATTCGAATAGACCACCTACAACTGAGGCGAGGCATCGTTTAGGATGGTGTAGTTAACGGTTCACTTTCGGAAGCGTCTGAGTGTAGAACTCAGTCTAAAGAGGTGGGAAAACGAGGAGAGCGGGAAGTTAAAGAGGCTCATATGGGGGTACTACAGAAACAAACTCAACAACGCAGAGACGCCGCGCATGAAAACGAAGAAAAAAACGGAAAGAGGGAATATGAAAGTAAATATCGAAAACTCAGTCGTACAAAAGCGAAGAGGTGATTTCAAAAAAAAAAACAATTAAGCAGGTTGGCGATCCATAAAAAAGAGAAAAAGGAATATGAAAATGAGGCGATTCAAATGAGGGCACTCGCGACGTCACAACACCGGCACGCTTCAGAGCTGCAAGAGCAGCCCCAATCATTCCTGATTGACAAACAAGGAGTCGCGAAAGGCGCGCTTTCGCCGCTCCACTTCATCTCGACTCTGCAGCGGAAAAGAACCGCACAGATATGCGCTGTCACGGTGGGTCGCCCGGCTTGAGGCACTGTTCTGCACCGACGTGCCGCTGTCGCCGTTGTGATCTGTGGCATGGGTCAACGGGACTCGAACCCCCAGTCTGCTGCCCAGCGGTGTATGGTGCCAACCCGCCGTCGTAGGACTTCCCACGCGCGGGGGTGGCAGCGGGCTGTCACACACACTGTGGTGCTTCACCGCAGGCGACGAGGCAGAAGAGTCGCTAGAGTACCTGTCGCTACGGATGCCAAATCTGATGACGGATGGAAGCGGCATCAAACGAGCCTGCAAGGGACTACTGATGATCTTCACACCGCTCCCCTTGAGGTCGCTGTCCGTGCGGTTTGCCGGGGTAAGGAACTGTGCCAAACGCGGATCCAGCTTGCTTTCAGGTGGGACTTGATGAGGGCTCGCGATGAGCGTGTCAGCACCGGGTTTAAAGCCCGACGGGTCGCTCGCTTCTTCGTCCGTTATGACCGTTATCTTTCGCTGCCGCAACGAACTGCTCAGCGACGAAGCGTCGGGTACGGACGGCAACTCCACCGAGGACGTCTTCGCCGTGATGTGACCACCTCTATCGGGGGTCAGCGCACCATCGTCCTCCCTCTTCGGGGGAGAGAAAAGTACCTTGCGCACGGGTGATGTTTCTGCGCTCGGCATTGTTGGAGACGTGGCGAGCAGCGCGTACGCAGATGGCGCGCCGCTTGGTGCGTCAGGCGAGGGACTAACGCTCGCACGTGTCGACTGACGATCCTGTGAAAGTCGAATTTTGGAAATGGAAGGTTGGCCCGCTGCGTCCTCGTCCATTGCCGAGATCACCGTGGTCAGTCGGGAAGGTAAAGGCGTTGCGGTTGGCGCACGGGTATTCTTGACGGTGGAAGCAGAGCCTGGAGAGGCAGGCCGTTTTGTCGAGATGGGCGTCGATTTGTCGGCGTCTGCCATCTGACCTTTAGCGCGAGCACCACCACCATCGGCGTCTCGCTGGGCGACCTCCGGCGGGGAAGGCAACAACGGCGTCGTCGAATACGGCGACTTTGACGGCGCCGTGTTCGACGGCAACGGCGCGGGATCGCACGCGTTGTCATCATCAGAGGACGTGTCCTCCAGGTACATCGGCGTGCGTGCTGCGCCGACCAGCGTCGGCCCGGTGCCTGTCAGCGTGCACTCCGTCGTTGCCCCTTCCTCCCCGGGAGATGCCAACGCCGTCGCTTCCGCAGCTGACACATCATCACCGCCGCCATCGTCGTTGCCAGTATGGTTTCCACGTAGTAGAACTCGCTTCCTGCCCTGATGGGCAGCTGCGGTGGCGGCTTGCGGCACATCTGTCTTCTTTTGCGGGGTGTCAGCGCCACGTCGTGCCGGTTTGAAGGTCTGCTCCAGCATTTCCGGCTCTCCTCGCAGAGGGCTCATGAGCGACCGAAGACTCGATGAAAGCTGCCTCTCATCCTGTTGTAACTCTTCTACTCGCAGGTCCATCAGCTCCTGTAATTGCCGACGCTGTCTCTGCACCTTCTCCGCCTGCAACTCCTCATCCCGCTCACCATCCGCGACAACGATGGCGTTCTTGCCGGGCTCGTCGCCGTCGTGGTGACGCCGCGCTGGGGAGCTGTTGCTGCTGCCCCGCTGTTCGAGCGCGAGCGACGGCAACGTGCTGAAGACTGGATCAGGGGACGATGACGAGTTGCTCTGCTTCGAGGCGTTCGGTGGCGACGCAGACGGAAAGAGCTCTGTCCGGCGCGGGTGCGGCTGTGGGTAACGCGTTGGGGCGTTGGTTGGCCCCCTCGCCCGCACCGAGGCGGACGTCGACTCACGCTCACTGTCGCTCTCCTTCAACGGCAGCGGAAGCTGATGTGAACCACCGAGGGGGTCGACGGAGGAGGCGGTGTCCGTCGCGGTCGTCGGTATGCCGCAATTCGGCACCCACCGATCGACGGCGTTGGCGGGGGCGAGATCGGGGACGGATGTGTTGACCATCGAACTGGAGGGGAAGAGCTGGTGGCCGAGTGGGTGAAACGACGGCCGCTTCGGTGAGGGGGCCGGAGGGCCGTCCCTCGCAGACGAGTCGGTGTGTGCGGTATCCGTCGTCGCCACACGCAGCACCGTTGCCCCACGGGCTTGCAGCCACGCCAACCACTCCGCGCGCTCCTGCATCGTCTTGGCGAGTGCCTCGAAGAGAATTGGACGGGATCGGCACAGCTCCGCTTCCCGTCGTCGCGCGGCCACCGGGGCCTGGGCCTCATCGCCCGGTCCCGCAGTCGCCACGGCTCCCCCGAGCGGCAGGACGTCCTTGTACTGCGCATAGGTGTCCACCACCGACTCCACCTGGAAAATGTTCTCGTGGGTGGCGCTCGGCGTGAGGTACGTGCGCTTCAGGTCTATGGAGACGCACCGCGGCTCGTGGCCCAGAGTTTGGCGAATTTTCTGCCAAGTCGAGAGTCGGTGACGGGAGAGACGCACGAGAGTGTTCGTGGGAGACGCAGACGCGAGTCGCAGGTAATAGCGGCGGTGACGGGTCGCCTCTCCCCACGGGCGGCAGTACAAATATCCGGTGGAAGGCGATTCAGTAGGCAGCGAGACGCTCGGGTGAGAGCTGACGGACGCGGAAGCCGACGTGGTGTTAAGCGGGGTCAAGAGAAAACCCGTGAAGGACCCGTTCCCATCAGGGCCCGAGCCATTTGCACGGGGGCGCCGTTGTGGTCCTACGGAAGGTGAGCCTGTAGACGCCACCGATGCGGCCGAGCTTAGTACTGCGTTGGCCGACGGCAGTTGGTGCACCATGGCATCTGTAACGGCGGGTGAGTTGCATGTGGGGAAGGACGGCGACCCAGGTGCGCCCTGAAAGGAGGTCTCGGGGGAGTACAACCGCAGCGACGGGTACGACACCGCGGGAGAGCCTGGTATCCCGGGCGACTCGGGAAACCCAGCACCGTTGCCCGCTGCGGACACAGACCTGTTTGTCATGGCCTGCGAGCCAGGCGTCTGGCTCGCAGCCTTGGCCAGAGCCTTCTGCCGCTGCCGACGCTGCAGGCCTCGCCCGGAGGCAAAGTCGATGAGCAGCTCCTCGATCTGCTCCGCGTGCTGACCGGACGCGAAGACCAAAAAAAGCTTCATTCCTCCCCGCAGCATAAAAATTACCCCCACTGGCCCCCACAGTTCATAGCGCCATTCCAGGTTCTCGAGATCGTCGTCGCGTGAGCCGTGGTGCGGGTGTTTCGAGCGGCCGCCCCGCGACTCTTCCCTCGCGGCATCCACGAGAGAGCCGTTCGAGTTGAAGGTCAACGGCAGCGGGCGCTTAAAGACGTGGCGGCGAATCGAGTGGATGTCCTGCAGGGAAATCTCCCGCCGGTGGTGCGACGGACGCGAAATCAGTGTGCCGTGTTTCGCGGCTTCGGCGTCCATCTCCGTGGCGCTCTGCGAGACGGAGGCGAGCGTTTGCCGCCAGCCCCCGCTCGCGCCGAAGCTCGTGTTGCCGTTTTCAATGGAGGGGAGTCGGCCGGGGCCCTGCTGCCACGTGTACTCGTGCCGACGAGGAGGGCCGACGTCGATGGTCCCGGCGTCCTCCAAAACCAGCGCGTCACCGCAGCAGGAAATCTGCCGGAAACACGACCACGTACCCGCCGTTGTCTCGAAGACGACCCTGTCTCGCGGATCGCGCCGTTCCTCCTCAGTGGAGGCGACGGAAGCGTTGTTATCGAGCCGCTGCAGCGACGTCGCACGTTTTGGGTACAGGCGCCCCTGCAGCCCACTCGCCGGCGTCCACTCCACCACACTAAACGTGAGGATCGGGGAGGAGGGCGGAACGGATGAAAAGCGCACCCGTGGGGAGTGCTGCGGCTCCGGCGTCGACCTTCTCGAGCCCTGCGGGAGATGCATGGCAATACGGCTTAGGATAAAGACGAAAAGAAAGAGGGTAGGATTTCACAAAAGGGAAAAACAAAATGAGAACAACGAAAGATGGCGGTGCGTAGAAAAACAGGGCGGGAGACAGCAACGCACTACTAGGCGTCTTGAAAGAGAACCAACAGCGGTTATTACCGCTGGAAGAAATATATAGATATGTGGAGAGAGCTCTAGGGAGAGATATGCTGAGAATTACTAATACATAAACAAATGCCAAAGACGGCCTTTTCAAGGCGAAACGGAAGAGGAATAAGGAGGGGAAAAGCTCCACCTGTGTTCAAAAATAAGATGAGATGGAAGTAGGTGAAAATACCAAGAAACTGGCAGAGAAGACAACACTATACGCCCAAGGTACTATCACAAGAAACTACGCAACAAAGTGTATAGGGAGTTGGCTGAGCGCAAAAGAAAAGGCGGACCGCGACGAACTAAAAAACGCGCGGGGGAGGGAACTTCCCATCAAGGTCAGAACCACAGAAAACAGAGAACAATAACCTCTACCGCAGCAAGATGACTAGAAGAAAAGCATAACAAGAAAACATATTCGGTCAATCTAGTCCACAAAACCGCATTTCATCTGTTGCTTAATCGCCTTTCTGGTAGCTGCCAACACCTTTTCACGCCTCGTGGGAAAAAACGTGTGCCTCACGCTAGCAGCAACACTCAATACGCACAGCAGATGTTGCGCTTACCGATAGTAAGAGTGAGAATACAAAGCAGACGCACAAGATTGGGTCGCGGTGCTTTCAATCCGTAGAGATCATGGTCGAAGGTCACGGAAGAGGACGGACAAAGCATTTGATCGGTGTTCAACAGCGTTTTACAACCCATGCAGAAAGAATCCATCACGGTGCGAAAAATAGGTAGAAGGCGTAGAAGAGTGGAGCAGTAAAGAGCAGAGAAGTGTCAAGCCATAATGAAGCACAACCTTCAGTTTGGACGAGCACCAATTGCGCCTTCGCCAGTCAGCGCTGCAATCACACGCAACAGCAGCTTTGCCGTTGCAAGCCATCATTAGACAGCTGCACGTCTCATGTGTGCGTGTGGGTGTGTGCTTGTAACTAGCGCAATCAGTCTTAGGGGCAACCAGCGTGGACTGCACGCATTCATGACCCACTTCCGTCGTCTTCATTCCTCGTGTGTGGACTTTTCGCTAAGCAAAGTATGTGCCAGCGTGATCCAGCCGTCGACGTTCACGCGTAGCAAATACCAAAAGCGATGTGGTCTAGCTACTCCCAAGGGATCCAGACAAACACCAGCAAAGCTAGAAAAAAGAATTCTTTCAAAACCGCACTGGTTGAACTGTGCTATTACAACGATAATTTATAAAGCTATTAGCTTTGCTCCCCACGTCGCAGAGCGGAAGTGCACTGTCAATAGGACAGAGGAGAAGGCATCTACTACGACAGCATGACAGAGCGAGAGAGAATCAAAACATATGTACCAAACACGAGTGCATTTTTGTGGGCGGAACACCAACGGACACATAACAGAAGGAAAAAAAAACCGACCCCCCCCCCCACCACACACGACGGATCGCTCGAACACCACTGGAAAACACGGCACAGTGCACGCCGTTTAACGAAATTCGAGAAATGAAGACGGGTGGGGTCTGTTAGTGCTGCAGGGGGGCCAGCGGCATCGTCTTCAGGTCCGGCGACACGTGGAAAGAGGCCTCCGTCTTCGCCTTGACCTCCTCCAGCGTGACGCCTTCCGCCAGCTCCGTCAAGACAAGAGAGTTCACGCCGCTGGTGCCCTTCTTCACAGCAAACACCGCAAGATCGGTGATGACCATATCGACGCAGCCGCGGCCGGTAAGCGCAGACCTGCATTCCTGCAGTACACGCGAGCGACCATCATTGTCCGTGTGCTTCATCAGTGCAATGGTTCCGCAGCCACTCGAGACCAGGTCCATCGCACCACCCATACCACGCAGAAACTTTCCCGGTAGGTACCAGCTGGCAATGTCGCCGTTCGCAGACACCTCCAGCGCACCCAGCATCGTGAGGTCCATGTGGCCACCGCGAATCATTGCAAACGACTCCGCGCAGTCGAATAAGGACGCACCGGTACTCGTCATCGTAATCGTCTGCTTGCTCGCGTTCGTGATATCTGGGTCCACCTCCTCCGGCAGCGGATAGGGTCCAATACCCAGCAGGCCATTCTCCGCCTGCAACACGACGTCCATACCTTTAGGGATGTAACTGGCCACCAAGTTTGGCACGCCAATACCAAGGTTCACCGTCATGCCATCCTTCAGCTCCAGTGCGGCACGGCGGGCCATGATGTTGCGCTCCACGCTGGCGTTCTTGCCGGTGCCGGACGAAAATCCAGGCCTCCGCTCCACCACGGACTCGGCCGCACGCTTTAGTTTCTCCGGCTTCACGAGGCGGTGCACGTACACGCCAGGCAGGTGCACCTCCCTCGGGTCAATCTCTCCGCACTCCACGATCTCCTCCACCTCGGCAATGCACACCTTCGACGCCTTCGCACAAACGAGGTTGAGGTTCTGCGTCGTGCCGCGGAACACAAGGTTGCCGCGCTTGTCCGCCTTCCAGGCACGCACGAAGCCGTAGTCAGCCGGCAGCGCCATCTCCAGCGTGCACCACTTCCCGTTGATGTTGCGCGTCTCGCGCGGCTGACTGAAGGCGGCAGCGTGCATCGTCTTCCCGGGGATGAAACGGGTGGGGAGTCGCCCCTCCGCTACCGCAGTTCCGTAGCCGGTCGGGGTGTAGAAGGCTGGCACGCCAGCACCAGCCGCACGCAGACGGTCCGTCAGCGAGCCCATTGGGCAGAATTCCACCTCGAAATCACCGTTGAAGAGGTGCTTCGTAAAGAGCGGGTTCTCACCCACGTAGCTGGTGATCGCCTTCCTCAGCTGTCCGTCGCGAGCCAAGGGGCCGAAGCCCACCTCGGGTCCCGCCATCGTCACACCGATGACGGTTAGGTCCTTCGCCTTCGCGCCGTTCAGCGCGTCGAGCAGCTCAAACGGGAAGCCGCAGTAGCCAAAACCGCCGGCGGCGATGGTGGCGCCGTCGGGAATGTCCTTCACGGACTCCGCCGCACTCATGATCACCGGGCGCAGCGCCCACACAGTTCGACGGAGCATTTCTTTCCGTATTGGCTTAAGAAAGTAATAGAAGGAAATATATGTGCCCGCTGCGTCTTGAGGGAGTCCGCAGAAACAATACCCAAGCAGATTCGCTAGAGTGACGCACACACGTGAGTTTTGTGTTCCCCTCGGAACAACTGTGAACGAGAGAAAGGCGAATGGAGCCACGAGGTTTGGTGGAAAGAAGACCAAACAAGTTAGACACGGAGAAGATAAGAAATATATATATTCAAAAAAGACCGACAAGAGAAAGAAGAGGTAGCTGCGTTTCGCAACGGAAGAGATCGGCGTAAGGTTGCCGTCGATAGGAGCTCCTTCGCAGCGCAACGACACAACAGAAAGGCAATCAGTCCGAATTCGGTTTTATGTCTTTACGTTCATGGAAAGGCAACAGAAAGCCGCTGTCTGGGGAAGAGACCGCTCTGTTTCCTTCGAGTATCGCGTCAAGGTACATACATGGAGAGGGAGGCAGAGAGAAAGGCAGAGAGGAACGGGGGTGAGGAAGAGATACGAACGCGTGCTGCAGGCACGAAAGGGGTAAGGGAAGATCCTAACCGGATAGCCGAGGCGGAAGTGTGGCGACCATTTGTGCCTCGACAGGCACTGAGCTGCGTGCACACGCGTTTGCGTTGCGACCAAGCAGCCGGAGGAGGCAGTGCACTTCCTACTCCTCCCACGGAGACTGAGGCGTGCGCTTGAAAAGGTACCCATTCGAGCGGAGGAACGAAAGTGAAGCTCTTCGTTTCGTCAACGTGGCCGGGACTCAAGCGACTCAGTGCACGTGAGCACCACCGCCATGTCGAGAGAATAGCAGGATGCACATGCACCTGGATTTTAGACTGTCTCACTGCTGGGGTTTCAGTTGTCGGTACGCTCGCAGTGATTCCTCGATGACCAGAGAAATATAGTTACCCGTCAGAGCAAGTTGTTCGTACAGCGCTCCCCGTTCCCGCGTTTCTCCATGCACACGCTCGAAAAACAACTTTATCCCTTTCCGGGCCCTCGCTATCTTGACTCCTTCGCGAAGGCAAGAAAGGGAAAAAGAAAAGTCACAAAGCGGTGAAGCCAAACACGGAACCTCATGCTGAGTACCACGAGACGCGGCTGTGTGGCACCGTGGGCGGAGCAAACACACGAAGCAGGAACCTGTCTCACAGGAAGCGAAGAAATCGTACGTGAGGCGAAGCAACGAAGAACACAAACAACGGAAGAAAGGAACAAATAATTGCCGTGCATATTTTTCAATGTCTTTAAAAAAAAGAAAGGAAAAACAACTCAAAAGGGTAGAAGCGGAGGAAGGGCGGTGACGCAAGCGGACACACACACACACTCAGACAGACACAAAAAAAATATATAGTCGAATTAAGCAAAGCGCTAACGCAGGTGACGTGTCTCGTTTTCCCCAAAATAATGTAAAAAGAATAGAAGAATCGAGAGGTGCAAAGAGTCCGAGAGAGATGCATTAGCTGAGACCTGATTCCACCCTCCATACTCGCGGTGGGCTTCCAACATATTATCTATTCACCCCGCGCAGCGTCCCGCTGCCAAACTTACTCCCTACAACGTCAGGGGACAATGGTGCACTGGACTTGGAGATTTCCTCCTTTTCCATTTTTTCTAATAGGTAGCACTACTAACGAAGTGGCAAACAAGGGTAGTTGAATTGGTTAAACCCAAGGATCCCTGTCTCCTCTTCGCTTGTAATACCCCATCGCCAAGTCATTCCCATCTAGCGGCAAACCTCGAGAAGGCTTATCAGCGGCATTGCTCGCCGAGCGGATATACTGAAATGTAGCCGACACTCGATAAGTGTCCAACAAATCATACACACGCACCAACTCCATCGCCATCGCTTCCGACTTCGTCGTTCCCTTGCGCACAGAAGACAGCACCGACGTGTTGTCGATCAAAATGCGCAAAGTACTTGGCAGTCGCTCGCGGAAGACAGTCAGCCCATACCAAACAGCTCGTGCTTCAGCCTGCATGATCAGTATCGGAGGGGAACTCCACTTGTCTCCCGACACAAAAATCTCACCAGACTCCAAAAACAGAACTGCTCCCCATCCAACCAGCGACGCATCCGTCACCAACGTGGCAGCCGGAGGCGCCACACGCTCAGGCACACTATGTGCCGCATTCTCTTTCAGAATGTCCAAGAGCATCTTCCCTTCTCGCAAAGCCGAGTCTGACAATCTAGCCGGATCATCGAGATGCACACAACCCCTATTTAGAGCACTCAACCGTCTGCGAACCACCTTCAATAAAAAGTAATATCGCACCAGCGAGATTCCCAGAATGGCTGCCGCGAAAACAACCCGGGACCCAAAAACCTCCCGCTCGCGCACCGAGAGCGTCTGCAGATCAGGCGTTTCACAGATGTGCCTGTGCACTCAATCACCGAGCTTCACCGTCTTCTGGCAGTGGTCAAAGCTAACTCCCACAAACTGATACCGGGGTGTCGCGATCAGCGTCTCCCCCCAAGTCACTTGGGCCTCAGTTGCCACAAGTAACACCCGCTTCGTCCACTCTTGGACAGCGGCTTCCGTCCCCCACAACCGTATGTTGTCTATCCACACATCGATATGGACCTCAGGGGGCGCGCGGTACTCAGACCGCACCGCGGACGTCAACAACTGCATCACCTCAGGGCTAGCCCGATATCCCATCGGCAGCCGATGCAGCTCCATCACAGCTCCGTTCTCTGCGATGCATCGAAAACACGCGCGCGCCTCCACCGGTAACGGAACCTGATAGAAGGACGCCTTCAAATCCAGACACGCCGCCACCTCAGCATGAACTGCTGGAAGGTACCGGGCCACGTGCTCCAAAGGCACGTCCGCGTCATCCTCCAATGTCGCATTTTTGACACGAGGCCACGCAATCCACCGCAGGCGTGTGCCTGTGGACTTTTCCTCGACAACAGAAAAAGGTACTACCCACCCTTTTGTGGGGGCGTCGGATGCAGGGCCAATAATACCACCGGCACGTAACGCCAGCGCGTCTGCCGTGCAAATCCGATGGCTTCCCTGCGGTCCGGGGCTTTTACCCTCGCCAGAGCCCAGTTGTCTCCACAACTCGTTAAAGCGTGCCGCCACTGCCGGCAACATCCGCGCCTTCAACAATTCGACGTCCATGGGGCGTACATCGAATTTTTAAAGCGGAATAAACTTCTCTTCCTCGCGCGTCGCAATCTTCGTGTTATGCGTGCGCCGCGTGATGGTATGACCGAGATAGGGAGGCAACGTCTCTGCGGCGAGCCAGCGCTCCGCTCGCGGAATTCCTCTCACATCAACTGCGTCAGGCGGTGCACATCGTTCGTGAGTACCACCGTCTCCCCCATGTATCTCAGCGACGCTGACGGGTGGTCTCTCGGGTCCTTGTGCTTCATAAGGTGTACCCCCGTTCTCCAATCGAGGTTGTGCTCGTACACCAACCTCATGGCGTGCTTCACCGCCCCTCCCTTGATGGAGTGCGCAGTATAGCCTTTTCCCAACGATTTCAACTTCTGAGCAGCCTGACTCGTGCTCATCGTCGTCAGCGGCTCCCTCGGTCCCAGACGTGTCTTCAACAAGAAAAGATCGGCGGCATCCTGTCCTTTGATCCACACATACCGGCTGGACCGGTAAGGGTCGCTTTTGGAGGCCTTGGGGACCGCCCCCCAATCCAGGATGATGTCGCCCTCGGGTTGCACCAGCAGATTTTCCGTCGTGAGCCCGGCGATCTCCGCCCAGCGACTTGCCGTGATCCATGCCAGCCGCCACACAACCTTGTCGCGCCACGCTGGCGTCTCCGCAATGACCCGTCCGAGGTCTTCGAGTGTCAAGGGCACCGCGTGCCTGACCTCTTCCGTCGCCGCCACCTTCCGCATGCCCTGGAGGTATTGGTCTAAGGCGGTCACCGTCGGATCCAGCATCGTCCTCAACGTGACGCTGTACTGCACCTTGGTCGACCCCTTGTAAGCACGGGATTCGAGGAAGAGCGGAACGGAAGTCGACACAGCGGGCAGTCGCATCTTGTCGCAAAACTCCTCGAACATCCGCCAGATCGACGCTAGCTGCTCCCAGGTGCTCTTTTCCAACCGGCGATGTGCCACTTCGTTGGCTCGCTCCTCGAGCATCACCAGCGTAGGATTTTGTGGTGCCAGCTCGTTGCGGTACAGGCGGTCGCCGGTCCCCGTGTGCTTTAAGATTGGAGACGGATTGATTCGCAGCACAGGGTTGAATTCCTTCCCTACACCCACGGGTGCTCCCACATCCATCATTTCTGGCAACAAAGAGAACGGTTAAGGGGGACTCTCCACCACGGCGCGCAGCACTATTTTGGAACTGCCGGTATCTAGAGTGTCTGTCGATGTGCAAACCGGCAGTTGAGGCGCCGGAGGCGGACGAAACAGAAAGGTTCATTTGGTCCCCCTGTTTGGGTTTTTTGACGTATCGCTCGATGTAGAGCGTTTTGCGCTGTACGATCGTGCAACCTTCCGCGAACCGGAAAAGGAACGCGGTCCCCTAGCCGGGCACTGGGCTGCCAAATGCTGCGAAGATCCGCAACTGAAACAGCATCGCCCATTCTTAACACTGTTCTTTTTTGGCTGGGGCCACGGCTTTAACGAGACCCATCAACGCGTCCATGCCATTGACCCTGTCCCGCCTGGCCGACGCCAGTTTGGCGTACGTCAACTCGGGGAAGGTGTTCGATTTCAGTGCCACGATAAGCCGAGACACATGGTCGGTACATTGGGTGGCCTGATACTCAAAAAGGCTGGGCATCTGCTGGGCACTCTGAACCCAGTCCCGAAGAGAGGAGTAACACCCTTGCGCCTCGGCGGTTGGGGCGTTAAGCTGCCCATCGAAGAACAGCTTACGGAGGGCGATATCAACCTCCATCAACGAGAGGCCGTCCAGGGCACCGCGCCAAGTGCGCACGTCCGTCACGTCAAAGACATCTTCTTCACTGTTCTCCGTCGCGTCGGCCGTCGTGTGCCTCGGAGAGGGCGGGGTGATCCGCACCGAGTGGAGTCCGTCCTCAGCAGCTGCAGGACGCGACAAATGGGTCTTCCCAGGTTGAGTCTTGGCCAGCAACTGCCGCAACTCATCAACGTCGTTCAGAACCCGTTTTTCGAGCAGCTTCATGTCCTGCAAAGTCCGCACAGTCTCCGTTCAGTGAGCCACCTCACTGCGCAAGCCGATTAACTCCGCGGGATCCCTACCTGTCGACTGTTCCATCCGACCCAGTCGAAGTTCCACCTGAGCGACTCTCTCACGCTCACGCTGTGCCAACTCCCGCTCCAAATCCAACCGTAATTCACTGCCTGCAGTTGCGTGGCCAGGTTTGCGTCCCTGCCCGCGCTGAACGCCAACGAAGGTGTAGCTGCCGACGCAGCTGCCGACGCATGCCTTTCCAAGGCCGAGGTGGTGCTCACTTGCAAGGACGTGAGTGCCGACGTAATCGCGTTCGCACTCAGCCCTTGCTGCTGCTCAACGCACTGCAAACGTCCCTCTTGAGTCCCCATGATCTGGTACAGCTCTCCCATGCGCTGCTGTACCACCGGATCGACGAACTCCACCCGAGTTATGGGCAGTTCGCAACTGCTCCACATGATGGCTGTGTTCGTACTCCCATCGTACAAGGCCAACCTCCCGCTGGACATGCCCAGCTGGCAAATCATGGGGACTTCCGTCCCGTACGTCGCCTGGCGAAAGATTCGCACGTTCACCGGTCCTTCCTCCAGGAGGGGGCTGTTGACGAGGTGCTGTTCAGCACCTCCCATTGTCCGCGCGGAATCAAGGCCATCCTTGCAAAAATCATACTAACGTACTAAAATAAACTTGCGAAAGAATTGCTACCTAAAGAAAGCTAAAAGAAAAAACTCAAAAGTTGTGTGAGAACTTTGATTCTGCAAGTCCCAAAGATAAGGCGAAGGAGAAGAGCGAGGGAGAGTAGTAGAGGTAGAAATCATGTCATCAGCAAACGACGGAGCCATTGCTCCTCATCCTCCTCGTATCATTCTTACTCTTTTCATCATTCCATTCTTTTCGTAAACTATCAAAAAAAAGGAAAAAGAAAAACGCTGGACAGGAAGAGTTACGGAAAAAAAAGCAAGATATTCTTTCTTGCAGAGTTGAAAGCAGTGGCGAAACTGCTGCTTACCAACCCCAAAAAGAAAACCTCGTAGAAACCCCAAAAGGAAATAAAAGCATGCTATTCGATAAAACCTGTTAACGATGATTGCGTTGTGGAACACGTGGGTCGCCGGCGAGGAATCCTTGAACACGACTGTCTAATCAGCGAAACAGTTAGCAGAAATACAATAAACAATAAGAAAAGGAGACGCAGATGCGAAGTTCTAACTCGAGCACACCTTGTGTGGAAATAAAACGAACGACACGCACCTGATCAACGTCCGCTCAACGCCGGCGCCAGCGGCATCGTCTTCAGGTCCGGCGACACGTGGAAAGAGGCCTCCGTCTTCGCCTTGACCTCCTCCAGCGTGACGCCTTCCGCCAGCTCCGTCAAGACAAGAGAGTTCACGCCGCTGGTGCCCTTCTTCACAGCAAACACCGCAAGATCGGTGATGACCATATCGACGCAGCCGCGGCCGGTAAGCGCAGACCTGCATTCCTGCAGTACACGCGAGCGACCATCATTGTCCGTGTGCTTCATCAGTGCAATGGTTCCGCAGCCACTCGAGACCAGGTCCATCGCACCACCCATACCACGCAGAAACTTTCCCGGTAGGTACCAGCTGGCAATGTCGCCGTTCGCAGACACCTCCAGCGCACCCAGCATCGTGAGGTCCATGTGGCCACCGCGAATCATTGCAAACGACTCCGCGCAGTCGAATAAGGACGCTCCGTCTTTTATCATCGTAATCGTCTGCTTACCCGCGTTCGTGATATCTGGGTCCACCTCCTCCGGCAGCGGATGAGGTCCAATACCCAGCAGGCCATTCTCCGCCTGCAACACGACGTCCATACCTTTAGGGATGTAACTGGCCACCAAGTTTGGCAAACCCACGCCTAAATTGACATTCATGCCATCCTTCAGCTCCAGTGCGGCACGGCGGGCGATGCGCTGGCGACTCACGACATCCAACTTCTTACCACCTGCAATCGCGCCGTTTCCATCCGAGCTGCGTGTGACGACGAACTCCGCCGCACGCTTTAGTTTCTCCGGCTTCACGAGGCGGTGCACGTACACGCCAGGCAGGTGCACCTCCCTCGGGTCAATCTCTCCGCACTCCACGATCTCCTCCACCTCGGCAATGCACACCTTCGACGCCTTCGCACAAATGAGGTTAAAGTTCTGCGTCGTGCCGCGGAACACAAGGTTGCCGCGCTTGTCCGCCTTCCAGGCACGCACGAAGCCGTAGTCAGCCGGCAGCGCCATCTCCAGCGTGCACCACTTCCCGTTGATGTTGCGCGTCTCGCGCGGCTGACTGAAGGCGGCAGCGTGCATCGTCTTCCCGGGGATGAAACGGGTGGGGAGTCGCCCCTCCGCTACCGCAGTTCCGTAGCCGGTCGGGGTGTAGAAGGCTGGCACGCCAGCACCAGCCGCACGCAGACGGTCCGTCAGCGAGCCCAGCGGGCAGAACTCCACCTCGAAGTCTCCTTGGAGGAGGTGGTCCAGCACCACTTTGTTCTCACCCACGTAGCTGGTAATGATCTTGCCGATTTGTTTGTCGCGCGCCAGTGGCCCAGTGCCGTCCTCGGGGCCTGCTGTCGTGCCCGCAATCAACGTAAGGTTTTTCGTTCCCTTCCTGTTGAGTTCGCCGAGCAGCTCAAAGGCCAGTCCGCAAAGGCCGAAGCCGCCCAGAGCAATGGTCACGCCGTCGGAAGCGTCTTTCAGCGCTTCGGTGGCGGTCACGATGACCGGTCGAAAGCTCCTCAAGCTACGTCGCAGCATCTTCGTTCTTTCGTAGAGACGGATAGTGGCTCGTAAAGTACTGTGGGAGCGGTGATAAGGAAGGGGGGGGGAGTACGAGGGAAAGTGTCCAATCGTGGAGCTACGATGAGGGCTAATAAGGGAACAGATAAAGAAGATCGGTGGTGAGAGAAGTGGAAGCTACTCGAGAAAGGTAACTCAAAAAGGTGTTGTACTTCCACAACGGAAAACCGGAGTCTCAGCTCATCCGCATCCATGAAAGACACTTCACAGCGCAGCCCAGCGTAGAGAACGGCGCTACATTTCCTAATAATAATAATAGTAAAATTAATAATAGTATTAGTAATAGCGAGGTGTGACATCGCCCAATCAAACATTGCCGTGTGTCTTGGTTGCTTCTCCTCAACAGTTTGTCTGTCATCAAGAACAGAGAAAAAGTACGGAATACAAAGAAACCAAAAAAAAAGCAGCGCAAAGGAAAACCATTGAAGAAACTTGGTAAGCTACGTACGCACCGCATATAGATGCATGCGCTCTTGATAGCACTCTCGATACCGTCTCATCGTGCAAGACGACCCTCGTAGATATTATTTGTGTGTGTATGTGTGTGAGAGAGAGAACTAGTAATCTTTTTGTAGAAATGAAAGCATTAGCAACCGTACGTGAGCTGCAATTGCATCGCGCAGTCTCTTGTGAGAGAACGCCGACGTAACGAAAAGGATGAGCAGGTGAGCCGGGATGACGATGATGACGTGCGTCACTCCCTCCATCTTGCCGCCGCTCACGGATGAAGAGCCTCTCCGCTGCTACTACGCGCCTTCAGGGACGGGCGCCTGCTTCATCGGGCACAGGTCGGGTGAAATGCGGAACTCGCCCTCCGTCTTCGCCTTCACCTCCTCCACCGTTACACCGTCCGCGAGCTCCGTCAAGACAAGGTAGTTGAGCCCGTTCCCAGGCTTCACGACGTCAAACACGGCCAACTCGGTAATGATCTTGTCCACCACGCCAGCCGCGGTGATGGGGCAGCGGCAACGGCGCAGAATCTTCGGAGAGCCGTCTTTGTTGGTGTGCGTCGTGAGAATCAGTACCCGGCACCCGCTCTGCACGAGCTCCATGCCACCGCCCATCCCGCTGAAGCGTCCCCCAGGCACCATCCAATTCGCGAGATCGCCATTGTCGCCCACCTCCATCGTGCCCATAATCGCCATGTCCACGAGACCGCCTCGGACAAACCCCATCGACTCCACCAGGTCCATAAACTTCGCCCCACCGTCGCGGTCCACCGTAACGGTTTGCTTGCTCGCGTTGAGGATATCCGGATCTGCCTCCTTCTCCGTATTGGGAAAAGGACCCACGCCGAGAAGACCGTTGCCGGCCATAAGCAGCACATCCGTGTTTGGCTTGACGTACGGAGTCACCAAGGTAGGCGCACCGATGCCGAGGTTGATGACCATGCCGTCTTGCACTTCGAGAGCGGCACGGCGGGCAATGCGGTGCTTCGCGTCGTTGTGGTTTTCTTTCTGATGATGCGACTCCTCGCGCGTGACCAGGAACTCAAACTTGTTCAACGCATCCGGCACAACGACAAGGCGATCGACGTAAGCGCCGGACATGTGGATCTCGTCCGGGTCCAGCTCCCCGCACTCTATCACCTCCTCCACCTGCGCGATGCAGAGCTTGCCTGCCTTGGCCGCGGCGATGTTCATGTTGCGCGCAGTGCCGTGGAACATCAAGTTGCCGCGCCGGTCGGCGCGACGGGCTCGCACGAGGGCGACGTCTGCGTGCAGCGCGGTTTCGAAAACACACCACTTGCCGTCCACCAAGCGTGTCTCGCGTGGGGCGGAGTAGACTTCAACGTCTCCGCTGCCATCGGCGGCGAAGCGTTGTGGCACCTTGCCTTCTGACACCGCGGTGCCGTAGCCCGTCGTGGTGTAGAATCCGCAGATGCCGGTGCCTCCCGACTCCAGCCGCGAGGCGAGCGAGCCCATGGGACACAACTCCACATCGAACTTGCCGGCGGTAAAGCAATCTCCAAACACGCGATTCTCGCCCATGTAGGACGTGACAGCCTTCTTCAGTTGGCCGTCTCGTACGAGGGGGCCAATGCCGCAGTCCTCGCCAGACATGCTGGCCATAATCAAAGTTAACTCTTTCCGCTTCAACCGATTCAGCTCAGCAAGAAGCTCGAAGGGTACTCCCGCGTAGCCGAAGCCGCCCACAGCTATGGTGATGCCATCCTCGATGTCCGCCATCGCCTCCTTCAGCCCCATGATGGCTGGCTTACGAAACAGGCGCGTCGACTTCATTGAAGTCAATAAAAGACTCAATTTGCTCAAACAAAGAAATATATACACGTGTGCAGAGCAAAACAAAGTCGAATGGGGAGTATGTTCAAGCAACAAAGAAAAAAAACAAAGTAGAACTATTATGCGATACAACTGGCGACACACACGGCCTCTCTTGTTCCCGACGTAGAATACACGCGCACCGACGTGTTGATAGCTTTGTTATAAAAGTATAGGTACGGTGCTTGCCTTGCTGCTTTGCGTTGTCTTCCTCAGCTCGTTTGCACCGTTTCCAGGTACGCAATGGACGGTGATCTACAGAAGAACATCAAGCACAAAGGGAAAGATAAAGAAGAGTGTTCCCATGGAGAAAGAGGACATGCAGTGAAGCAGAAAAGGGATTTCTGGCTGCTCTTCCAAACTTAACTGACTATAGGATGTTGAAGTCGAATTTCGATATCCATTGCAGTGTAATGCCTCTACGAACTATCTGACAAGCAACTCATAAACGCATTAATTGAAAGCCGTAGCTTCTTCCCGGATATTATTGTTCTTGCGTGCACGCTCACGCCGCTACGCTTGAGGTTGAATTTGCCGGCGCTAAAAGAAAAAAAGAGGCAGCGTTCCAGGGCAAAAAATTCAGCTACGCGTGATGGAAGTGAAGGCAGCGGCTCAAAGTGCACGTCCAGCGCTTGAATGTTTTTTCATATATATCTTTACACTGCCTTTTGAAAGCCAGAGTTGGTAGCCGCCGCCTGAATTGTGAGCTCCGTCCACCGCACTCGGATTCAGCTACACCTTCGTTGTCTCTCTTGTATTCGCTCTTCTTATTCTTTCTTTGAAGAGCTCCATCACGTCGAGGATCGCCTCCGAAACAAAACAAAGAGCAAAACATGCAGGAAAGAATTATCTAAAGAGTTGTTCGAATAAGCAAACGATAGTAATAAACCGGAGATCTCTTCACGCCAGCTTCTCAGTCCTCTAATGGTGCAACGTGGACGCAGTCGAAATTGACTGTACATGTCGGGTTTTCTTTTTCTCGTGTATCTTGTACTACGTGTACCGGTGCTTGTCGCCGGCTTGGAAACTTGCCGCTTCTCTTGTTCCGCTTTGAGTCTAGTCCATGTTTCAAAAACAATGGAAAAACAAATAAAAAAGAAGTGGTGTATAGAGTGAATTCAGTCACCACGAGTTTCCTTCACAGACAGTTTACTCTAATCCGTGCCTGTCAGGCGGAAGAACACGCGGTTGGATGGGCTGTCGGGGTCTAAGCTGTACGCTGGCCCACCAGCAGCACCAGACCAGCTGCTCAAGATGCAGCGAATGAGCTCCGCCACTGCCGGCGACGTGCAGCGAGAAAGAAGCTGCTGCAGCTCCGCCTTCGCCTGCGGGTCGCTCAGCTGTCCATTGGCACGACGACGTAGCAGGGAAGTCACCTCCGCCAGCTCCGGCGGCAGCGTTAGCCCGGGAAGCCGCAGCGACACTTCGCCGACGCAGCAGCCGTGGACGCCGTTCAGGTACTTGCGCAAGTTCACGTAGTGCGGCACACTGGCGTCGAAGGAGAGGAAGTTGCCCTGCAGGGCGCGCTCTGGTGAGCGGTCGACCGAGGCGGTCGCGAGACTGCCGCTCTCGGGGTCGACAGACAGGCCGTTGTGCTGCACCGCCAGGCCCCACACAGGCGATGTCATGGCCGGCACGTCCAGCTTCTGCTGAAACACCACCTTCCCGTACGTGTCGACCAGACTGAGGTTGACGCGGTGGGCACGTAAGGCCGGCATCTTGGTGACGAAGTCCGACTGGCCCGTGTGCCCGCCGACGCCGTCCACGTCGCAGACAATACGAAGGTGCGGCGGGCACAGAAAGCGGACCTGCACGTCCTGGCCTACCGTCTGCAGGGACACGTCGATGTATTGCATGGCGGTATTCGCGGCGGCACCGGCCGCAAACGGGCCCTCTGTGCGAACAGCGTCCGGCTGCGCCTGCACCGGCGTATAGCCTGCCGCTCCTTGAGAGCTCAAGAGCGCAGGTGAGGGGGTGGCGTTAACGGCTGCGGCCGACGGTGGCGCAGGAGCGGCGTTCAACGCAACCTGTGCCGCTTGGGACACGCCCAACACGGTAATCGTCCGCTCCGCCTTCACCGCCCCCGTCGTCGGGTCCCGTGCGGTGATGCGGATAAAGAAGGGTTTGCGGTCGCCTTCCAGCGTCCCTTGCGCTGGCACGCGACCGCGCTGCTGCAGTACCTGCGGCGCTTGCTCGTCAATAGCGCCAAACAGGTGTAACTGAGGCGTAGAGGTGTAGATGTTGTCGACGTAACCTGGACCGCACGTGAAAAAAATCTCTTCGTTCGTCTTTGCCTGTGCGGCCGCTGCCGCTGCCGCTGCCGCCTGATCGCTTGCCGCCTTGGCCGCCGCCGACGCCGCCCCGTTCGCGGAGGCGCTGCGCAGACACGTGGTGAGCAGCGGCAGGAGGCGACGACCCTGCGATGAAAACGGTGCCGTCGACATCCCGCCCAGCTCGTCCGCGACCTGCGCGGCATTCACGTTGTGACGAATGAGGCTGTCCAGCACTCGTGTCACGAGCTCCGTGTCCCCCTTGTCCGCCGGAGCACCACCCGATGCGGAAGAGCCGTACGGGTTGTAGCCGGAGCTCGTTGAGGTGAAGGTGTTTGGGTTGTCGCCTACCATGTTGGACATTTGCACGCGGCACGCTGAAACTGGCCGCTGCGTGGACATGCTCGTCGCCGTCAGCGTCGCCGGTTTGCCTGGAACAAGCTGTACGGAGCCGTAGCTCGGGATTGTGCGTGGCGGATCGCTGCCGACGGAGGCCGACACCGAACATCCGGGGCACTGCACCGACTCCAGCCCGTTCTTCGACACTGTAAAGAAAATAGCAGGGGGCTGTCGGGTCAGCTGATCGCGGACGAAGTTCACAACTGTCATGCCAGGCAGCGTGGAGGGCTGTATGGCCTGCACGAGACGGCGCTGCTCCTCTGGGTTTGGCTTCTGCAGCGCCGCACACAGCTCCATCACCCACTTCTCCGGCGTGGCGTTCGCCGCCGTCGCCGCCGCTGCTGCCGGTGTCCCACCACCGACTGGGATCGGCACCGGCACGGGATTGGTTCCCAGCGGCATCGCTGGGTCGCCGCTCCCCTTCGCCGCCACCTCCAGCGCCACCGATGACACCGACCCATCTGCGTTCGGCTGCTCCACCACCACCTGCTGCGGCACGACACGCGGCAGCAAGGCGCCAGCCAACGGATTCGCCTGCGGCACCCCACCGACCGTCAACTTGTTGCCTGCGTTGGTCGACACCACGACGTTGCCGCTGCCGTCGTCTCTCATTCGCACGGCTGTTGGTGCGGCCTGCAGCGCCGGTACGTTTGACTTCTGCCGCGCCATTACATTTCCCTGGGCGTCGCGCACGATGATTTGAATCGCCTGCGCTCGGCGGTGCGTCAGCGGGAGGGTGGCGACGCCCTGGCCCGTCGCGCTGCTCCCATCCTCGCCGATCAGCTGCACTGTGAAATTGGGCGCGGTGGCCACAAATGACGGCATGGCGGCTCCACCTGCTGCAGCTGGCGTACCGTCGCTCGCCGGTGGTACATTCGCGCCTGCTGCCTCGAGCGGGTTTATTGGAGCAGTGAAGGGCTGAATGCGCGTTTCAATCTCCGGCACCGCCTTCGGAGCACCGGCAGGCGCGGCCATCACGGCCGGCATACCGTCGTGAAAACTCTTCGCGGGTAAAACCAGCCGGAACGGCGCCCCCGCGTGGGGGACCGCCACCGTGCCCTGCGGTGTCAGCGGGATGACGTGGCCGGTGGAGATGCAAACCAGCAGCGCTTGTTGGGTCTGCGACGGCGTGGGAGGATCGACGGTAACCGTTTCCAAGAAAAAGTACGCGTCGGCGGGGGTGGTGGGCTCTCTGGCGAGGCCGCTGCCTGGACGCGTTGGGGAGCGTTGCTGCGACAGAGGCGACTTGGAGCTGCCGCAGCGCTGTCCGTTTTTCATCCCACTATTCCGCGGCGGGGAAAGAAAGGCAACTCCACTCGTCTCCCCACCGCCGTTGTCCATCATCGGCAAGTTCGCCACAAGCGCGCAGTCTTTGGTCTGGATTGGAATACGAAACCAACCAGCGGTGGGGCGGAGCCGGCGGCCGTCCGCGACGATGTACACCGCTTCCGGGGGGCACCCCTCAGGCGCTCGCACCCGCAGCACGCTGCTGCCTTCGCTCCCGTTGAACGTCAACTTACAGTAGTGCTTCGTGGTCGAGCCGTTTGCCTTCACCGTGGCGAGAAGGTTGTAGTCATGGCCGTCGCCAGGCACCATCAGTGCTGAGGCCTGCTGCAGAGAGACGGGACGTGGGATGCCGCCGTCCACGCCCAGTTCACACTCGAGCTCCACCCCCTTTGGTGTCTGCACCTGTTCAATGACGAGATTTGAGCCGGTGATGCGCATGCCAATGGATGTCGGAGCTTTCTTTGCCACCCCGCTGTGACCATGGTTGATGCAGTCTTCCATCTTGTGTTGACCGCGAAAAGGGTAGGCGGCGTCGTTCATGTTGCTCCCGATCGGGAGAAGCTTCTTGTGAGTATTGGACATCGTTTTCTCTTTCCCTCTCTGTCGAGCGATGTCTCAAACTCATAGAACACGACAACAGGAGCGGGGGGGGGGGAGAGGCAATGAAAGCAGAACAATTCGTCTATGTGATGTTCAAAAACCTTTTTCTAAAGGGAAAACAATAGAAATAATAAGGTGCAGTCTACTGATGGAGAAAGTGCTTCTATCTATCTTTGAGCTGGTACCGAAGGTGGGTGTGCAGTGCTCTGCTACGCTATTCGCAGCGAAACACACAAAAGGAAAGGCAGGCAATAGCAGAACAGGGGGAAAAAAAAAGAAAGGCGCTCGCTACAGCATCACCAAAAAAGTGCGCCGGCGCTCACGACAAAAGGGGGAACAGAGAGAGGGGGAGAGAGAAAAGTCAGATCTCTAGAGGGAGATGAGCAACGTAAAAGGAGAACAGGATGTTTTTATCTGCACAAAGCACCCAGTCATCTCAACGAAGCTCATTAAACAGTGATATGAATAAATAATAAAAGGTTTCTGAAAGCTACGCTTGTGATACGCAGGCCAATAGACGCTCCAGTTTATTGATTTCTTTTGGAATAGCACACTTCTTTTGATAAAAAATTAAGTCTTCTGCTTAACTTAGCAAGGAGTTACAATTAAACGAAAAAGGGTGAAGAGGAAAAGGAGCTCGTTGTTGATGGCGTTCATAGCCCGCGTGACACCTTCATCTCCTCCACCCGATCGCGAATCTCGTCCACGGTGGCGGCCATCTGCTCCAACGTATCGTTCTCGCGCACCAGCACAACGTCCGGCCTGTACGCCTCACGGGCCTCCTCCTCGCAGATGCACTGAATCTCCGCCTCCATGTTCTCGCCTCGCTTCGCCTCGCTGTACTTGCGGTTTGTCAGCCGCTCGAACAGCACCTCCGTTGACGCGTGCAACACCACGACCAGGTGAAACCACCGCTCCGGGAACAGCTCGCTGGAATGGTAGTCAACGACGTGATTGCCGCCCTTCACCATCAGCGGCTCCATAAAGTCCAATAGACGGTCCTCGTCCTCCTCTTCTATAATGTGCGTGTCGAGCTCCTCATCGTACTTAGTGTAAAAGTGGTTCTCCTTCACCAGCTTGCCGACTTCGACGTGCTGGAAGCCCTCGAGCTCTGCGATGAGCATCTCGCCCATGGACGTCTTGCCTGTGCCGGGAGTGCCCGTAATGAGAATGTTGATGCCCTTCGGTTGCTCCATTCTGACTTTTTTCTTTTGCCGTTGTTGAGAATGGAGTTCTTCAATTGCTTTGCGAGAGGAAGACCTGTAAAACGCGATAGATTGCACAAACATGCACCGAGCAGAGTCAAATAGCAAAGTCAAAGGCGAGGAAGAGACGCAGAAGAGCGCAGCACCCGGTTTGGGAAGCAGCAAAACAAAAGAAACAGAAAGAGGAGGAGATGCTAAAAAAAAAAAAGTAAGAGTCGTTTCAACGGACTTGGAATCACAGTACCGCTTCCAGTTTATTCGTGCTGGAGAAAAAAATGTCGTTGTCCAACTCGCAGGCATAAACAACCCCGCTCCGTGCACACCTTTTGCTTCCAATAACCTACTTATTCCTTTTAAAGTATTTGGATTTACTTCCCCATAGTGGAAACAACATCAAGAAAAGCCAGCAGGATAGAGTGAGTATGACAATTTGTGCGAAGAATAAGGCCCTAAAACAGATCGCGATGCGGCGAGGAGCGTGGCGGATTCCACGCAGCCTCTACGGAGAGTTGCTCGCGACGCCTCTGGTCCGCCTGGTAGCGGGCAAACTCCTCCGCAATCCCACCCTCATGCGCGCTCTCCTGATCCAGTGGGGCGCCGCGATGTTCCTCCCACATGCTCAGTGATATGTACTTCAGCTTATTTAGCTTCCTCTTACCCAGGCGATGGCCGAGTGTCTGGGCGTGTTCGCCGAAACGCTTCTTCTCCACGGCTTGATGGCAGACAGTGCACCACAGCTGATCAGGGGGCAGCAGCTCTGCCGCTAGCTGCGAGGGCCGCAGTTGACGCCCGATGTACTTTTTGGGGTTCATGGCGTCGCGCTGACCTCAATGCGTCACGGAATGTCGGTGTCAACGCAGTGCGGTGCTGCTGGGACAAGAACCGTATTTCAGCTACTACAGGAGGGTCGCCGCAAATAGAAACGCACCGCTTGTGCTTTCTAGCAAGGTCGGATAAAAAGAGAAAAAGAAAACAGAAAGTAGAGGAGAGAAGCGGCGTCCTTTTCACGACCGTTCCACCGGCGAGATGATAGAAGAAAACAAAAGGAAGGTTGGCGTTGGGAACCACCGTAACGTACCCAGAGTAGCACACACACACACACAGAGAGAGAGATGTAATAAAAGTGTCATCTTTTGGGGGAAACACAACAAGAGACGATCGTGTATCTTTTTAGCACTAGCTGTTTTTTCTTTCTTTTTTAGGGCCGAAGTGACGGCTTCGTTGAATAGCGCCAAAGCATCTTGCACGATTCAAAATGTAAGTCTCGGAGACGGTTGGAGAGGGCATTACCCCAATCGTTCACGTTCTTTCTTTTGGAAGAGGCAGAAGAGATCAGCTCGACTCGGTGCTGCCGTCACTTTCATCTTCCTCGTCGTCGGCTCGGTTCATCGCCTCCTCACTGTCTGAGGAGCTCAGCTCCGCGGTGTAGTCTGGAATTTCCTGCTGTGTCACGAGCATCAGTTCGTCATCGTCGCCGCTGCTCACGCCCGCACAGCCAATCTTTCCGCTCGTCTCATCGCCGTCGACGTCGCTGAAGCGCACCCACGTCTCGATCCCCGAGGCAGAATGCGACTCCGAGCGACGCAGGCGTTGCGACGAAACGCGTACCGTGCCCGGCGTATAATTCGTATCGGTCATCTGCGGCTGCGGCTGCGAGGGGTATTGCCGGCGTCGTCGGGCCGAAAACGATTCTGGAAAACAAGAAACAAAGGGAGGCGGGTGCAGCGGACTCCGACAGCCGTGAAGATCAGGTCCCGAAGACGTGAGAGGCTGCGAGGGAGTGTTGTGCTGCTGTGGATTTTGTGGGTGCTGTTTTCGCGGAGACGAGCGAGGGTTGGGCGTGCCCGATTCGTGGCCCCACTTCGCCACCCCATCCCCGGCATTCATGAAGTCGCTTTCATGCAAGGGGTACGAAGCGATAAAGGGCGGGTAGCGGCGGTCAAACTGGGCGCCTTGGTTGTACGCCTCGCTCGCCCGTTCCCCGGAAGCAGAGCCACCGCGCGAAGACAGTGAAGAAGAGCACGACGCAAAACGCGACGATTTCGCACCCCCGGAGGCCGTCAGGGGATTTGCCGTCATGCCCAGTAACTCGTCCGGGGAGAAGTAAATGGGGGAGCGGTGCCTCGCTTGTCGTCTGGCTGCGACCGTGGAGGGCGGCGATGAGCTTGTCGAGCCGACGCGTGCGGCATCCGTGCCGACAGGCCGTGCGTGGGAACCGTGCGGGGTGCTCCGCCACGACGCATCGTCCCTTCGCGGCGTAGCAGAGTGAAGTGCGTCGACGACGCCACCGTCTTGGTTTTCACGGGGTCGCTTTGTCGTTTGTGGGCCCGCAGCAGAAGAGAATCGTGGCCCCCATGCATTCCCTCCAGGCGGCGGAGCGTGTTGATCGTGTTCTTGCTGCCGCCTTCCACTGCCCATCTTTCCCATCCCTTGGCTCTTTGTTTGACTGCTCTGCGTGGACAGTGGATTCAGGCTCCGAAGGTGACCGCGCAGCTCCTGCTCGGCGGTGCGGCAACGGGAGGAACTAGTGGCGCAGTAAGGCAGCGGCGTGGTGGCTTCGTCCGACCCGGCGGACGCGAAGAGATGCGAGTCGACCTGCGACAGCGTCACAGACAGCGGCAGCGGCGACGACGGCGACGCCGAAGACTTCGAGTGGGAAGGGGGCGTGCAAGCGAAATGGTGAGTCGAGGAGGATGGGCTGAACTGTTGCCGAAGCGGGGTGGCGGTAGCTTTTATAGTCTCCGTGTCTACCTCTTGCTGTTTGTGACCGTTGTTGGGGCGGGGGTGGGAGCGGGAAGGAGAGGGGCGGTCAGATGAAACAGCAGCACCGCTCTCTGTGGACGCTTCATCGTTGGCTTCGCTGTCTTCCTCGTCCTCCACGGAGTCCTCGTCTACCCCTTCGTTGGGGGCCGATGCACCCAAGTCATCCAAGAAGGCACCTGTGTTTGCTTGCTCTAGCATCGACTCTGCTCTTCGCTCCTCTCCATCTTCCTCTGCGTTGCCGTTTGTTGAGGTCGATGGCGATTGAGATGGAGAAAGAGGAAAGATGAATCGCTGAACGGGTGGATCGCTCATCATCTCCCGTTTGTGTTCATCCGCATAGGCGGCATGAGGAGAATGTGCCGGCGATGTGGACAGCTGCGTGCTCGTGCGATACGTCAGCGGCGTCGTACTCATGCCCCTCTCCGCAAAGTTGAAACCACCGGCACACCCTCGAGCGGCGGGTGTACTCCACACGAGTGAGCCGCGTCGCTGCCGTGGGCTGAAAGACTCATCTTGCCCATTAAGATCGGTCTTCGGCTGACCACCGTCCTGCGGCTCTATTACCGTTTCTTCGTCCTCGTACAGAAACACCTCGTTCATGTCACGCAGCGAGTCTTGCAGCCCAAACAAATGAGACTGGTCGTTCACGAACGGTGACACGGTGTCTCTCGCCGTGCTGCCTGGGCTGCGTGCTGTCGCGTCAGCATTGTGTGTGTCACGAGAAACCGCGACGTTTTGTGCTGTAACGTCACCTGAATAGCAGTTTTTCCCGTCATGGTCGCTCTCTCCCCGCCGTTCCAGCACAACACCACCGTTGCTTGTCTCCTCCCCCTCGTCGGGCACGACAGGAAAAGGTCGAGAGCGGCTGTTCTCCGTCGACACCGTAAACGCCGAGGCCGTCGTGCGAGACGCCTGAGACGGGTGACGCGAAGAGGAAGGGTGCGGATAGATCGCGGTGAAGTCGGAGGCCTGACTCGCCACCGACGTCATCCGCAGTTCCGACTCGCTCGGCAACTCACTCAACGAAATGGCCGTGCGCTGATCCGCCCAGTCACGGCTCTGAAAGCCGTCGTAGTAGTACTGGTCTTCGCGACGCTGGGCACGGAGGCCGACAAGGTTTTCGAAGAGATCAGCGTTCGGCTGCGTCAGGCAGCTCCTTGCTCCTCTCGAAAGCCGTTGCGTCTGTACCGCGGGAGTGGAAGTCGAAGAGGAGGGAAGTCCAGGCAGCTCCTGTGTGGGCCCTTCCCGTTGTTGGTGCTCTGCCGGCTCGTCGCACTCGGCAACGAACGTGGTAAGCGAGGCCGCCATGAGGGCCGAAGTTGATTCGCACGGCAGCACCGCCGCTCCCGTTTGCGGGTCTAACAGCCGTCGCACCTTCACACCTCGCTGCGCTTGCAGTCGACTCCATACGACACTTCGTAGACTCGGCAACGCGGAGTTGCGGAGATGTTCTTTCCTCTCATCCGATGAAGCAGACAACGGAGGTGGAAGTCCGATACGCACGGTGTTGTGAAACGCATGCACCGTGAAGAAGGACTGCGCAGCCGGCTGCATCGGCCGCATCGCTGGGGGCGGCTCGTCCACAACTTCCTGCGAGGAGATCAGCTTTTTCTCCCGCTCACCAGGCGAGATCATCTGCAGCTGAAAGAAAGCTGCGAAGCACTCGCCACCTGTGAGGAAAGAGTCGGCTTCCACAGGCTCGATGGGTAGTGCATTGGCTTCGTCATCCGACACATACAGGTCTGTTGGCCCTTGCTGCCGGAGCATCCACTCTTCTGCTGTGGGAATGCGGGCTGTGCTGCCTCCACGTTCACCTAGCATGCGCTGCAGCTGACAAATACGAATCCACGGCACTTTTTCATCCGATAAAACCCCCGAAGTACCCGCAGCTTCCTTCACAAGCGGCGCGGAGCAGTCCGCACAATAACGTGTGGAGGATATCGAATCTCGCTGGGTCCCGTCTTCTCCATCGTCAGCGTCAGCAGGCGAGAGTATGTCACTGCAACCTTGGGCTGAATGTGGAATAAGAGCGGACTCTGACAAGCAGTTCTCCTGCACAAATGTCTTCATGCGAGACTTTGGGACGTGCAGGACGCAGTACCTCGTCAGGCGTTGTTCGAGGCCCGCAATGAGCTGCGCTGCGGTTCGTGCGCGACTCTCACAAGCATCGTCTGCCTTCGTGGACGACGTCAGCGAAGGCAGAGGAAGGAGTACGTCACCGCGGTAGTTGTCTACGCAGCTCCGCAAAAGCTTCGCAGCGCCGTCGTGCGTACCAGTCGTGCCGTCATCAACATGGCCCACGACGGTAGTGCAAGAACTTTTTGCGTCCGCTCTAGCTTGAAACAGAGACACGCGTACAGAAAGAGGAGGAACAGCCATGGCCGGCACACGTACTTTGGAGCAGGCTCTTCGAGGCGGCTGTTCAAGAGGGTATTATTAGCTTTTGTTTGTTTATTTCATCTATGCGTGTTTGCTACTGTTGTCGCCCTTCTATGAAGTGTGCCTCGATGTGTCTGTGTGTGTGTTGGTGGCGGGGGGAGGGGGGGGGGTAAGGGGGAGAGGGGGTGCTGGAGCCGTACAGAGCCGCCATCGCATGTAAGAGAAGAGGAAGTCGTGAGGAAAAAACGCGAGAGTTAAAGGAAGGGCTCTTCGCATGCGTGGAGCCACGTATGATGGCGTTGCCGCTTCTGTCACATAGAGAAATAATAATAAGGTAAACTGAAGTCGTCTTTCCTCTTATTTCCGCAATACCTTTATCAGGATGATTGGATTCTTTTCTCTTCACAACTCTATGAAGTGAGAAGTAGGGAGAACGCAGCTCAAGCTAGCAGACATGCTACTCGAGCCGACACCTGAGAAACACATACATCACGGCAGCAGTGGTATGGCCATCCTAAGCTCATAACGATGATGGTACGTGAAGCTGTGTGGAAAAATAATAATTACAGGCAAATGGGAACTTGTCGTGATATATATAGTGTATGTGCATGTGTGTGTGCGTATGTGCTTCAGACACCAAATTTAGTCAAGATCTTGACCACCGATTACCGTCAAGAACAACGGGGAGGGCGTAACAGAGAGGGGAAATAATAATAATAAAAGACGCAGAAAGGCTGCCACAGCTCTATGGAAAAGCAGCCAATCCTTCTACAGCTGTTATGGAAACTGGTGCAGCTCTATTTGACACCAACAGTAATAAACAGAGACGTCCATTCGGTTCAGGGCAGTCAACAAAACAAGGCTAAAAAAAAAGGAATGAACGTGCGCTCTGAGGCCTACGAGACACGCATTCAACTACGCGCAAGGCGACATCCGCTGCACACTCAGCACCTGCACCGCCTGTGTACTCGCCTCACCAATCGAGCCATTCTGTTTGGTCGCTTTGCCCGAGCCACTTTCGCACTCCTCATCAAAGCTCAGCTGACGTGCCACGAGCCCCTGCACAGGTTTCGCTACAGTGCTCGGAGTCGTGAGAGAAACGGTGGCACCCATCACTGCATTAGCAGGGGTAGTGGAGGTCACAATACCAGCTTCGACGGGAATCTGCGCTGAATATACCGTTTGTGTCTCTTCCTCTTCTCGTTTGCCGTCTACACTTTGCACGCTCTCCTCCGCGATCGTAGAGTTCGTCGACACGGAGTCCACAGTGGCGGTCGCGCTGTATCTCTCTGGAGGTGGTGCCGGAGGAAACACGCAGCCGAGTGTATCGCGCACCGCTCGTGCACTGGGTGTGATGCTCCGACTGCTTGAACCGCAGCTCAGCATAACGCTGACTTGTGAGTCGTCGCAACTACTGATTTCCTCGATACGGCTGCTCGTGAGAGGAGCACCCCCCTCCACCTTTTCTTCCCGGCGTTGCTTCACCGGTGGCTCTTTTGCTGGCTTGTTCAGTTCCTTGATCGCGACCATTCCTGCATGGGGGGACCTCACGGTCTTCGGTGCTGACTGGTTATGATGCAGCTTCACCGAAGGGGGCGGCAGCTGGTGCTTGTAGGAGTTGTAGCGCCCTGTCATGATCTTTTGGGGACTGTTCACGTAGTTGGTGGCAAAGTGCTTGTACGCATCCGGCCCCCACGGCATGCGGCGCGTTTCATCCTGCCGCAGCGTAGCGATGGACCGAGCGATGCTCAGCAGTTCTGCTTCGCTGTCGTCCCGCTCGCTTGACGTCGAAGCTTCCACATCGTCCTCGTCGTCTTCTTTGTCGTCCGCGGTAGAGGGAGAAGAGGCACTGGGACGCACATCGCACCCCAACGACGTCTCACAGGTCTTTTTCGAAGTGGTGGCGTAATTGAGAAGAGCGGCCGCGACTGGTGCAACGCCGAACGGTGGCAACGGCATGGGTATGGATATGCCACCCTTGCCGGCCCCCTTCTCCGCTCCGCTCACGCACACGACATCGTCATCGGTGGAGAGACTGGCCGCGGTGGAATCCTCGGCGGGCATGGCACGCGAGCTGTCTGCGTCGGGCACCGGCTGGACCGCCGATGGAGTCACATTCGATGAATGCGTCTTGCTGTCACGGTCAGTTGTGTCCTCTACCTCTACCATGGGCGAAGTGGCGCTCTTGGATGTAGGGTCCAGCCGCTCACCTTTCCTCTTGCGCGACCTTTCCGTTGCGGCCTTAAAGCGCATGTATACCACCTCCTCCCTCACCTGTACTACGTGCACCACACAGTCATCGGAGAACAGCTCAATCCTGCAGGGAGGCAGTTGTGATTCGATGTCGTGCGTGGTCAAAGACTCGTCTGCTTTGTTGGCCAACTCCGTCGTGTCCTGAAAGCTGCGTAGGTGAACATCCGTCACCACAATACCGGTGCGAAACAGCTGGCGAGCGACGAGGTCGGTGCTCTTGGCGGTGCGACGCAGTGAAAACATGTAGCGAGCCATCGCCCCCTTCGCGAGTTCGCGAACGGTCGTTTGTGAGGAAATCGGTACGCGCATCGTCTTTGGTTCCATCGCACCGGCGGCTGCGCCTGGCACTACAGCGGGGTCACTCTCTGAGAACGCCAAGGTAACAGTGGCGAAGCTCGGCACCACGGTCGTAGTGTTGGAAGAAGTAGCCATGATTATTCTAGTCAATTATGTTCTTCGAGAAAGAAAAAGAAGGAGTTTTCCAAGGCAGCAACCGATTGTTCTAGATGGTCGTGATTTCGTTGATTTCTATGAGTTTGTTTTGTACTGTTGTGCCTCGTGATGTTGCCACAAATATCAGCAGTATTAATACGTTGCCCGATAGTGTTGCGAAGAGCTTCAATGGAAAAGAAGCATTAGCGTGCGCGTGTATGTGTCTATTTGGAGGTTATGTGTGCGTGTGTTCGCTGTTGTTTGTGCATGCGATAACGCAACAGCCTTCTCTATTTTATCAAAGGTGCAGGTGCATAAAGCCCTTCTTGTTTGTTTGTGCCTCAGTGTAGACAAAATGGCTGAAAAAAAAAAAGAAGAAGAAGGAACAGAAAAGAAGGAGGCGGAGGAAGGAAGATGAGTCGTTGCCCTCTTTGTCTATAAAAATGCAGGCAAGATGGATTCCGACACAATTCTACCGTTGTGTGTACGAGAATACGAAACAGAGAAGCTCAAAATGACGGCATCAAGCTCTACACACACAGAGAGAGAGAGAAAGAAGATCTACAACTCATCCTCTATCTATTATGAACTACAAATAAATAAAGGGAAAAAAAAGAAGGCGTCATCTTGCGCTGGCCCATTTTCGGTTGCTGTTCTGCTGTGATGTTTCGCTTGCGAATTCACTTACGAGACGTTAGCCAACGAGTGTCGGCGCTGCAGACATCACACATAGAGAGAAAACAAAATGTCTCCTACGACGCCGATTATTCTTTCCCTTCCTTGTTCATCTAAAAGCTCCTTTATTTTGTTCTTTTTCCGTTCTTGCTCTCCTTCCGTCGCACCATCTATTGTCCAGGCATGAGAAAACACACCCCCTGAAGAGGGGAGTCTTTCAGCAAACAAAACACACCTATAGCGAGCAAATATATATAGGGAGAGAAATGAATAAAAAATACAGTAGCGAGGGACAAGAAGAGACGCGGTTAGTTAAAAAACAAAAATACGTTCCTTGATTCTGTTGTTCTCCTGAACCTGATAGATGAGCCGGTAAACGGAGGAATCCTCCTCTCCCCCGTCGTGGAGGAAAAACGAAAGAGAAAGAAAGAGAACGCGCCCTCAAAAGGAATCTGAGAAAAATGGAAAGCTAGAAAGGGGAGATTCAGCGAAAACAGAGAAAGCAGCGCTTCAAGGTACATCGTAAATAAAACAGAGAAAGAGAGAGAGAGATAGCATCTTAGCCATACAAGCTGTATCAAGGTCCCCGCGTCCACCAGCTCGTCCACATGGTACCCATCATCTTCACCGCGCCTGCACCGCTCTCCGACACCCGTCGCGACACCTGATCCGTGAAGCCGCGCAGCACCTCCGCGCTCGAGTGCGTGACGTCCTTCAGTCGGCACACGTTCACCGACTCCCGCATCGTCGTGCTGAACTTACTCGCGCTGGAACTCTGCGAGGCGTGTCGGTCAAACAAGGTGTTCAGCATCGCCAGCAGCTCCTTCTCGTCGTAGGGCACTGTGTGCCGATGCACCGCGTAGAGCCACAGCTCGTAGAAGATGGCAGCGAAGGGTCGCACATGCACAAACCACTCCGCCGCCGACGCGAAGAAGTCGGCGCGCAGCTCCGCAGGCGTCGGTGGAGCCTCCGCGCCGGCGGCGGTGGAGGCCGTCGCGGTGAGGGTAGTGTTCGCGACATTGTTGCTCTCTGCATTCCGAGGTGACACCGGCGGAAAGGCACGTGTGCGTGGAAAGAGAGGCGAACCAGTACCAGCGGCAGCTGCTTGTTCTTTTGCTGCCGTGGCGGCGGCGGCGGCACGGGGTCTTAACTGACACTGCTCCACTGCAGCGAGGAAGGCGTCGTCGATGCGCACCGTGGTGCGAGCCAGCTTCTCAACAAAGGTCTTCTCGGAAAAGATAAAGCGGAAGTCAATGTGAAGCAGGGCGCCGTTGCTGCCGATAAGCACGTTGCCTTTGTGGCGGTCACCGATACTGAAGATGTAGTTGAGGAGCAGAAACAGCTTTGCGGAGGCGAGGAAGTTGATGCAACCTTGCTGTCCTCGGTGCAGTACGTAGCTCGTGATGTCCATGTTATCCAGGCTCGACAGCTCGCGGCCGGCAGCCTTCTCAATCAGCCCCGAGTCGCACGACAGCGGGAGAACGCTGTAGTCGAGCATCTCCGCGTTGCCGATCTCGCTCGCCAGCAGCATCTGCAGCAGACGCGAGGAAATGCACATCAGCTGATCACGCTCCACGTTCTCGCGCTTATACAGAAACATGCACTCCTGCGCAACGCTCGCAGCAGCAGCAGCAGCAGCAGCAGCCGTGTTGGGAGAAGCACTTGGCGGAGGCGTTGGGGTCGCATTGGAGTTTTCTGCTTGCGCCTCCAAGGCGGTCGACGGGGGAGGTGTGGAGGTCGCAGCAGGTGGGACGGATGAAGGCAGTGTCGTTGCCGTCGCCTTCGCTGCGGCGGCCTCGTCGTTGCGACACGTCTCATCACAGGCGCTGTGCTGCGCGCACGTCCACGTGCTAAACGCGAGCCATATCGGCTTCGTTGCCGCGTTGAGCGCCACCCGGACTCCGGAGAGCCGAATAGAGCGGACGACCATGTACGGCTTGAAGGGGTTCAGCATCGGCTTGGGGAGGTCTGCATAGTTTGGATGGCCGGCTCGCGTCGTCGCCGCAGCACCGCCCTCGGTCGGCTTCGGGGCCGTCATGGCTCGTCCACGCGCGCAGTACCGCACGATCCACTCCACCACCGAGACTTGATTCACCGCCGAGGACTGCGCACAGAAGCGATCCAGCGCCGCGTAGAAGTCCAGCGTCGCCACCACGCGATCCTTTGCCGCGGGGTCCACCCGGTCCACCTCGGCCAAAATGCGCGACCGCCACAAGCCAAACAGCTCCTCGTCGTAGCCGTAGTAGCTGTAGGTGGACTTGAGCGAGAGGAGCATGATAAAGACGAGGGAGAGGCTGGAGGTGGCCACGGTGGGGATGACGTGCTCCAGCAGCTGCTGATAGCGACGCCGGGGGGCTGGTACAAGAGCGTCCTTGTGGAGCATGTCCAACAGCCATATTGTCACCAGTTGGCCTTCCGTCACGTCCGAAAGCGTCGGCAGCGGCAGCGGTGCGGCGGACTGGGTGAACGATGACGACGACGACGATGGCAGCGGCGGCGGCGGCCCGTCTTGCCTCTCCGAACCCAGAAAGGCCACCTCCGTGGCGCGATTGGCGCTGGCCAGACGGCTCCAAAGCGGCGTCGTGCTGAGGTACAGTCGCGTCATGCGCTCCAGCGCTCTGGCGAGGTAGGCGTCGTACACCCGCACCGGGGCCGCGCAGAGCAGCTCGGCACACTTGACAAAGAAGAAGCTGGAACTGATGCGGGAGCAGAAGGCGGTGCAGAAGAGGTGCCAGTGACTGAGGGTGGGCACCACGGGGAGATGGAACGCGCGCTTTTTGTCTTCGTTGCTCGCGTTGGCCGCACTGGAGGAGCTCGGCAGCTTGGTGAGCACCGTATCGGCGCGGTTCAGGATAGAGCTGCTGAGACGTGTGATGAAGTAGTACGAAGCGTCCTGCATCCACAAGTTCTCTGTCGCAATGAACTTCAGCAGCAGCAGCGCGGCTTCCGGGTGGTGCACGACGGATACTGACGCGGTCGGCCCATCGCCCAGCAGCAGAAACAAGCTGTTCTGCAGCAGAATACCGACAGGGGTCATGACGGAGTGCATGTCAGAGTCACAGTTGTGCAACAGCAATCGATACTCACTGATGCACAGCTCCGCCGCCTCTCTCCACTGCTCGTTCACAGTGCGGCACAGCACCAAGTCACTGAAGCCCAGACCGGCAAACGCGAAGAGAGCCCCCAAGTAATGCAGCTGTCGGGTCGCTTCGTACTCACGGTAGCACGTGTCGCACACGAAGCGCTCCTCCGCCTCGTCAACGCTGCCGGGCTTCGTCAGCTTCGCAAACGAGTAGTGGACCCGCTTCGTGATGCAGAAAATGCAGAGGCGGACACCGCAGCTGCGACAGTGGTGGGCGCGCGCGCCGAGAGGGCGACCGACGCTGAAGAAGACCCGTCCGCAGCTCGGGCACGTGTCCGACGACTCCTCATCCTTCTGCCAGCTCGGGTTGTGCAAGAGCTTCGTGAGACCAAAGGTTTGGATCTCGTTCTCCGTCGCCGCGGTACCCTCGCCTGCGGTCTCACGGTGGGGGGACGCGGTGGAGGTGCCCGTCGCGTCTCTTTTCGTCCGGTTGCCGGCGGTGGTGCCGGCGGTAGAGCTGTTCGAGGCGCCGCCCGGCCGCACGCGGCGGCGCGCATTCGCGACGTAGGACAGCGTGGCGTCCACGATGCGTGTCATGTTCGACGTCGGTGAGTGCTGCTGCCGCGGATGCTGCGGATACGGCACAACGCCGCCGTCTGGGAAGAGGTGCTTGTCATCCTTGATGTTCTCACTGACCCAGCGCAGCTCCAAGTTCGACTCCGAGCGCGCACCGGACCGATACGGGTCGACGGCCTTCAGGTGAAACCCGGTCCACACGGCCTTGCGGTACTTCACGCAGTCCTCCACGCGCAGGGCAGAGAAGCGGGCCGATATCTTTTCTGCAAGGGCTTGGCAGTGATCGCGGTAGACTAACGCAAACAGCCGCGCGCACAGGTGGAAGGCCGCACTGTAGCCCTTGTTCACCGCGTAGTTGCGATGGTGGGGGGCGGGTACCGCAGGCGCGGTGAGCGTGTTGGCGAACATGGAGGACACACCACTCGCCGCCGCCGAGACGAGGCTGCCCGCCGCAAGGGCAGAAGACGGAGAAAGAAGTCTCGGAGAAGCAGGAGGGGCAGGTGAGACAACACTGCCACCACGAGCAGCACCGCCGCCGGCATCCACTCCCTCACGGCTGACGCTCTTCACGTTGGCCGGGTTGTCGCCTCCGCGAATCCCTGCACCGGTGCCGCCAGCCACCGACGACAGCGTTTGGGCGGCCTTGTACGACCGCACGCCGTACAGATCCGGCTCCAGCTGATAGGCCACACTCGCCAAACGGAAAAAGAAGTCGGAGTTGTCGCTGAGAGTCTGTCGGAGGGCATCTTCCAGTTTCAGCGGTGAGGCGGCGGCAGCAGCACCCGCCACAAGCGTGGAAAGAGGGAGGCCGCTGTTGAGAGAACTGGAATGTGCGGGAGCATGTTCGGTAGCGGACGCAGCTGTCGCATCGCTGCCCACACCTTTACCCGCCAGCCCGCTGCTCGCGGAGTAGATGCCACCGCTCGCCCAGCCAAAGCTTCCGTTGCTGCCGGTGCCGTTGCGCCGCGCAGTGGCGGCAGCTTGCTGATGCGCCCTCTCGCGCTCGTAGGCGTCGACGTATTCGACGAACTCAGACATCTCAAACGGTAGCGCGCCGTCGCTCTCCGCAGCCGGCACGACGCTGTTGTTGAGGATATGGAGAAACAGTGGGTCATGAATTTGGACGCGGAAGCAGGTGTGGCTCACTCGGTCGTACACACCCAACCAAACCGCGTCCAGCGGTGTGGGAGTGGTGGGGGGCGGTGAATGGCTGGCAGAGGCGGCATTGGTGGCAGTCGCGTCCTCTCCACGAGCGCCAAGCTCCGGCGACCGCGAAGGAACTGAATGATCGCTCATGACTTTGATTTCGTCGTTGCAACAATCAGCAGAAAAATAATAATAAAGAAAAGAGAAAAAAAAGCAGCAGGAGGATAGAAGACGCAACAGCGATATGTATACGCTATCGCTCGCGTGCAGGCACGCAGGAGCACCAAAGAAACCACCACGTGAACTCGTCACCGGGGGGTAGAAAGAGAAATACTAAAGCCGCTGCCCACAAACCGGAAGTGAAACGCTGTAGCACCTTCCGACACAAAAAATAATGAAGAAGACCAAGATACGAAGCAGATAACACGTGAGGGGGGGGGGGAGGAGGAGAGAAGAAAAACAAATAAAAAACCGGCAAGCACAAGTCAATCCAAGAGAAGGTACACAAATATATACGTTGCTGGGAGTTTTTTCTTTTCTTTTAAATGGAATCATGAAAGGGCAGTATTAGCAGTACAAAGGGCACAAACTCCTGCGAACACGGTTTGGCAGATCGGGGCGGGATTTTATTTAGCAGCTCCGTATCACACTAGCAGGGGAAAAGGAAAGAAAAAACACAAAAAGAGGAGAGGAAGAAGACACCCGATGGCACAATGGAGGGGAGGGGGGGGGTGAAACACGAGAGTACCCACGAGAAAAAATAGAAACACAAAAAGTGATCGTCTTCTTCCCTCTTTTTCCTTATTTTCTTGACTTACTGGCGTGAAAACACACCGTTGACGACAGCGACAAACAAAGGGCGCTTCACATGGGAAGCACACGCCTAGCGGGGAACACCCACACGCAAAAGGAAAACAACGCAGATGCCGAGAAAATAAAAAGAAAAACTAATATGGCAAGAGGAGACAGCAATGAGGGAAATGAAACCTCACGTTTGCTGATGATGGCAGATTATGGAAAAGGGAAAAAAATGGGCGGCAGCTGCAAATGATTGCAATCGAATAAAGGCTGAGAAAATGGAAGGAAAACACGCACGAAAAGACAGCAGCAGATGCGCAGCGCAGGAAGTGAAAGAAAGAATCCGGCTGGAGCTGCCTTGCCACACAGCAGCAGTACACACGAAAGGTGGGAAGAATATATGTATATATATATATATATATATATATATATATATATATATATAAGAACGAGACAGTTGCAGCTCGTCGTTGGGTTTGACGTTGATACAGAGAAGGAAGCGAGGGAAATGGAAGGGAGAGTGAAATCAACGAGTGGCGCTTAGGGTGGGAAAGAATGAAAATGAAGCATGCTGGTTCGAAAACAACTGACTAAGAAGCGGGTACAGCCTCCAAGAAGCAGCTTACGCAAAGGACCAGCGACTACTGGAAAAGGAGAAGAAAGCCGCCTTCCTCACAGAAAAGGCTTCTTGAACCGCCCCTTTGCTTTCGCACTTCTGCTACAGCAGCGTAAGAAAGACACCGAACACATTCCGAAAGTGGAGTGTTGCCGTTCGCAAACAACGAGCGCATTAGTGCCTTCGTTTTCAAATTCGCTTCCATTTGAAACTGTCTTTTTCCTTCGTTTTACTTCCATGCGGAACAGCACACATAAGAAAAAGGATGCACGTCACACAAAACCCCGGTGCGTCTCGCAAGAAGAAAAAAAAAAGGAACAACACCGTTGCGCCGTCATGTCCTCTACTTGCTGGCCGCTTGGGTCACGCGCCGCATCGGTGTTCACGCCTCCCGCGTCAGTCCTCCTCCTCCCCCTCCCCTCCCCTTCTCTTTTTTTACGACTAGCAGCTTCATCCACAGCGTGCGGCTTCGTCTCTTTTTTGAGGTGCACAGCGGGGCTGAAGCCGTACATGGCGGCGTGCAGAAACGGCTGCGGGGCACACCGCCATAGCAGACGTGCGTACACCAACGCCGGTGAGTCCGTCCACTCCACCAAGGAGTTCAGCACATCCGCGTCACTCGCGAAAGGAGCACGCGCGATGACACGGTGGGTTTGATCGTGCCGGCACAAGTCTCGGTGCTCCGCAAAGATGGAATTTTCCTGTGTCAGGACCGACTTGCGTCGGGTGCGGCGCTGCCGTCGGAAGTACAGCGGGGGCGGGTCGGGGTTCTCGGCGAGCAGCGCCTGCACGTTCACCCCGGCGATGTTCAGCACCGGTTTTGTGGATGAAGGGGCCGAGGCAGTGTTTGGAGCGTCGGCCGGCGCTGATGGCGGCGCAGGAAAAGAGTGCGGTGCGGGGCTAGCTGGGGATGGGACCGGAGAGGACGAGGAGACCGAAGCAGGCGCAGCGCGCTTCGTGTCAGTTGCCTCGGTGTCGTCGTCGAGCGCACTTTTTGTCGGCGGTGCAGTGGCGTTGTCCTCTGACGCGGCTGATGTGCTCTCTCGTGTGCTCGATGGTGCCCAGCGTCCCGTGTGGTCAGCATCGGAAACGACCGCCATGGCTGCTCGTTCGGCTATGGTGGTGGGAGATGAGGGGGAAAGGGGAGCGGCCATTGTGATGTTGGCCTTTCGGTCCGCAGGCGGTTCTGTCTTGACGCGCCGCGGTAGTGGCCGATCCTCGCTGCCCGTCTGCGTGTTAGCGGTGGCAGAAATTGTCACTCTAGCATCATCCAGGGTATCGGTTGCGTGCTCACTTTCGAGATCGCTCTCACCTTCCACCGCCTCCCTCACCTCCTCTTTCAGCGTAACGGGCGGCACAGTCGTGGAGGGTGACGAAGGACGCGTGTCTGCCTCTTTGTCCGTTGCTGTATGACGCACTTTCAGCTCATTTGACTTTTGTGCGGCATAACCCCGGTGCGCAGTCACTTCACTATCGCCGCCTTCATTCACAGTGGCGTGCAGCAGCTGTGGGCGAGCTGGACCGGCTAACGGCGCGCGTCGGCGCTTGCGTGTCTTCTCAGAAGGCTTCGCACGAGGGAGTAATTGGGGCTGGGTTTCGTCGGCTCCGCTCTTTACGAAGGTATCAGCGCCTGCGTGTGCGTCTTCGGTCAGCGGGTGCAGGCTAATGGGCGTCGCTTCTCTTCTTGCTTGTTCTTCATTGCGAACACGGGACAATTCGTGGACGTCTTTCTCCATCCTTTCAGGCACCGTTGCAAGTGACTCCGCTGAGGCCTTTGTGATCTCGGCTTCCTGTCGATGGTCATCGTGCGCCTCCTCCGCTTGCTCACTTGCCAAGCCACTTTGGCTCGCTGTGACTGTCTGATCCACTGCTGCATCATCGTGTTCTTCCGTTGCGTTGGATGTGGGTTTGGTTTGCCCGAGAACGATACTCTTCGTTTCATCGAGTGTTCTCGCGCCTTCCTCGGTCGGGGCGGCAGGTGCGCAAGTGGCATCGTTGCCCACGGCGCTCACTTCGGTGGGAATTTGCCCTGCTGTGTCTGAGGGCACCATTTGGGCCGGCGGCGAAGCTTCTTCCTTTGCAATCGAATTGTCTTCAGAAAGCGCTGTGATGTCATTCCGCGGAAAAGAGATCGTTTCGGCGCCGACGCCATCGCGAGTGTTTTCCTCATCCTCTTGCGCAGCATTCTCCTCAGCAGGAGCCGTCAACGGTGCACGAGACGCGGCGTCGGCGTTCGCTGGCGCTGGATCTTCTCGCGCCGCTTGTTGTTCGACTCCTTTGGATGCCTCCATCACGTTTGAGGGCGGGGTGTCGGGGGTGCTCTCGGAATCTGCCCTGGACGCAGGAGACGCGGTCACTCTAGGCTCATATGGGTCCAGCAGCGAAGGAGTCGTCGTTTCCTCTGCCGCCGAAGCAGCCGGGACCACGAGACTGGCGTCGGACGATGACGCCTCACTCGCGCTTCTCGTTGACAAATCTGTACGCGGAGCTTTTCCGCTTCGCGAGTTGCAGCTTTTGGCCTCGAATTCCCTCTCCCGCTGAGGCGCACTGCTTTTCGCTGGAGGCCTGCCACCCCCTCTTTCACTCCCACCCTGTGAACTTGATTCGGCTTCGTCATCACGGTTGCCGCTCGTCGAGGTCCCCAGCACGTGCACGAGGAGAGGCGGTGAAGCACTACCTACAGCCGGGACTGACGGTGAGGCGGTGGACTCACCAGAGCTGTGAGCATGCGTATCAGAGTCCCCCGTTTCGCCCATCGCGGGGGAGGCGGGGAAAGCAGGAGGAGTAGCGGGAGAAGTGGCGAGCACCGCCGCAGCGCTCTCCGGCGTCCCGAGCGCGTCTTCGGTCGTTGAGGGGCTCGTGGTGTTCGTGTGAGGCGACACCGAGTACTCCTTTGACGATGCGGATCGCCTCTTCATCTGGTGCGATAAAAAAAAAGGGAAAGGGCGTTTGTGAGTTCCACTGCGTATTGTCAGCGAGGTGCCGTTGATGCGGAGGCCCGTGTATGCGACCGAACCTTAACGATACAAAACACACGAAGAGGAGATTCTATACGGTGCTTTGTGCTGGCGTCCACGTGGAGAACAAAGCTTCCGCGCGCCGCTGCTCGAGAAACGGTGAAATGAGGAACGAGAGAAAGAGAGAAGAACGATAAAAATACATCTACTGAAAAAGGAGGGGGGGGGAGGGGAGCATCACACTGGTAATGAAAAAGTCGCGAGTCCCCTCGTGTGACGCACACCTTTCGAGCCGGGAGGAAGGCAAGTCCTGTGGCAGGCGTGATTGACGATTTCCTTCACGAAACAAAATATTGCGCCCGACAATAATAATAAAAAAAAAGGTATTGATCCCAACCATCAGTATTTATTTGCACATGTAAACATTTTGGCTTCAATAAACAGAACACCAAGCGTAACAATAAACAAAAAAATCAATCACAACAAGAAAGGAAAGAAAGACAATTATATCGATCCGTGAGCACAACGAACAACAGACAAGCGAGCCACGTTGTCTCGCAGCAGCAACTTCCCTGCGTGGTCATCACCGCCCATCACGACGACTGTTCTGACGATGCTCGTACACCTTTCCAGACAGCACACGGCCGCGGCCGTCTTGTATCTCCTCGTGATCCATGTTATCGCGGAGACGCTTGCGGAAGCCGCCCTCCGACGCGCTCAGCCTGTCGCGCAGCTCCACCACCTCTCGAATCGACGTGATGCCCTCGAAGCTTTTCAGGTGCTGTGTCACACCGAGTCTACGCAGACCCTCCGCGTGCCGGTCAGCGCCGAAGTGCTCGCGAAACACCTTCGGTCCTTTGTACACGGTGCCGCCGCACACGTCGCACTTGAAGACTTTGTCCAGTTGGTGCAGTTGTGCGAGCCAGCGGGGAATCGGTTCCCCGTTCTCACCGAGCAGTTCCGCCTTTTCTTCCTCTGGCTCAGGTGCTACCTCTGCCGGGGCAGCAGCGGCAGGACCGCCTCGGCCTCTTCCGTAGCGAGGATTGGTAGAGTTCATGATGCTGCCCTTCGTGTCCTTGAGGGCCAGCTGGAGGTTGTACCGCGCGGCGTGAGCCACGGTGCCCTCCATCGTGCTCGCCAAGTTCTTCGTCAACTCCTCCAAAGAAGCCGTGAACTCATCATCCGCCTGTGCGCGATCGCTTTCCAGCTCCTCCATGGTGCGGCTGTAGTCCCGCAGCAGTGCCTTGTCGGTATTTTCGAACGCGTTGAACAGCAGTGAGTGCAGCAGCGCGGCGGCCTTTGCCTCCGTCATGCACACCGCCTTCACCTCCGCCATGCTCGTCGGGTAGCCAGCCTTGACCATCGCTTTGCTCTTCTCGCCTGCATCCGCTTCCTTCGTGTCGTCACAGTCCTCCACGCTTTTCTTCGTGCCGCCTTGGGTGTGAATCAGCTTCTCGATCATCGCAATGGGCCACAGGCTGTAGTTCTTCGCGTGGCGTCGCAGCGATGGCGGAATGGTGAGTCCACAGGAGACTTTGTTCTCGACCGCAATGCGGGCCGCCGCCTTGCGACGCTGCGCCGCCTTCCGCTCCGCCGCATCTTCCGCGGTCACTGCTGCTTCTTCCTCCGCAACCCTCTCTCCTTCCTCGTTCGCGTCTGCGTCATCATCGCCGACAGCGGACGCAGACGCAGCAGCAGCAGCCACACTCGTCACCTCCGCCTTCGCAGCCAACAACGCGGCCCAGTACTCCTCCCCGTCGCCCTCGACCTCTGTCAGAAGACGCTCCAGTGCACTCTTCTTGAAGGGGTATACCCGGCCGTGGAAGTCGACGAGGTAGGCCAGCAGCCCGTCTACAAACGCTCGGTACAGCTCGAATCCGACGATCTTACGGTGCGACTCGGTCTCGTGAAGCAGGATCTGCGGAAGGGCTTTGGGAAAACGGAAGAAGTCTAAACGGCCTGGCCACAGCGGGGACCATGCGAGGATGGAAGACGGCGCGAGCGGCGCCAGCTCAGCGAGAAGCTCCTCGGCCACGTCCGCACCCTCGCAGGACTCCGCCACCGTCCTGGTGCGCACCATAAATGCGCTATAGCGGGTGTAGTGCGCATCGATGTCCAGGCAGGCCCCAAAACGCTCATTCAACGAGAAGATGTCATTCAGCATCTTCGGGTTTGGTGTGTTGAGCTCATTCTTGATGGGTGGGAGGTTGTTGTAGGTGTGGTGGTACTCTCGGATGTCCGCCAGCTTCGCTTCAAACTCCTTCAGAGCGGCGGCGACGTCGTCTTCGCTTTCCGCCGGCGCGTTCTGTACCTTGGTGATGTCGTCCTCGTCCAAATACGCGTCGAGCAGCTTCTCCGCGGTGGTCTTCACGACCTCGGCTTGCTGGATGACGAAGTGGTCTATAAGGATGCGGTGTCGCTCGTTGGTAATATCAGACGCGAAAAGCTCCTGCTGAACGATAGAGTCGATACACTTCTCGATGTCCGCCTCTAGTGCGCGCACGCGCTCTAACACGTTGGTTTGCATGACTTAACTCAAAAAAAAAAAAAAAAGAATGTGATGTGCACACGTACCTGCAGCGCAAGCAACGAAGAAGTGAAGGATTTGACGGTGATTCAAGAAAAGGGGGACAGTGAAAGACGCCGTTATGCAGGAGATACGGAGAAGAAGAGAGGAGGAAACGCATAGCGGAAGTAAGGACAAAATAAAGAGATGAAAAACACGGTGCGAAGCAACCGTGTCCTAGTGCAAGGCCAGAAACCCAAAGCGAAGCACATTGGCTTCGCAAAAGCAGAAAGACAACGAGGTCAGCAATTTCATGACACAAAGCAGCAGCACTCGAATGGGTGTTCACCGGTAACACCGGAGGTGCCATTCGGTGACCTCGCATCACCCCGGCTTTTCTATGTTAGCTATTCGTTTCCCCTGGCCCTTTTCATGGAATCGTTGCTTGTGGGAAGATTGCTTGGTTATTGTGTAGAACGGTTGTACATCGCGTAAGAAGAAAAAAGAAAAGAAGTACATCGATCTCGTCTAGAAACGAAAAGGAGAAAGAGCAGACGATGCATTGAAGAAAGGACGACGCTCCGACGCAGGCGTTTGATGTGGCCCCACCAAAAGCGAGTCGGGTGCGCACGTGCTCTCCGCAAGTCGCAGGTTCTTTTGCACTTCCCCGTGCAACAGCCACTAGAGACTATATATAAAATAATAAGATTAATAATAAACATCAGCGACAGTCACTCGTGCAAGAGCAAAAGGGGAAAGCACAACGTTCAGATCGAAACAGTTTGAATACAGACGCAAAGAACAAAGGAAAGGGTTGGCACACAGCTTTCATCCACCGGCTTTACGACCCACACAGCAATAACAACAGACCGAGAACGCCTCACAATTCGTCTTGACTGATCAGGAACTCAAAACACACATACACAACTATATAGTAATAACAGTGCAAGTTCTTACTTCTTGCGGCCACTTTGCTTCCCCGCACCGCCGTGTTCAGTGCTACCAGTCATCTCCACGTAGTACAGCCACTCCACCGTCTGCTGCGTGCTTTTACCGGGCGGTGTGCACGTGATCGACACGCGCCCGCGTACCACATCTTTGTCCTCGTCCGCCTTGCACTGCAACACCACATTCACCGCCTTGTGCGCAGGGATTACCTCTGTCTTCTTCGCCGGCACAAACGCGGCGGAGTCGGAAGTGACGGAGATGCTTACGGGTTCGTTAAAGACGTTCTTGAAGGGCAGCTGCAAGTTCTGCCCGGCACGGGTGGAGAAAGGGCCTTGGCGTTGTGGTGCGATGCAGTTGGCCACGATCGGGAACACATAGGAGCCCGCCGCCGGCGACACGAACTCAATCGTCTCCCGCTCCTCGCCCAGCTCGGACGGCTCATAGCTGAACTCAACCACCACCTCTTGCCCTTTCGGGGCTGACGAGCCGGCAGTTGCGTAGCCTCCAGCAGCATTCGCAGCAGGGGGGGCGGCGCTGGCCTTCACGGACGCACCCTGGCCACCACCACCGCCGCCTGCGACGCGGCTAAAGCTCGAGTGCGCCTTGCCCGGCACCTCTCCGCCGAGGCGGATCGCAAACTCGGTGTTCGCTTTCCAATAGTGGGTGAAGCGGAGGACGAAGGACACGTGCTGGCCGAGAGGGCACACCACCTGTGTCGGTCTCTCCGGGGCTGCCGTGCTGGTCGTGGTCGTCAGGCGAAACAGGTAGACCTCACTCGTGCCGAGATCGGCGGAGCTCACCGCACACTGCACCGCGGCAGGCGTCTTCTTGTACAGCAGGGGGAAGAAGGTCACAGCTGCCTTGCCGCGACTCTGCGCCGGCACGACAACGGAGGTGGGCAAGGAGAGACCCTCCAATGCGCTGGCCGCCGCGGAAGCGGAGACCGGGGAAGTGGACGCATCACCGTCGACCACGTTCGACTTGAAGGTGAACTCCACCGGCTTCGCGAGCGGGTTTGTCAGGGGGATGTTGAACGTGGCGAGGTCGCGAATCGCAGCGCGCAGCTCGACAACCGTTGGGGCAGCGGCCGGTGCAGGCTCGGCGTTGATCTCCACCTCGAAGAACTGCCGCATCTCCTCGTCAGCAAGCGGTGCGCCATTCTTGTCGATGGGGTAGAAACGAACCACACCGCGGAAGGTGCCCTCGCGCAGCGGCGTCACCAACAGCGAAAACTCCGACGACGACGACGGTGCAATCTCAATCGCACCGCACACCGCTGCGTTTGCCGCTGCTGCTGCCGCTGCTGATTTCCGCGCACCACCGACTTTATTTGGACCTTTCTTGGATGCTCCGGTGTAACTGACTTTGGCCGTGGCACGAGAAGCCACGTCACCGCCTTTCTTCGGCGCAGGAGTCTCCGTGTCACTCTCGTGCACGCGCATGGCGATTTGCGCACCCGACTCCCCGCTCTCCATCACTGGCCCTGAAGTCCACTCCACCTCCTTGCGGAAGCGCATAGCATTCGACAAGGACCAGTTGTGCACCTGGAAACGCAGCGGGAGACCCACGTGGGCCACGGCATCGTAGTGCTGCAGCGGTCCCGCCGGCCCCGCTGGCTCGGCCGTCCCTTCCAACGCCACACACCGCCCCGTACCGTCAGGCAGCGGAATGAAGAAGAAGCCGCGATCTTTCTGGTGTTGCAGCGGCGGTGGGGCGGCGGTGGTGCCCTGTCGTGTCTTGTCAATCCCTTCCGCGGCTGCTGCTGATGGCGCTGGTGCGGGTGCGGATGCTGCTGCACCGGTTGTCGCGGCGTTGCCACGCAGCAAGCTCGTAGTGTTAGAAATAACGGTAGACCGGGTTGGATTGTAGGTCACCGCCACCACCGCCTTCGCCAGTGGCTTCAAGGTCACCATGGAGGGGCAGCTCCAAAGAGCGTTGTCCACCACCGGCTCCGCGGACCACGGCTGGTCCGTTGCGTTCTCCACCTCGATCGTCTTCACGTCGCTCTCCCGTGCGCGGCAGGCGAAGGACACCGTCTCCGTCGCGGCTGGACGCGTCACCGCGTTCGCGTCCACACTGAGGAACACGGGCGGTGCGCTGTCTAGCTCCAGTTTTACGTTGAACGTCGGCCGTGGTACCGATAACGATGGCTGGGGTGGAGAAGAGGTCGCTGGGGGCAGAGATGGGCCCGCCATAGATCCTGCCTTCCGCCGGCCACTGTTGCCGCCGACATTGGGATTGGGGGTGTAGCGCACCTCGCACGGCACCTCCGTGTGGGCGCGCACGAAGCCCGTCGAGGGAGTGATGCTCCACTCGCCCGCCGGCTTGAGTTGCTGCAGGCCACTGATCCACGAGAACTTCTGCGACACATCGCCGCTGTTTAAGATGACCACCTTCCGTGTCGCCGAGGCACCAAGCACGACGTCGCGAAACTCGATATGCGACGTGTCCAGGTGCACCTCTGCATCGGCACACGACCCACTCACCGACACAAACGGCAGCTCCACACCGCACACGAGCATCTTCATCTCTCGGTTGAACTCACTCATGCGATGCGTCGGCGCGAAAACGACGGACACGCTGATGATTTCTTTTGGCTTCAGCAGCAGCATGGACGAGAGCGCGTTGCCCTGCCCGGGCAAAACGATCGAGACACCTTTGCGCTGCAGATCCTCGTCCACCGTGCGTGAAAACGACACCGGCGTGGGGACTTTGCTGAGGCACTGCAGTTTCACGGCCACGGAGCGCGGCTCGCCCACACGCACGGTGCCGAACTCCGCAAACGGCTCCGCCACCTCCACCCGCGGCGCGACCCCCTCGCCTGCGATCGGCAGTCGCGTCGTGTGCACCTTGTTGAGGCACAGCTCCAGCACATCCTCATAGTAGCGTATCTCTGTCGGTGCAAACGTCAGTTTCAGCCGCGCCGTCTCCTTCGGCCGCACCACGAGGGACGTGCAGTCGAGTTTGAGCCACGCGTTCTGCGTCGCCATGCCACACTCGACTGAGATCGTCTCCGACTCTACGTTTGTCAGCTGCAGCTCCTGAGACACGGACCCGCCCCGCTGCGCCTGCAGAAGCTCCTCCGCCACATTGGCGGAACCCGCCTCCGACAGCGACGCGGACAGGGTACTGTTGAAGGCGGCAATAAAGCGCGGGCCGAAGTCGTAGCGGTCAAAGTTCAGCCGAAGCCGGGGTAGAAACGCGACGGCCCGCAAACTCACCTTGTACGCCACGCTGCCTTCGATGCGGAAGATGAGCCGACACTGCTTCAACGTCTCCTCCGCAATCGGCGTGTACTGCAGCAGCATCTCTGCGCTTTGTCCCGCCTCCACGGTGCCCTCGGCGTGGTCGAAGTGGACGCAGGGGTTTGTCGGTATGTCCACGCGGTAGCGAAGAAGGTAGGTGCCCGTGTTGCGCAGCACGAACCGCCGTGCCGCCGTGGAGCTCACCTGCACCCGCGCCAGGTCGAGCGTCAGCGGCTGCCCACGAAGCACCGGAATACTCTCCTCACCCGCATCCTCTGCCGTGGCAGTGGCCGGCTCCACATGCAGTGCGTCGTGCACGCAAATGCCGACACCCTTCACGTTGATGGACAACGGCAAGCTCGACTTTTTGACGGTGCAGCGCAGCGGCACATTGTACTCCATCTCCTCCTGCGGCGCAAAGCTCAGCAACACCGCGAGACGCTCCCGTGGTGCGATGGTGCCACGCAGCGGCTTCACGGACAAGAAGGTCGCCGTCCCCTCTAAAGACAGTTTGTCCCACGCGAAGGAGAAGGCCACGTCGTCGCAGTTCTCGAGCACGACGGCGCGCTCGACACGCGTGCCAACCTGCACGTGTTCGAAGTCCACCTTGCTGGCGTGGAAGTACACGTTCGGCTCCACGACGTTGCCGATGAGGCGGAAGGGAATGGTCGCGCGACCCGGAATGCGGAAGGTCCAGTCCGACTTACGCACGCCGAGCGCGTCCGCGAAGAACTCAAACGCGGCCTCGACGCTCCGCCCTGCTGCGACAACACCGGACGAGGTCAAACAGCGGAAAGGTGACATTCCACTGCCAGACACCATCCCCGCCCCGCCGGCTGCGACCACCCTTGCACTACCACCATCACCGGCCGCGGACGCAGCGCTACCCGACTCCTCCAACCACTCGTAGTTGTACGACCCAGATGTGGGGTTCACGACGGGGAAGCGCACCGTTGCCTTGGTGTGCAGCCCACGTGCGAGAAACTCCACCACAAGCGGCTCTGGTTGCTCCTGACCCTGCGCCCCACCCGTTGTGGATACGGGCGACGGGGAGCGGCTTTCGGCTCCGCTCTGCAGAGACTTGGCGAGGACGGACGAGGGTGGTGGTGGCGGCGGCACCTTGAAGTGCACCAACGGACACTCCGCAACTCCCTGCAGGGACACCTGCACCTCGCGGGGTTCACTGTGAGGGAAGCGCAGCAGCAGCTCCGCACCTAGCAGACCCACCGTGCGCGGCGTGAACTCCACATTGAGGTCCACCTGCGACCCCGCCTCGACAACGTGCACATCTGACGGCGCGGCATCGGCCCGCGTCCAGGCGGAAGATGTTACGCCAAAATCAGCAGTGAGGTGCGGCTCTGAGAAGGTGTCGCGACTCGGGCTGTCCGTGATCCCGCCCGCGGCGGCAGCGGCGCTGAGCTGCGCGGCCGTCCACGAAGGCGCGGTCGTCTGCGCCTCCGCCGTGCTTGCTGTCGGGTCGGTCGGCGTCTCCTTCTCATTGGAAGGAAAATCGCTCGCTGAGATGCTGCAGCTGTACGGGAGCGCCACGCTGCCGGTATTGATAACGCGCACTACGGCGACGCGTGTCTGCAGCAGGTACGTATGCGGGAAGGAAATGGCCTTCAGTTCTTTCATTAACGCCGTCGTAGACATCATGGAAGCAGAAGCTGCCTCCATACCAGCTGTCGAGCCACCCACAAGATGACACTGGTAGGTTGGCACGCTGCAGCGGAACCCCATCGTCAGCGGCTGCGTGACACACACCTCGTCCACCACGGAGTAGGCCGGCTCTGGAACCGCCTCCATGACTTGCTTCAAGTTCCGTCGCCCCATCATTGCAGCAGCGGCGGAGAGGTAGGCGGCCGCGTTCGGGTGCGCCTCGGTGTCGTCGCCGCGCAGCACCCATTTCGGGCTTTGTAAGGAGTTGTCCCACTCCGACGCTGTCGCGCTGGGCATCGCGGCTGCCGTCGCGTTTCGCATGCCAGCCATGGCTCCGCCAATCGTGTTGGCAGGCTGCACCATGATGGACTGCGCCTGCAAGGCGCAGCACACCCGCCGACCCAGTCCCTCCACCGGGCTGCGCACCGTTGCCGTGAACGCCCGCGTCGCACCGGCGGGCAAGTGCCCAATCGATGGTGTAATGCGGACCGTCTCGGGCACCTCCCACACGTACCGCACGAGCGAGTCCGTGTTGTTGCGCGCGGTGAACGAGCAGGTCTTGTCGACGCCGAGGTAGCAGTCACCGACGTCGATGTAGTCCGAGCTGGCGGGGTCGATGCCCTCGAAGGAGATTTCGCCCTTGAAGCTGCGCGCCACAACTTGGATCTCCTTGTCCTCGAAGGGGTTGTGGGCCAGCGTGAGGCGCAGTCGCGTGGTTGTCGACTCCACCTGCGAAGGGGCATAGATGACTTCGATCTCCTCTGATCCCCCCGCGGGTACCACCACCTCCAGTTGGCGCCGCGGCTCTGTTGGTTCCTGCGGTTGGGCGCCCGCCACGGTACCCGGACTCATCGAGAGGGAAGCAGTCGAGTGGAGCGGCTCATCACCCGCGGCGCTGCCAGAGATCAACTCCAGCTGCACGTGCGCCTCCACGCATCCCGTGTTGCGAACGGTAAAGTTGCGCTTCGAGACCGCATCGACACGCGTCACGGGCAGCTCCAGCACCTCCGCCGTCCCCGGGCCAACGGTGTGGCCGTCCGTGTGCAGGTTTGAATTGGGCACCGATCCAACGCCACCTTGGCGACGGCGCGCGCCCTTCCTCTTTTCGCCCCCGGCGAGGCCGTCCGCGCCACGCAGGTGCTCCGCCGTGGTGATGACCGCGGGCTGGGAGACGCCGGCGTCGGCCGACGTGTAGCGCCAGGGCAGCACGAGGTCCACCGTCGGCAGCGTCCCCTCGCCGTACAGACCGAAGCGGAGCTGCTGACCGACATCACCGCGCTCCTCCATCGAGGTCGATACGCTATCCACGGTGGCGATGAGCTGCGCCTGCAGACGACTCAGAGAGCTTGGCGTAAAGCCCACGGTAACGAAGCGACTCTCGAAGGGCGGCAACGAGAATCTGACAGCGGACCCCTTCGACTGCGCCGGGGAGGCACCACTTTTGCCCTCCACCGAAAGGTCGAAGCCATCCGGTCTGCCCGCGTCACCTGCGTTCGCACCACCACCTCCACTGTTGCTGCTGACACCAACCGATCGGGAACCAGTGGCGGTGCCCGGCACCCCTCCACCACCGCTGTTGCCCAACGCAGCAATGCCATCCAGCTGCACCGTCACGGAGCACGACAGCGGGCTGCTGTTCGCAATGCGGAAACGCTCCTCACAGCGCTGGCCCACCAGCACCGTCCCAAACGAAAAGACGCGCTCCTCTTTGCTGTAGGCTCGTGCGCCCTTCGGTAGCTGCTCTAGTCGGTACACCACCCGCTGCTCCTCGAAGATCGTCTCCACGTCCGCGCTAGAAGTGAGGTTCGCCGCGATGGACGGGGCGGCGGGGTAGGCGGAGACCTCAACGGGCGTCCCGTAACGCTCCAGCTCCGGCCCGCTCTGCGCCACACGCACGCCGATTGTCTCGTGGATGCGGTTCTGCTGACTCGGCACCGTGCTCACGGTGATCAGTTGGGTCCCGCCCACCGGCACCACGCCCTGGCCCGGACGGCACGTGAAGGCGCCCACCGCAATGTCGGTCTCTACCGCTTTCAGGAACTTCATGGACTTTCGCTGAACAGGGGCCCCCTCTGCCCCGCCGGTGGCATGGGTGGCGGCATCTCCGCCCTGCGCTGCGGCTACGGATCCTCCAGCAGTGACACTCCCCGCATTCGCCGTACCCGCTGCCGTGGCTGCGTCGCAGTAGTTAAAGAGCGAGTACTCCAGCGGAAACCGTCCCGTGTTGGTAAGCTGAAAGGTGCGCTCCCGCGGCTGCCCGACCACACAGGAGCCGAAGGAGACGCTGGGGGGCTGCACGACATACTTCGTGTACCACGCCTCCCCAAACACCGGAATCGTCTGCAGCGGGTAGAGCAGCTCCTGCTTCTCCACGTCAAAGAAGGCGACCTCCATCACCGACAGCTTCGCCGGCAGCTCGCCCTCCTTCTCCATCCGCGCCACTACGTCGATGGTCGCGATGGCGGCGTCTTTGTGGCCCATCATCCCCCGCAGCGTGCCAGAGGGAGCTGAGAGCGTCAACACCTTCTGCAGCCGCCTCGGCATGCGCAGTTGATACCCAACGTCGTAGGGACACTTGTTCATAATGCGGATCGCCTCGCGCTTTTCTTCACCGACGTGCAGCACGCCCAGCTGCAGCTCCCGCGTCCACTCCACCACCACATCGTATCCCTCCGCCTTCACCGTCATGGGGATGGTTTCGTACACCGACTGCGGCTGCCCCACCTCGGACACAAGGAAGTTGACAACGCGGTTGTGCAGGCACGGGTGCGTCGGCGCAAACGTCATATCCAGCGTCTGCACCTCGTTCTCCTCCAGCACACCCTCCATCGTACTGCACTGCAGCTCCGCGGGCAGCTGCGAGACGGCCGATGCCGACGACACGCTGGAACCTGCTACAGCAGCGCCACTGCTTCCCCCGCCACTACCACCACCTTTCTCGCCACGAGTGCTCACCTCCTGCACAGGGACGAGCCGCCAAGAGAGTGGGACAACGCCTTCGTTCGCCAACGTGAAGGACCGCCCAACGCTGCGTCGCAAAACAAGCCGTCCAAAGTCCACCTCCAGCGACTCCTTCACGCCGTTCACAGAGAGGCTGGGCCGGGCACCGGTGCACATCACCTCCACTTTCCAGGGCACGGGATTGTCCTTGATGCTGGCCATCAACGTGTTGCTGAAGTCGCCGGCTTTCTCGGGGTTGGCGCGGAGCTGCACGCGCTGCGTCGCACCGGGCCGCAGCGTGAAGGAGGTTGGCGTGACGGTGAAGGTCTTCTCCTTGTCGTTCACAAACGACAGCGTCACCTCCGCATCCGCCTGTTCGCGGTTCATGAAGGAGAGCGTCTCCTCAAACGGGGTGTTGGCGTTCGGGCCGGCGTCCACCACGACGTGGTCGGCGTTGGCGGGCCGTCCCGCCGTATTCTGCGCGAGCGCGGCCTTTTCCGCGGGGCTGAGGGTGCTGCTGCTGGGCCCACCGCTGCGCCGGCGACCCTTCGCGGTGGGCGGCGGAGCAATCAGCAGCGCACCAAAGTCGAACAGCTTCTTCGACGTGGCGTAGACCTTCGGCATGCGACGAACTCCCCCGCCCGCCGCTCCACCGCTTCCCACGCCAATACGCGGACGCACCACCGGGAAGATGTCCTTTGGATCGCGGCTGATGTCGGGCAGGGCGATCGTCGCCGACACCGTCAGGCATAGTTGTTGCAGCGAGCCCACCACGCCAAAGATGCACTTCTCAACGAACCTGCCCACGTGGTCGCTGCAGAACTCGAGCGAGAGGGTGACCGACGAGTGGGCGGGCAGCGTCCACCGCGTGACTTCCTCCTTCTGCAGCACGAAGGAGGGCATCGACTTCTTCTTTGAGCCCGTCTTCTTCACCGGGACCACCTCACGCTCCACAGTGGAAAAAAAGCGAACGTTGTGGTGCGATGCATCTTCGGCATTGACATCGCCCGCGTTCGCCGGTCTGTTGGTCGTGGGGCTCGAGTTCTCCGTCACCGCCGACTCGGCCGACACCGCCCTTGCCTCGCCACTGGCGCCCTCTCCGCTGGGGGAAGACATACTGACCGAGCCGCTTCTGGCACCCAAGACACGCTCCGCAGTCCAGTAGCGCAGTCGCGCCTCGTTGAGGTAGAACCACTCGCCCACCCGACTCTCAAACGCCTCCAACGGCCTTCCTTGCGGTGCGCTCCCTGCTGCAGACGCGAGTGCGGACAAAATCAACGTTGTCTCTGTCTTCGTTGTTGCTGTCGCCGCCGTGGTACCGTCAGCCGTGGACTTGGGATCCACGCTTCCGTGAGCCGTCGCGCCAAGAGCACCACCCACACTGCCGCTCTTCTGCGCAAGTTGATGCACGACGTCGTCCGCCACGGCAGTGGGTTCACGCGTTTCCGCGATAACGCGGAGCACCTGGGACCAGCTCGCCTTTGCCTCTTGCGCGAGAGCGTTGGCAGCCGCAGCAGCAGCCTTCGCGTTCCCCGTGGGGCGTGTGGACGTTGATGCCGCAGGGGCCGCAGCCGCGCCAGTCACTGTGCCGTTGGTGCTGTTAGGCGGGCAGCCGCACTTCTGCAGGAATCGCCTGTACCACGCATCAAACTGTGCCGCAGCATCCAACGACTTCCACTCCGGCTCGCGCTGCCCAGCTGACCTGTCCTCGCTCGTGCGCCTCGCTGGCGCAACTCTCGTCGTCTTCGACGGCCGCACTGTGGCCTCCAGCGCCGCCTCTGCTTGTTGCTGACGCACGCTTTCCTCCAGCTCCTCCTGGACGGACGTGTGGGGAAGCTGCGCCGCCCAGTCACGCTCCTCCTGCTGCGCCGCATGCAAGTCGCGGCGACAGTCATTCATGTACTTGAGGCGGCGGTTGTAGTCCTCGCGATCGTCCTTGCTGAGGGCCTCGAATGCCGCCTCGTCCAGTGGGGTGACGGAGGCAGCGGCCACACGTGCTGCATGATGCGCCGCCAGGGCGCGCGCCGCCCGCACGTTTGACGTGGGAGTGCTCACGTGGAGCGACACAATGTGGACAGGGATGTGCAGCGTGGCACAGACGCTGGAGATGAGCTCGTACAGGGTCCATTGATTGGCCAGCACACCGCACTTCAAGCCGTCCACAACGAAGCGCAGCGGTGCAGCAGCGGGACTGCTGTTGTTTGTGGTGGTGGTGGTGTTCGGCCGCGGCACATCGTTGAGTTCATCAAGCGCCGCTGTCGCAGCTGCCACGCGGGACCTTTCGGCAACGATGCAACGGTTCAAGAAAGACTGCAGCAGATCGCGTATTAAGGTAGGCACGCAGGCCTCACAGGAAATGGCCGCCTTGACGTCCTTTTCATCCACACGAGGCGAGTTCCCCGCGAGAGACACCACCGCCGCAGCGGCCGCTTCCTCTTCCGCTGCGCGGGTGAGGAGGCATCGGGCAACAGCGGCGTTTGCCGTGTCGTCGCGCTCCGCCTCTGCGCGAACGAGCGCGTCGACGTCCACGAGAGTCGTCCTTCCGTCGCTCTTCGACAGCCACTGCTGCGCCACGGACGTCTTGCCACTCCGTGGTGGCCCAACCAACATCAGCAAGCTCGGCGGCGCACCACTGCTGCTCCCCGCGTTGGCGCTCTTGACGCCGCCGGCGTCTCCGAGCGTGTTCGCGCCGCCCGCGGGGTTCACCGCAGCATCTCCCGTGGCGGACTTCACCGAAGCCCGGCGGCTTTCCTTGCGACTGCCACGGGTGTTACTACTGCCTCCGGCCGCCGCCGCCTGCGCCGCCCCGTTTACGCTACCGCGCGACTTACCGACCGCTTTATTTTTATTGTGATTGCCGTTCCTGCCGGCGGCCCCGTCCGCGTCTGCGCTCTCGCCAGTTCCAGTAGCCGCGGCGGCATCGGCAGACACAGGCGACACCTCCGTCAGCGCGTCTGACTTCGAGCGTAGGCAGTCAAACACGGAGTCCAAAAGCGTGTCAGGAAGGTAGTCACCGGCTTCGATGTGCGGTAGCAGCACCTCGTGTGCCGCACTGCTCTCCAACGCACGACGCAGCAGCTTCACCTCATTTGCGTGCTGCGAGTCGAGTGCTAGGTTGAAGATCTCCACAGGGTGGTCTTCGTCATTCGTGATAGTGACGGACTCGTGCAGCACCTGCTGGGGGGGAACCGGAGGCAGGTGCAGCTGCTCCGTGCTGAGACCCAGCTGGTAATGCTCTCCACTGCCAGTGAGCTTGATGGTGAGGAAGCTGCTCGCCGAGCCGGTGCCACAGCGGAACTTCAGCTGCGCAGCCGATGTCACCGCCGCAGCGTTGGCACCGCTGCTCTTCGCGCGGAAGTTCTTCGGTGCGTAGTACACTTCGATCGTCAGAGTGCCGGAGGCCGGCACCACGCCATGATCTTGCTTCACCCAGAACTCGGGAATGGCGCCGTCCGCAGACTCGCCGTTGCCCTTACCTGCTAAACTTCGCCGCGCACTGTACGGGCCTCCCTTCTCGTCACTGTTGGGGGCAGTAGCAGCAGAACCACCGAGCTCTGCAACATCATCGCGAAGCTCTAATCGGCTGCCGAAACGGCTCTGGTGCGCAGCATCGCCCTCAATAAGCTCTTTGCAGGTGACGCGCCACGGACAGGTCACCGCCTCCGGGTTTGTCAGCACCAGCGGCAGCACCTTCACCTCGCCGAGCAGCACCGCGCCAAAGTCCACCTCCTTTTCCTTAGCTCTTAACGAGGGTGTGGCGACGTAGCAGCGACACTCAATGACCACCGCCGGGCCGTTTTTGATATCAAGCGTGAACTCGTGCGTGTTTTCACCGTGCGGCACCATGCTCTCCGGCTGCGTAGCATCCATCGTTAACGTGATGGTGGTGGTCTCGTGCCCGGCCATCTTAAACCCTTTCACGGGGTCCACCGAGACAGGGAGGTTGGCAAACTCCTTGGCGTCGAGCACCACACTGACCCCCTCCGCGGAAGGGTTTGCAATGGTCAGCTTCGTTTTGCGCACGTCGTGACGTGTGAGGTGGCCAAAGTCGACGATGTAACGTGCGAGGGCCAACTTCGTCATGCCTGATCCGCTGCTGCGCAGCGCCGTCCCGGAGCTGCGCCGCATCGTACGCGGTGTCAGAAACACTGGCGGCCTGGTCACACCCTCTGCGGCAGCGGTTATGATGCTTTCCTTTTCGTGTATGGCGCGGCAGAACGCCAGCCGTTCGGCCTCCAAGATCGGCCAATCCCGCTGCAGCACGGTAGGGAGCTCTGCCGGTGCGGCGGAGGATGGAGAGGCGGTGGACGCGAGACGCGACTCGACATCCTGCAAAGCACTGGTGAAGGCACCGAACGGTGCACGGTACACGTGGACCATGTTCTGTCTCCCGCTTCCACTCGCACCGCTGCCGTTTGCCACGGCGGTGGCTGTCGTGGTGGTTGCGAGGGCCACACTGCACATGTAACCCGACCCGACCACGTGAATCAGGCGAGGGTCAAGATGGCCAATGCGGACCGAAATCTCTTCCTCAAACGCGTCCGGCACCTGTGGTGAGAAGGTGACCTGCAGGCGTGCCTTATCGCGCAGCACGCCGGACATGGGCGACACCTTCAGGCACTCCGGGTGCCGCAGGCGACTGAGGTCCACTTGCCACGGCACGTGCACCTGCGTCGTGTTCGTCAGCGTCACCACCTTCGACACAGATTGGAAGTAGGGCAGCCGGCCAAAGTCAAGGTGGCTTTTGTCGCAAAGCGCCTGCACCACATTCGCCGCGGCGCGCAGGTCCATCGTGTACATCGGGCCGCCCTCGACGTGGCACACGGCGGTGGCCAGCGCAACGCCCATGTCAGTCCCTTGGTACGCCACCTCCACCACTCTCTTCTCGCCCGGGAGAAGCGTGCCGGCGAAGGGGATGACGTCAAACCCGTTCACCTTCACACAAGTCGCGGGACGGGACGCCGCCGACTTGCACGGAAGCGTCGTCTCCACGGCACCATCGACGGAACTCTTCGTCTCGATCGGTGACCCAGTCGCCGCCGTGGCTGTTGCGTCGTTCGTCTGCGGCCGCAAGGTCCAACAAAAGGTCGCCGGTAAGTCGTGTGAAGGGTTGTAAAGCTCGATGCTGCGGCGCTGCTCCGTGTTGGTGAGGATGGTGCCGAAATCAACTACAACGGAGGGGTTCAGCACGAGGGAAGGAAAGCGCAGGACCGCACTAAGCGAGACGAACTCCTTACGGTCGTGATTGTCAAAGCTCAGTTGCAGCTTGCCCTTTGCCGTATGGGAGGTGTTGTCGCCTCGGTAGAGCGGGTTGCACCGCACGCCCACCACGTACGATTCTCCGCTGGACAGGGTAACCGTCGTGGGGCCTTCGAGCAGAAAAGGAACGTCACCTTTCGGTGAGATGGCCGCCACGCTTGTCGTTCTGTTCGACGTCGTCGTGGGGGCGGCATTCGCAGACTTTATACGCAGCGCAATCACAAGCACTTTGCTCGTAATGTTCTTCATTGTGAGCGACTTGACCAAAGACGGTGCTGCCGTTGCCGCTGGAGCAGTGGGCGCGTGGTTAGCGTACTCGAAGACGATCGCGCGGCTGCTGCAAGATAGCGTAGGCGCGATGAACGTCGCCTTCACCGTGCTACGCAGCACCTCCTTGAAGGTGCCGGATTGCTTCAGCGTGAAGGTGTCCATGCGCGTGCCGACTTCAGTAGCGCTGCCGCACAGCGTGAAGACGACCGAGCCGCCGGCTGCAATGCTCGCCCGCTCTGGTTTGTAGTTGAAGGTGATGGGTGACTCGCCTTCCTTGACCTTGCTGCCACGGATGTTCTGCCACTGCAGCTCTTGCTCTCGTCGACCGTAGTTGTGGAGCGTGACAGTCTCCATCACGGGCACCGTTGTGAGGACGTCGCCCAGCTCAATGCTCTCCAGAGATCGATCGGCGATGATGGGTACACCTTGGCCCGTCACCTTCACGGAAACCGCCACGTCGTTTTCCAGCGACGCCGCGTTCTCAGTGCCATTGTTGCCGACTTCGTTGCCGGGGGTCGTTGGGACCTGTGACAGCGTGCGGCGCAGACGTAGGGTGTCCACAAAGGCGATCGCCTCGTCTGGTTTTGCTCGCACATGCACGGTGAAGGAGGAGTGTGGCTCTAACGTGCCCTCCGCGGGTTCCACAGAGAAGACGGGTACACGAGGAAAGGGCAGCGTCGACTCTGCCAACAACGCCGTGTCCACGCTCCCTGTCCTATTGCCACCACTAACGGCGGAGTTGGCGGGCGGATTTACGGTGCCGTAACGGTCAAAGACGAGCGCGAAGGGCGCCGGCACTGGGCTTGTGTTCTTCAACGTCAACTCCCGAACCTCCTCCGCGAGCACATCGAGCACGCCAAACTGAACGGTGGAGGGCTGTACCTCAACGTGCGGGCCGCTTGCCACCGCGCTCACCAGAATCGTCAGCGGCGTCATCGGGGGCTCGCAGACATCGTGACCCAACACACGGAGTGCGAGGGAGAAGTGCAGCCGGCCCGGCTTCAGCGCCGTCAGAGTGACGGGCAGCTGGAGTGTATGATGCGGTGCGATCCAGTGCACGCCGTCGTCGTGCTCGCTCGACACCGGCAGCTCCACCATGACGACGTCCGTCAAGGCATCGCCGTTCAACAGCAGCAGGTCGAACATCCCCGTCAGCGCGGTGTCGTTAGAGACGGAAACGTTTAGAGTAGTGGGGTAACCGACAAAGACGCCGCCGTAGGTCAGCTCCGTCGTGCTCGAGTAGAGGGTAGGAACCATGCAGGTCGCCTTCAGAGGAATGGCGTCCAGCACGTCGCCGACGTCCGCCACCTCCACCAGCAGCGCCGTCTCGTAGTCGCCGACGGTGCGAGAGTGGAAGAGCACCTGCACTACCTCCGCCGAGCGCGGCGCGATGACGCCCTCGGCGGGCGTAATAACGAAGTCAGACGCGTACGCGCAGTCGTCCGGCAGGTGCAGCGCGTAGTGCATGGGAATGGGGCTCGTGTTCTCGATGTTCATGGTGCGGGTGTGCTTCATGTTGTAGGAAACGTTGCCGAAGTCCAGGTCGTCCACGTCGCACTGGAAGTGAGGGCCGAGCACGCGTCCCCGCAGCAGCAGCGGCACTTCCTCCATCGCGCCTTGCATGTGAATGTGAAAGCTCTCCGCGAAGCTGCCAATGCGGTCCGACCGCAGCACGATTTTTAGCTTCACGCTTTCGCCCGGCGCCAGCGAGCCGTGAGAGGGCGTGAATTTGAATTTGCTGGCGAAGTCAACGGGGGGGGCAGCGGACTCCACCATCGCGGACGGCGCACTGGAAGGGGCAGCCGGCGGCATCACGACGAACTGGCACTCAATCGCCGACGTGTTCTCCATCGTGACGAAGTACTCATGCACAGCGTTGAGGTAGACATCGCCGATGTCGAGGCGGTTGTAGTCTAGCTTGCACTGCGGGCCGACGCCGTGGCCGCGCATGAGCAGCGGAAGTCGCTGGACCGACCCGGTGACGTCGAGGTAGGCAATAGACTCATAGAGCACGGCGAGGTGTGGGTTAAAGGTGATGGTGAACTCCCGCACACCGCGGCCGTACAGCACGCCCGACAAGGGCTGAATCTGAAATGACTCGTCCCCGTCGTAGAGGTCGGCGAGGTTGTGCTCGTGTTGCTGCTGCTGCGGCGGCGGCGCCAGCTCCGGATCCTCCGCGGTCGAGTCACCGTTGGTCGTGCGATTGTAGTGCTTGCTGGACAGAAGTTTATGCATCGTTGCCGCGGTGGGCCGCGTGGGTCGCCATCGCCTCTTGCCGTCCACACCGTAGGCGCCGTCGGTGGCATCTTCGCCATCGGCGTCGTTGTCGTAGACGTCGCTCTCGTCTCCCACCTCGCCGGCCGTGTCACGGAAGGACGTCTTCCACGCAAAGGCGACGGTTTCGTCGCTGTCGTTGCGCACCCGCACGACGGTTCGCCGCTCCGTTGTGACGTACGTGTCCGCCAGCGTCACCTCCGTCTCCTCGAGCACAATACCGTGCAGCTCGACTGCCTGCGCGGAGAGCCACACGTCCTGCACCACGTCTCCTTCTGGGCCAAGAAAGAAACGCAGCAGGCCGTGGCAGGTGCCGGCAGCGGCTAAGGCCGGATCAGGGCGGAAGTGAAGGGTGACGGGGGCCACCGTCACCGCATTCCCTTCCGCGGCGCAGAGGGGCTCGACCACGCCGTTGTGAGGGGTGATAGAGAAACACGCAGACGGCGGGCAGGAGTCGAGAAGGGCCGCAGCAGCAGCAGCGTCGTAATTTGCCGTTGTGCTTCCTGATGGTGTGCTGGGGGGATCAACGATGACAGCGCGCCAGACGCAGCTGCGCTCGCTGATGTTGCGCAGAAAGAGCGGCGTGGTGCTCGAGCCCTTCATCGGAGCGTCTTTCAGCACCAACGATGAGGGCAGCTGCAGGCACCCACGACTGGCGTAGGCGCGGACGGGGACAATGACAGCCTGGTCATCCTCTGTACGCACCACGAGCTCCGTCCCGTAATCTTTTGTGCTGCTGGTGGGGGTGAAGAGCACCGTGTAGGACACGGAGAGGCCGGGAGCGACTTTAGAAGACGACTCCGCACCGCGTGGCGCCGTCAGCTCGAAGGTCGTACACGCATGAGGCCGATCAACCCGCACGTGTTTGTTGAAGGCGGTCCTGTTTTTCAGCTCAAGCGTGGCCGTATACGTAGTATTAGCTGCGTAACTGTCAAAAATAATAGTAGAAGGATATACATCGAATGGAAAACGAAGATCAGAAGCAAGCGAGGAGGAGGCACCACCACCTGCACCCGCAGCTGCAGCAGCTGCACCGAACTTACCGAAGGTCGTTGCTGGCGCTCCGCTATCGCGTGTGGCGGCGGCGGCGTCCATTGTGCCGCCGTTGGAGTGCACGAACATCTTTTCGTTGTCGTGTGGATCCTGTTGCGCCTGCTGCCGGTGCTGTTGCGTGATGCGTGTTGGTCCTGTTTTCGCCGCTGCGGGGCGGTGCGGATGAAGAGAGCCGTCTTTGGAAGCCGCCTCACCAATGTGGCGCGGCCCCGTTGCGGAAAAGGCCGCCGCGGACGACGCAAGTTGCGTCCCCGCGTCCCTCTCTCCTGCACCGCCGCTTCTGCCGCGCAGGGAAGCTGGCATGCTGTTGGCGAGTTGCCTCCGCGAAGCTGGGGAAGCAGAGGAGTGCATTCTTGCCTGCTCGTCTTTTGCGTCTTGCTTAGATGAGGGAAGGGGACAGTTAAGCAAGTGCAATTGAGTGCTCTCCCTTCGCTTTGTTGGAGACAAAAGAAAAAGGGAAAGGAAAGAAAACTAAAATATGTAAATACAAAGGAAAAGAAAAACGCGTGGTGCGTTGCGGCTGGGAAAACGAGAGGCGAAAGCAAAGGCTGGAAATGCTGTTCTTATTTTTTTCCTCCGTTTTCCTTCGGACGGGGTTCGAAGTTCTCTTTTATCTTCTTCCTGCGCTGCGCCGTCGACAGTCGTGGGTGTTGGTTGTTGTCGTGTGTGTGTGTGTGTGTGTGTTGCGCACAGAGAGAGCAGAGGGCGACGCATCCACGTCCACAAATTGTGAGGCGTTCAATAATAATAATAATAATAATGAGGGGAAAGGCAACGTGAAAGAAAAAATAGAGAGTAGAAAAGGGTACGAACCGGAGAGAAAGCACGCGTGGATCATCCATTAACCCAGCCCGCGGTTTGCCGATTTGTAATCGTGCGCACGCGGAACGGGCCACATCCACGCCGCTCGATGAGCATCGTTTCCCACGCACAGCCTCGCATTCAATTGTCGCACGGCGTGTTGTGTGGTGCGCCTGTGAATCACAGCGTGGGCCTTCAGCACTGTGGAGGCAGAAAAGATTCCCCAGAAAACCACAATCACCGATCATGATGAGGTTAGTGTACTCAGATAACGCTCCTATTGCTTTTCCCTTTTTGTCGAACTCTTTGCGTACCCGCACCGGACAGCAACACTGCACTCAACTGCAGCTTCGAAGCACAGCAAAGCATTACACGCGAAAAAAGATTAAAAGACAGGACAAAGAAAGCCCTAGAGAACAACCAATCCGTTTTGCCGACTCATCCTTCGCCGCGTCCTCGTTTCCGTTCTTTCGCTCCCACTTGCCCTCACTCTCTGTCTCTTCTACACCAAAGTAATCTCCACGGATGCAAGCGCCTCCACCACCCATCGCGGGTAGTCTTTCTTGGGGTAGTAAGCAAGGAAGAAGTCCTGCACGTAGGCGGTAAAGCGCCCTTCCTCGATCGCGCGGCGTGCCCCGCGCGTCAGGCTGATCAGGTATGCAATGTTGTGGTACGACAACAACGTCGCCGCCGTCCCCTCTTTCGCCGCGATCATGTTCAGGTACGACCGGGTGTACGTGCTACACGTCATGCAACGACAGTTGGGGTCCAGCGGACCGAAGTCACTCGCGTACTCCTTCCTCGACAGCTGGACCTTGCCCGACGACGTCAACGCTGAACCAAACCGCGCCGTTCGGCAGGCGTAGACGCAGTCAAACATGTCCACGCCGAGGGCGATGCACACCAAAATGTCCTCGGGGTACCCCACGCCCATGCAGTAGCGCGGTTTGTTGGCGGGAAGCCCCTCCTTCGTGCACAGCCGCACCATCCGCCAGAAATCGTCCTTCGCCTCACCCCCGCTAAGCCCGCCAATGGCGTAGCCCTTGCAGGCCGAGCGCTGAATAATCTCCCTCAAACAGTCACGGCGGAGGTCGGCGTCGAGGGCGCCCTGAATGATACCAAAAATGCACTGCTTCTCTTTGTTCGCGTTCGCGGCGAGACAGCGATCAAGCCAGCGTATGGACCGCCTCGCCGCCTCCTCCACGCGCGGTCCCACCGTCAGCGTGTGCACGACATCGTCCAGCTGCATCATAATATCGCCGCCGATGGCGTTCTGAATGCGGATGGAGTCCTCGGGTCGGAGAAGCAGTGAGTAGGTTCCTTCGTCTTGCGCGGTCGCGGTTGCTGCTTCGGTCATCTCAGCAGCAGACGCTGTGGTGGCCCCTTCCGTCTTCGCCATCACCGCACCCGCACTTCCGCTGCCGTGGGTGGACTGAAAGCGCACGCCCTCCTCCGTAATGCGCGCCAGCTTCAGCAGCGACACCATCTGGAAGCCGCCGCTGTCGGTTAGAATGTTTCGCCGCCAACTCTCCATGAAGTGAATCCCATCCATGTTGTCGCGCACCCCGTCAAGGGAAGTTTGTGTGCCGTTCGCCGACTCGCGGGCGGTCTTGCGTGCGGTGAGCTCACGGAGAACCTCCTCGCCAGGGCGGAGGCCGAGGTGGTAGGTGTTGCCCAGGATGATCTCCACATCGAGCTCCTCGAGCTGCTCCACCGTGATACCTTTTAGCGCACCTTGGGTGGCGACGGGCATGAAAATGGGCGTGCGCAGCGGACCGTGGGGGAGGTGGAAGACACCGCTGCGTGCCGCGATGGGCTGCTGGCCCTCAGGGCCGCGATTTTCTTCAAATGAGAACACTGGCGGTGGCATGCTTGTTTCTTTCTCTCTCTCCTCAGTCGTTACGGCAGGTCGTTTCTGCCTCGACGGACTCTGCGCAGTAATCAGGAAAGAGTTTATGTTTTTTGACAAACAACGGAAAAGGATGGCGAAATGAGAGAGGGAAGGGGTGAGGAGTTGGCTGTGGTTGTTTCATTGAGAGGCATTCAAAGGATAACACCGTTAAGGGAACATCCTAAATCGCTACGTTAACCCTTTCCTCTTGGAAGCTCGCAGCGCAGTGCACGGAAGAGAAGGTTTCAGAGAAAAACGGCAGTCTCGTGAGCCTGTCCCCATCGAGTCACACTGCTGCTCTTCACTGGCCGCGACCCGCACAAGCAACAGATTGTTTTGCAGATGTAGGCTTCCTTCAGGTGTGCTCGTTTCTACGCCATATCAGTTTACGCATTGGAGCAACGACAATTTCAGTTGTTATTGAATCTGAATTAAATGCTGATGTTAGCTTTTTCGTCTTTTGCTTTCTTTCCTCAACGGAAGCCCTCCCATTTGTCTCGCCATCACCGCATTGATGGCGCTTGTTGCGCGACGCCGTTGCTCGCGCACTGATTGAGCACAAAGCCGAAAGTGCAGGCAGGTTTAATAAAAACGATCGTGTTACTTGCTTTTCCTTAGTTCGCTCGCCGAGCCGTGAGGACAACAACGCGCGGAACAGAAAAAGAAATACAACGGCGCTTCATATAAGTGCCTCTCAGCATGCTCTACGAACCTCGGCAACGAAAGCGCAAGCGCCGCTGCTCACCTCCATCGTCCAACCTGGCCAACGCTGGAGTCACGAATCGCTAAACTCAATGAGGAGGAAAACGAAGAAAGCAAACACAAACGCAAAAGAAAAAAACAAGAACAGTAACATCGATCTACCATGAAGAAAGCCGACACGCGATTTCGTCCACCGAGAAACACGAGGCGAGAAAACACACCCACACGGCAACAAAAAGGCAAAGGAGGAAGAAGTGAAGGTCGAAAGGGAACAGGAATAAAGAAATGAATCAGAAGGAGGAAAAAAAAACGTGAGAGGCCAACGGTTGCTGCTCAGTAAACCCTTTCTCCATTGTGAAAGAACTATGCATGGGCACGTAAAATAAGACACCATAACTTCTTCCTAGTTTGCCGTCTTTGTAAAACAGCGGCACCGCAGGTTCGCATCTTTAAATAGCACGTTTTGTCTTGGCAAACGCACTCATGAAGTCTTCCTCCTCCGCCAGCATCTCCTCCGCCGTTCTGCTGTTGTGCCCACGAAGCGTCTCAAATTGCGGTGACTGCGTCTGTCCGCCCGCGCCCGTCACCTCCGGCGGCAGCCCGCTGGTGCGCCGCGAGTGCGCCTCCGTCGCCAGCATGTATCGCGGCGTCACCCGGCCCTTCAACCGCTTCTTCACCTCCAGCGCCATCGCTGCGTTGGGTGACTGCGGCGGTGGGTCCAACTCCTCCGCCACGCTGCGCCGCAGTCCGTCGTCTTGCGAGGCGGACAGCCGCAAAGGGGCCATGGTGACGCGTGGACCGTTCATCTTACCGGTCAGGGGAGAGGAAGAAGGAAGCGGAGCGCCGGAAGGCGGAGCGGCGGCGCCGGCATCGCTGCTGTCGGGCGTAGCGGAAGCATCGACGGGCGTCAAGTAGTTCGCACTCCCCGTCGTGGCGGAGTAGGTGGCGCGGCCCGACGGCGGTGACAGGAACGAGCCCTGCACGACGTCCTCGTGGTGTTGATGACTCGGCGTGTTGTATTGACCTCGTGCGGCGGCAGCAGCAGCAGCAGCAGCAGACCCCGATGTGTGCGAAGTACTCTGCGTGCCCATGTGGGGCACCTCCTCGAACGAGTGGTCGATCGCGCCACCGAACAAAACGCCGTAGGAGGTGCAAACGCAATCCGACTCGCCGCGCGCGAAGGACTGTACAGTGCCGCTGTGCCCACTCGCCGTCGCAGGGCCGGTAACCGTGTGCGCCTCGTGCGACCCCGACGGTGCCATCAGCTGCGGCGAACCCGCCGCGTCGATTTCCGGCGCGTAGCCAGCGGCTGCGGTGGGACTACCGGGCTGTCCCGGCAAGGGCCGCAACTTCATAATTCGGGGCCCCTCACCGCTGGCCGTGTGCCCGTGCGGCACGGCTCGATGCGCGTCGTCCTGCCGAGGGGACGGCTTCGGCAGCCTGTCCTGCAACTCCGTCGCGACAGCCGCGGTGTGCAAAGGGGACGAGAGCGCCGACGTACGCGCGTGTGTGACGTGGGGGGAGGGCCAGGAAGAACGATCGCCGTCACCGCCGTCACCAACGCCACATGGTGAACCCTTCGCCGTGCTAGCGGTGACTCGCGGACATGAGCTCGGCAGAGATGTCGCAGCAAAAGCAGCGGCGGTGGGCAAACTCGCGGTGCGGTTGTGCTCCGCCTCAGCCGAGCGCCGCGCCGGTGGAGCGGGAATCGCCTCGCGCACCGTCGCACGGGATTGCGAGTCGCGCTGGGGGTCGTGTTCGATACTCCACGGGTACAGCGGCCGCGGTGACGTCACTACGCCGCCGCTTGCGCTGTTGCGGAGCGCACCCGCCTGGTCGGTGTCCACACCAGCCCCTTCGTTTGCTGCCAGCGGCACCGACGCTAAGTGCTGTGCGGTGGCTTCCTTCGGATTTGCCAGCGTGGCCTCACCGTGGTTTCGCGAGATGCCGTAGCCCAGCGGCGATGGAAGCGAGGTAGGGAGGGAGGAGGGCTGATCAGCATCCTGGAGACTTGCACGGCTCGCTCGACTTGCCTGCTGGATACCCAGTGCTTTTACGAGGCCCTCGTTCTCTCGATCCACGGACGCAATCGCCGCAGCCGGTATCGCTGTTCTCGGCCGCGGTGAGCCGAATGCGTACTGCACGGTGGTGCTGCTGCCACCCGGCAGAACGTTGTGGATCGCATGCGGTGCACGGACAGGGTGCGCGTCCGCTGCCAGGCCGTGGGATGCCATCGTCGCCGCGGGCAGCCCGTACGGGCCCGGAGACGACGCCAAGGACACGGATCGCGGTTGTGCGGCCGGTGCTGGGGAAGGTTGCTGCATGTTGTTGCCCAGGGAAGAGGAGGCGCTCACGGTGGGACGCAGGGTGCGGCGAAGCAACGGTGACGAGCCGGACTGCTGCGGGGACACGTAGGCGGCGGAGTAGCCGGTGCGGTTCGGCAGGCCTGGTCCTGTTGTTGTCGGTCTAGCTCTGCATGAGTCGCTGTCCGACGCCGTGTCCGAATCGCCATCCGACCGCGAGGAGGCAGAGGAGGGAGAGGAGGGAGACGGCGGAGACGGCGACGGCTGCTGCTGTTGATCAAATTCGTCATTTGCGGGGTGCGCCGTGTCATCCCCCGTCGCCGTGCTGCCCTCCAGCGGGTCCACCCACAGCGCAGCCGCTTGAGGAGACACGATCTCTGCCGCACCTGGGAGGTTGCCCGGCACAGGCGACATCAGCGGCACCGCTTCGGATGAGGTGTAGCCCATAAACAAGGCCAGCTCCGCCGTAACGGGCATCCCAAGCGTCACACACCGCATGCCAGCTTCGAGGTTTGTTTGCAGCGTGCAGAATCGATCCCACAGTCTGCGCTCTAAGTAATTACGCTCTTCCGCTTCGTCCTTCTCGATCGTCTCCAGCCGTTTCGCGATGCTGCGGTGGCGCTCCTTTCTGCGCAGCTGCTCGCGGATGCGCTCTGCCTCAGACGGGCGAGGGCCACCGCGGCCTGCTGTTTTGGAGCCGTGGGCTGACCCGCCGCTCTGCACGCTGCTGGCGGACGGGCGGGTCGACGAGCGCAGCGGCTGCTGCGGGGGAGAAGCGTTGCTGCCGGCCCAGGAGCGCGCCAGCGGCTTGCGGAGCAGTCCCATGTTACTGCGATAGACGACACGCACGTTGGACAGCGCCATGTCGCTGTCGGCTTTGAACAGCTGCGTCGCGTAGCCTCGTCCGTTGACGGACCAGTACACATACCCGTCGCCGGCAAGCCCGATGAAGCTGCCGCGCTCACCGTTGAACTCGATGCCGTCGCCGTAGTGAAAACTACAACGCAGCTTGTTCGGAGCAGCCTCGAACTCGTAGAAGGCCAGGTCCGCTAACAGCGTGTACACCGGCTTGTCCACGTTCTCCATCGGGGGTGGTCGTTTGAAGTTCTTGAGCACAGGCTTGCTTTTCATGAGGGTGTCGTACCTGGACCGGTTTGTGGGGTTGTTCAGCATCTCGTACGCGCTGCTGAGCTCCTGAAACTTTTCCTTGGAGCCTTCGGGCCGGTCTGGATGGTAGGCCAAGGCGAGCTTACGATACGCCGTAGTGATCTCTGCTGTCGTGGCAGTCGGCGCGACGCCGAGGGTTTCGTAGAGCGTTTTCGCTCTAGCACTGGACGGCATGGACGAGCCGCCAGCTGCCGCGCCGTCCGAGGGTTTTGGAATAGAAGGCATTCTCTGAAGGAAAAGGAAAAATGTGTGACGTTCAAAGTATGGCGTTACTCGCAGTATACGAAGGAGGCGTCTTCAACTTTCTAAATCACCGCCAAACGTCAAACTTTCGGGGCTTCCGTCTCACTTCCTGGCTGAGAGAAAAAAAAGAAAGAAAGGTAACAGAGCGGAGTGCCAAAGTGCGTCGTCCGTTTCAGCTACGCAGCGAACAAACCGCGGCGGTACACAAAACCAGGAAAGGAAAACGATTGTAATCAATGAGCGAATCGGAAGAAAGCAAACGAACAAATGAACAAACACACACAAGAAACTATATCGGTAATAGAGTCGCGGACGGTAAAAAAGAAAAGAGAAAAAGAGGGGGAGAAAAGCCAACATGTAATGTCACTGATCTTGTGATAGTTAACGGACGTCTCAGCTCGATGGCAGACGCACGGGCGCTGGGAACAGCGCAACTGACTTGAAAAAAGCCTTTTCCGTCGCGTATTTCGTTTTGTCACTCGTTGTGTGGGGAACGTGCTTTTCTCCGGAACGTGCGTTACGTTTGCGTCGTTGATGCCGTGTGTGTTTTCCCAAACAGAGCTCACGAACGACTTTTAGAATGAAAAAGAAGAAGAGAAACTCTGTCGCTAAAGTGGCTCGTGTTCTCTTTAGCGCACACCTGGAAAAAGAGGGGGGAGTAACGATGACGCACAAACGCGTCGGAGAAACACAACAAAAAGAAAAGCGACAAGGGTAGTGCAGCAAATGTTAGCTGAAATACTCAAAAGAGATTACACGCACGGGAGCCTTTGAAATCAATAAGCTTATTTACACGTTGCTGTTTCGTTGCTAGCGTTTTTATCAGAGAACCAATCGCGATGAACTATAAGAGGGGAAAATGCTGAACAAAAGAAGACGAGTTTGGAAAACCACACACACAAAAAGAAAAAAATAATCAAAAACAGATGGGTCGCTTTTAAGTCTTATTTTTCCACTCGAAGTCCTTCTGATAAGATCTTCTTTCACCTTCGAACCGAAACGAACAAGGGATTAGAGATGGCAACGCAAAATGTTTTCTCAATTCCCCAAATGACACTGCTGGGTGCGTTTTCTATGTGAACGGAAAACAAAGAAAAACGATATATATTTTTGTTGTGGTTGTTTTGTATCGAGACTGTATTGTGAGAATAATAAAACGTTCTACTGTAAAAAGAGAAAAAAGGCTGACGAAAACAAAAAAAAACATAACCTGATTCGCTCCCGTTGAGGTGATACAAGTCGATGTTCGCAACTTCCTCGCCGTGATCGCGGATGCGTATCACCGTTCTTCTCTTCCTCTTAATGCTCGTGAGCAAAAAAGTGGTGCAAGCAACAGCACCGAGACAAAGGAAAAAGAGGTACGAATACTTTTTTTCTTAAGCCCTTAGATTGTGCTGCAGGTCAATTAAAAGTCCTCAAATGGACCTTTTTAGTTTATTCCTAACCGACGCGGCTATTGTTGTTTGACGGAGAATTGATCAACTGTGGTAAGCACGCAGGCAGGCAGTCAGGCAGGAAGGGAGATGGAGTGTTGAGAACGTGTGTGTGGTATCTGTGGTGAAAGAGGAGGTAGGCGAGCCGGAGTGCAAAGCAACACCATCATGCGCTTGACTACGCGGCGATTGTCAGAAAAGCGGCTGCTCGTCGCACAGTGTACAGAAAGAGTCCCCAGCACTGGGCAGTGCCGCAAATGTTGAAGGAAAGAACTGGCGGCACCGTAAGTCGCATAGACGCTTAGCGGGGAAGAAATCAAAATACGTCATGGCATTATGTGTAGTGAATAACTCTTTTTCCTTGGTTGGTGCTGTTGTGAAGAGCCACCGCTTTTTCTTGAACTGGATGCTATTCCTCGATTCCTTGTCGGATGTGCTTTCTGGAATACACGAAAAAAAAAAAGGCAATACGCCACCCAGCAAATGAGAAAGAACATTAACCAGGAGAAGCACGGTTAAGCTGAGGTGTGGAGCAACCTGATTTCAAGAGCGCTTACAACACCGAGAGCTTCGCACAGGAAGACACACCCACACACAAACCTCTGAAATCATCAGCATCACTATGGTGAATAGTTGCCGCCCAGGTTCACACGAAAGGGGGAGAGCCCGCCCAGCCTGTCTTCGTCCTCCTCGTCATCTTCGTCGCCTTCGTCATCATTGCCGAGGCCCAAAAACGTCGGTCTCGTGTTCAAAGCCAACGCGCCAAACAGACTCGCCGACGCACCTTCTGCTGACAGCCCACCCTGCAGTACCTGAGCCACCTTCTCCTTCCAGAGCACCTGTCCTGCTTTGTCATCCTCCTCCGTCCGCTGCGCATCTACGGCGCCTGGATTCAGGAAGGGATGGGTCATCGCCTCCCGCACTGTGAGGCGGTACTCCGGCATCTGATTCAGCATCCGCGTCACCAGGTCCAGCCCCTCCGCAGAAACGATGCCGGCGTGCAGCTTGTGGGGCAAACTTGCTTGTACCATGGTGGCAGTAGCAACCGCAAATGGGGCCTCGATCGATGCTTCGGCTTGTCCTGCGTCTCCGTCGTGCGACCCGGCGACGGCAGGCCTAATCCACGGCGGCGTCTTCGCTGGCATGCCCAGCAGCTTCTGAATCTGCCCGAGCAAGTCCAGCTCACTCTCCGCGCGAAACAGATTCTTCTGCAACAGCAGCTGCGCGAACATCACGCCCAGCGCCCACACATCCGCAGCCGGGCCGCACGACTGATCGCCGAAGAGAACCTCAGGTGGACGGTAGTGCAGCGTTGTCCGCATCGACGGCGGCGTGCACTCGAGGGACTCTCTCGTGGTCGAAGCGACGATAAAAGCAGCAGCGGTGTTGATGGAAGGAGCCCCAAGTGAAGGAGACGTTTCGGTTGGCTTCTCGTTCGGTACTGCCGGGGGCACGAAGCGGGCGGAACCAAAGTCGCCGAGTCGCAGCCCGCCATCTTCCGTCACCAGAACGTTGCTCGGCTTCAGGTCGCGGTGCACGACGCCGCAGTCCTCGTGCAGGAAACACACAAGACGCAACAGACGCCGCATGACGTAGCGTACGAGAGACACCTGGCTCAGCAGGGGACACCGTGAGCTGCTGCTGCTGGGGTCCGTCGCGTCGCTAGAAGGTATAGTCCCTAATCCATTTATCCCACCAAGTCCGGATGAAACACCCAAGCATGCGCCACTGCCGCCGGCAGTCGCAAGCCCGCCAAACAGCGTTACAGTGCCCGGCTTCTTTCGGCGGCCACCACCAACTCCGCCTATCCCGTGCCCAGCAAGCGGAACGAGAAGGCGCTCCAGATTTGTGGCCGCGAGCTCCAGCACCAGACACATTTCTTTATGCGGTGCCTCCACAATGCGATGAAGGCGCAGCACACGCGCGGAGTCATCGACAAGACACGTTCTACTTTGGGGGAGCGTACCGCTCGTGGTCTCCACTCCAGTTGCGATACCGTTTTGAATACCGGAAGACGACGACGGCGGCGACGGCGGCGTAGGGAAGCCGCGTTCCTGTGTCGGGTATCGATCCTGTTGTGCACACACGAAGCGGTGAAGCGTTACCTCGCGCAGCACCGTCGCCGAAATGTCACGCGCGCCGAAGTCGTTCGATTGAATGAAAATGCGCTTCACCGCCACGAGCGCTGCCGGCTGCTGCGGAGGCCACTTCATGTCGCGAGAACGCAACGGACACTTCTCACTGGCGACATCCGCATGAACCTCCGCTGCTTTCTCACCCGAAGTAGCGGCGCTTGTGTCGTACGCGGCGTAGACAGCGCCTTGGGCACCTCGACGGATGGGCGCCTTCTTTTTCAACCTGCTGCCCTTCAGCGTCGACGCCTGCGGTGGGTACGAGATGTACGCGAAACGCCGCGTGGTATTTGGGTGTTGATGCAGGGCGCTCGCCTGTTCATCACACGGCTCCGCCTCCACGCCTCGCGCATCATCGTCGCCCCACTGTTCGTCGTAAACAGACCACGTTGGTGATGGCGATCGAAGAGCCGGTTTGGAAGCTGGGAAAAGAAACATGTGACGGAGAGAAGATCCCGGTACGATGAGAAAACAAAACCGGTGCGGTGGGCGTTGACACCGGCGTGTGCAGGCAAAACAGAAAAAAAAAAAACAATAAGAATCTGTCGATGTTTTACGTCTATGCTGAAACGCTCGTCTGCGGCGTTACAGAATCTGCGTTCATTTAACAAACCAAAAACGGACGAGTACACTATAAATATATTTATCTGCAGAGCAGCAGTAGGATCTATGTTGTGATACACGCAAAATATATGAAGAACGAATGGGTATCGGTAACTGTACGGTTCTTGCCGGAGTGCTCTTGAATTCAAGCAGCACCAAAAAACTTAGAGAACAGCACAGTCGAATGTCTAGTTATAGTTAGGACCAGGAGGAGGAAAGTCACCGCATAAGTGCTCCACCGATCGTCAGCACTACACACGCACACGCGTGCGGCCAAGCCTATTCGGGCTAGCGGTGGTATATCCTACGTGAAGTTGCGATTCATTCAGCAACAATTTTTTTTCTCTCTCGAGTAACCTTTGTGATTGCGTGCTGTACGAAAACTCCAGCCTTGACTAAACAGTAAAAGCCGGCTACTTTTTCTTTTGAGACAATGCACTAAGTTCAGCCTTGCCGGTTTATCGGCGGCGGCTTGCCCTCTCTACTGCCGCTATTATCGTCCACGGAGCGCAAGGGATGCAACTCATCATGTTTCTCTTTTGCAGTTTCAAGAGCACACAACTTCACATAAGCATTGAGGTGCAAGAGCGATGTAAATACATGGCCGTCTTAAATCAAATAATAAAAGGAACGGAAATAAAATACGCAAACCGCACACGACCACACACCGTCAGCCTATGCAACTTGGCGACAACAAAAAACAGAGACCGGGAAGAAAGACTGCGAAACCACAGCAACCGTCTGCTCTTCAACGGAGTGAACCAAACAAAACAGAAGCGCCAACAAAGGAAGAAACAAATGCAGCACAACAACAAGTAGAACCCCCAAAAAGGATGTACATTTCAAAACGAAAAGGGAACGGGGGAAAAGCTAGAAAACTGAACAAACTCTATAGAACTGCTTTTACCCAGTTCGGAAGGACCAGCTTCGGCGTGCACAGACTTGACGCTCGCTCTCTCGACTCTTCTACACACACACACACACACACACACACACACACGCATTCTCACACGTGCTGAAAATGCTGGTTTGCGCGAAACTCCTCGTACAAGGTGAACATCACATGCAACGAGTCAATGAGCGAGGTGTATGTGGGGATGTCTAAAATAGCGCACAGGGTGCGAACGTACTGGTCTAGATCGAGGTCAATGTGGGAGGGTGGGAAGGCGATGTCAGAGTTCAGTACCTCCTCAAACTGTTGAGGCCACACCTGCATCAGCGTCTCGATGTCCGGCATGGGCCGTTGGTAGTTCACCGTCGGAAGCGCCTTCTTGTAATGCACCTTCTTAATATCCGAAATCCACCGGTCAATCACTTCCGGCCGGTTCGCCGCGTTTTCCAGCGAGTCCACCACCTCCGCCGCCACGCCGTGGGCGTTGGTCGCGTTCAGCTCGAGCAACACCACCGCCGGGTTCGATTGCGGGATCGTCGGCTCATCGACCACGTACAGCCCGAGGCCGTCCTGCTCCCCATCCGGGCGGGGGATCTTCACAAAAGGGTCGAGGTCCCCGATCGCGGGAATGTAGTCCGGCACAAACGGCCGCAGCTTCGCCGGCAGCTCCGCCTCAAACGGCTCGTAGCGCGTAATCGTGCTGAACAAGTCCTGCATCGCGCGGCTGGCCTTGGCGTTCACGCGCGCGTACTTGGCCGGGTCGTAGCCAAGCTGCGGATCGAGGGGCAAGGCGGCAGCAGGGGCCGTCTCCGCGATTTCGCCCGGCTTCTGTCCGGCGTAACCCTCGGCACGGTGCTCCTGCCCTGCGTCCTGGCCCTCCTCGTCCTCCTCTCCCTCTTCCTCTTCATCGTCATCGTCGTCGTCCTCGTCGTCCGTCGGCCGCATCGCGCCGCCGCCGCCCACGCGCATCGCCATCGGCGTCGCCACCTGGCTCGCGGGGCCCGACACCGGGATCGCCTCATCATGCGGTGAATTCTCAATCACGCGGCCCATTCTCCCGTCGCCGTCCACGTGGCCCGCATCGGCGCGGTCGGGCTGCAGCGAGGCGTGCGGCGTCACAACGTTCTCGGCGCCGGTCACCTCCACCCGCTCATCGTTGGGGTTGTTGGACATGAGCTGGCCGCCTTGCACCGATGCGGGCGGCGTGTTCTCAAGGTGCGACGCGGTCAGCTGCTGCACGGGGCGACTGCCGTTGCTGAGGCTGCTTGGTGACTGCGCGCCGACGCGGTCGTGCGGGCCGCTGAGCGTCGACGGAGACTGTGGGAACTTGTTGTCGCTGCCGTGGGATGATGGGACGGGAAGGGGCGCGTCGAGGTGAGTGTCGTTGCCGCTATCCGACGCCTCCTCGGTGCTCTCCGTGTTTTCCTCGTACTCGGATGAGCCGCTGGTCTCGTCGGAAGCGCGACGCATGTTCGCTTTCGTTTGGGTTTTTAATATATGATACAGGATCTACGCTTTGGAAAGGAAAGAAGTTAAATATTCATGAAAGGGAAGACAATTCAAATAATACTCCGACTCATCATCCCAATGAGTGGCGCTGATGAGACTGGCGGTGAGGATGCGATGAACTCTCCACGTTGCTTTTTTTCTTTTCGGTGTGGCTGGCCAGTGCGAAAGCTGTGATCTAAAAAGGAAAAGGTGCGGGGGCAGTAAGAGGAGGGGCAAGGGCGAGAAGGAAGTGCTTGCTAGTCGGCTTCAAGGCGCATAGAGAATAGGCGCCGCAAACTGGCAAGTAGAAGACTGCCCCACAAGCGCATATCAAAGGAAAAGAAAGGCCTTCAACGGTATAGCGCTGCAGAAGTTGGCATGAGGTTGCAGAGAAACAAAACAAAATAGTCTTCGTTCGTTTCTCTTGACAGGCATATGCGTTGATTTGGCCTTTCAATTCACGGAGACAGAGGGATAGTATTTACAACGGCTTAACGAAGAACAAGAAAAAAAAGAGACTTTCACGTACTTCGCCATTTTCTTTCAGCGTCGCTCTCCTGCGTCCACCGCGGGTTACAGGAACGGAAAGCGAGAAAAGATTTGTGAACAATTAACCAAAAGAAAAAAAAGCTTCAAGCACCCACGTAGAAACAGCACTTACAAAAAGAAAAAAGAAGATCGATTCCTATAGATCGCGCCATATCAAATAAATGCCGAAAAAAGACAGCAGGAACCCAAACAAAACAAATACAACCACCGTTGCAAGACAAGAGACACCCATGGCGCCCCAGAAGCCAAAGCGATCGAAACAGCACGGAAACGTGAGAAACATGGGGAGGGTAGGGATGACGTACCAAAGCGTGTACCACGCGTGATTCGAAATCAGCGTCCTGGACTGTCCCTCCACCTGTAACCAAATGAGGGTGAGGACGGTGACGATGGGTAAAGCGGCCAGCAACCCACCCAAGCGATCGCTGCGCTTCGCAGCCTCCGACACGCCCACGATGATGGCGGAGGTGAGGGCGTACTTGAACACCAAGTACACCGCGTCCATTTTGAAGGTCTCCGAAGTAATGTAGAGTAGTTTAAAGAATAGCAGAAACTTATTAGTTAAAAAGGGAAGCTCATCCGCTGCTTTTAGAGGAGACCTTTGGTTTTTTGTTTTTGGTTGTTATTGTTGTTGCACTGTCAAGCGTTGCACGTGTTCTTCTACAAGAATCACGCACGCTTGCATCAGGGGTTTCGTTGCAAGATAAAGGTCTTAGGAAGTGGACGACGCAGCGTACTCAGTGGTGGAACACAACACAGTTAAATCTATTTATATACGTACAACTGCAAAGAACACAAAAGAGAAGACAGGCGGTACTTGAAAATGAAGTTGCTTTGCAGAGCTATTGCCAACGTCTCATGTCTAATGCATCAGCAACAACAAAGAGCACAGTCTAAATATAATAGCAATCAAATAAAACAATTCAGAAAAAAAAAAAGAGAGAAGGCGGTAGAAGAGAAATGCAAAGTAGATGACTGCTCTAAAATGACAGATCAAAAACAAGAGGAGAGAAGAGAAACTCGAGAGAAAATCATGCAGTGTCCTCGCAGCCCGTGAAGATCACTTTTTCGATGGCTCAAAAGCACTCGACTGCAAGGTAGAGTGTTGACTTCGCATCTGGTATTTTTTTTTGTTTTGATGCGTACCGCTAACTCCAACAAAAATAAATAAAAAACGTTAAACAGAATCAAAAAGCAGTCGATGTTATTGCGATCACGTCGGAAAGCAGGGGTGCGCGAGAAACGGCGTTGAGCGAAGAAAGGCAGCGAGTACCTTTTATGTCCCAACGCGTTGACGGCACACCTACGATCCTCTCCGCGTCTTCTTTCTCGAAAGGCAACAAACGGGAAGGAGAATGCAGAGATCGCGACCTAGAAAAAAAAAAACACGAATCAATTAAAAAACATCATTGCGCTTACATGAGCTCAATTCCCCATCTCTTCATGTACAGAGCAAAAACTTGAAAAACAAGAACGATAAACACGCTCAGGAGCAACAGCGTCCACCAAAATTCGAGGTAATCGTACATCCACGGAAAAAATAAAAACATGGGAAGAGTAGGGACGACGTACCAGAACGTGTACCACGCGTGATTCGATATTTTCTCCGTTGACTCCTTTTCAACATGAAGCCAAATGAGAGTCAGAATAGTCACCAGCGGCAACGCAGCCAACAGACCGCCGACGCGGTCGCTGCGCTTAGCAACTTCCGAAATCACCACCACGAGCAACGAGGTGATGGCGTACTTGATAGGGATCCAGAACTTGTCCATCTTGTCGAATCGCGGTTTTGATCGTATCGCTTATAAAAGATGTTTTCTGTTAATTGTGTAGGTTTCGTTACACTAAAAAAAGCTTATATGCAGTTTTTTTTTTTTCATTATTGTTCTAAAGCCACCATTTCATGAAATGACGGGCGTACACGGTTTGCACTGCGAGTGAGAATTGCTTTGCTGCCATTTACGTCACTGTGCTCGAAAGAAAAGCGGCAAAATATGTTTTTCCCAGCCAAAATACGAAACTCAAGAGGAGCAGGAACATGTGCAACGAAGATGGAAAAGTGGAAATAGTTACTCCTGCAATATCTGCAGCAAAACCCAGGCTGTATCAACGCACGAGTACGCCACCATTCATGACTGCATCGCGCGTCCGGTTTCTTTTTCCCTTGTTGCCGTTGTTGACAACGCAGGACGGGAGCGGTCCTTTTCGAACTTTTCCCTCGAATGGAACTTCCACCACGAAAGCGTTTTCTTGTCTCTCTTCGTTCTTGCAAAGATCGTCCGCAGAGAGAGCAAATCAGCATGTGTGCCAGAGAAACGAAAAAGAAGACGTTTCCATTAACTTTGCCAGCAACAACAGGAAACGGATAAAGTATAAATGAAAACTACGGAAAAAGGGATATAGATTTTTGAACGCTTTAACAAAAACGTTTGCGTTGAACACCACAGCCCCAACCAGAAAGGAAAGGAAAAAAGATGAATCAGATCTCAAAGCTCCCTCACAAAAAAAGAAAAAGCGACAGAGACGCTTTGGGTTTTCAGTGGAGATCACCCACACACGATGAAACAAAGATAAGCCTCTGTCTGCACGCACACGCAGCGCATTGTCCATTATTGTTTTACGATATACATGGAAGCACACATAACGCATGAAAACGCCGATCATACTCAACCGCATTGACCACAAAAAAAAACCAGTGACAAAAAGGACGAAGGATAATAATAATAACAGCAACAGGGAAAACAAGTAACCTGCGAATACAGATGGAATGAAATGTGATACATTTTCGAATATATATATCGGAGTTCTTGTTGTAAAGATGAATGTCGTGTGTTCTGACCGGTCCAGTCGTTGAGTTGTTCAATCGAACAGGAATCGCGCTGCATTGGGCACACGCACGTAGGTGTGTATTGACTGGCCAAACACCCTTTGTGAAACCCACCACCGTTACGAAAGGTTCTGAATCACGGAAGGCAACTGAAAGTCAGCTGGCTTGGCCGCGTCCTCCTCGAGTTTGCGCTCTAGCTTCCGCTTGATGTACATCCGGAACGCCTCTGAGCAGCGATTGAATTGCAGCTTGAAGGCGTCCTCGTACCGACTCGGCGGTGTCGTCTTGAGAAACCCGTACAGGTCGCTAATTCCATCCGCAGACGTCACGTGATTGCGGATACGCGCGAAAACGTCGGTGAGCTCCTTCGTAACGTCCCCGTGTCCGCTGTTCACCTTCGTCGGTGTCGTTGTAGAAGGAGTGACGCAGGGAGGAGGCGAGGAACGCGCGGTGGCACTGCCCCGCCCGCTGTGGATTGGCGTCGTCGCCCCTTGCCGCAGGCGCGCCTTGACCGGAGTCCGCCGCGAAGTGACCGGGGCCGGTGGAGACAGCGTCCGCGCGACGCCAGATCCACCGGTGGCGGTCGCAATGGAAGTAGAAACGGGAGACGTGATTGGTGCTGCGCCTGGCTTGGTTGTTGGCGCGGTTGGACTCACAGGTGCCGCCTTCACGGACACATGCGGGTCCACGTGCCCGCTTTGGCGTCTCTTTCGCGGTGTCGGCGTCGTCGTACGTCGCTGGGGGGTGGTGGACAGACCAGGCGATGCTGCAACAGCAGAAGCAGAAGTAGCGGTCCCCTCTTCTTTCGTCGGAGGCGCGGGGGATTGGCTGGCACGTTGTTCGTGACGGCTCTCCTCGATCACCTGCTGTTCGTTCTGACCCTTGTCCTTCGCTGCCTTCTCCTGCATGTCGAGGCAGGCGCGGATAAAGTGGGTGACCAAATTCTGTGGGCCGACCAGCTTCTCTGCGGTCGTCAGCAGGGACGGGCCGTGACGCTTCGTGGCATTCTGCAATATGGTCTTGACGGTGCGGATGGACACGTCGTCCAGGTTGCGGAACGCACTCGGCGGGTGCTGCAGCAGGTACTCGTGGCAGTACACCACGGTAGTGTCTGCGGACACCTTCGTCAAGTCGACCCGCATGATGCACTTTACGGTCACCTGAATGTACTTGAGGTCGCTCTTGTGTCCTGACGCGAGGTACGCGCCGGAGTAGCTCGAGAGGCGGTTCATCAACGCAGTGAACATGTCGTCTTCGCCACAACCTTCTATCATCTTCAGCGTCAGCGCATTCAACGCCTTAATGACGGGCTCTTGCAAGGAGAACTTCTCCGACAAGAGGCAATCGAAGAAAACGCCAGTAATTCGAAGGAGCAACTGGCTGTGGCAGCGCGCGGTGCACTTTGATGTCTCGAACAGCGCTGTTAACGAGTCGATCAGCGCCTTGGCTAGGTCCACGTCGAAGTTCTGCGTGTTCTCGTACAGGCGCTCCACCATTGCCTGAATTACTTCAGGTGTGCCGCAGTCGACGCCGGCGCGGAGGTGGCGGTTGAAGTCGCCGCACATGGTCTGCGCCACATCTGGCGTGGCAGAACGCAGACCGACGAGGATTTCTCGTATTGTGTACTTCTCTCGCTTGCTCTCTGCTGCCACGACGGCGTCTCTTGGCAACGACGGCGCGGTGTCTGTCGGCGGGAGCTGCGCCTGCGCCGCCGTCGTGCTGTTGTTCCCTTTCGCCGCTGCCTTCTTCTTGGGTGTCACGTACACCGTGTCGGGTGTCTTCGCCGGATCTGCTGCCCCACCCGTTGTAGCCGGAGCCGACTTGCCTGCAGCGACTTCTTTCTTTGCACAAGTTGCGGGTGATCGTTCGCGTGGCGGGGCAGCTGTGGTGGCCACAACGCTGTCCGCCGCGCTCGTAGTGACCGTACGCTCTAGCGCAGTAGTGGACAGCTGCGTGACGCCGTCACCTTCCTTTGCGTGCGTCGCGGCCCGCGCGCTGCTCCGGCTTTCGCGGAGGGAGTTCACCGACCCGCGGCGGTGCGGCGTGTCTGCGGCAGCAACCGTCACAGCGGCAGCGCCGGCTCGAGATGTCGCCGCCATGCGTGGTGTGGTACGGCTACCCTCCTCATTGTCGCACAAGCTGTTCAGCGTAGTGTTGAGGTTCGCGGATGGCGACGGCGACTCCCGACGCTCCGGCTCAGGCTTCTCTGACGCTTGAGCGGTGCTACGCTGGTGCTCCAACTGCCGCTCAATGGCCGGCATCACCACCTGCTGCTCGGCGGGTTTGAGCCGCTGGACGCACTGAAGCACGAAGTCCTCACCCACTACACCGATCATCCACCCAAGCACCTGCTCTGCGATGATGCGCACCTCGAGAATGCGATCCATCATCGAGTTGATCACCGCTGGCGCGAGCAGCTGCGTCCCCGCTCGCGGCAGCGTCGCTTCCGGCGGCAGCTGCTCAAATCCGCTCACCATCATCTCCAGCACGTTCTGCCGGCACACATTCGATTCCGATGCAAGAGGCTTCTGCAGCAGCGGCAACATCAGCTCAAGTCCTACCACGCGCATCACTAAGAAAGCCACACTGCGTGCTTCCTCTCGCAACGCAGTTTTCTGATCTCCAAGCATCGCCAGTACGCCTGGCGCGAGCCTCCGCAGCGCCGCGGCGCACTCCCCCGCGACAGAAGCCCCGACGACAACAGGAATGAAGCGGAGCACGTCCACGACGATGTTCTTGTTGGCCTCCTCAAAACGGCTTTGAAGAACCTTGAGCAGCGGGACGGCACAGTTTGCCGGCAGCGGACGTGGCGTCTCTTCGACAAACTCCTCAGCGTGGCGCAGGCCTGCGAGACGATCTCGCCAGTCATCTCCGGAGGTGATCTCGAGCAGGATGGGGCGCAGCGAGGATGGCGGCACCGTCCCGGCAGCCGAGCTGGCACGCGGTGACGGACCTGCAGAGCTTGTACGTCTCGTAGACAGGCGCGATGCCGGGGCAGAGGGGAGGGCGTTGGCGCCACTGGCGTTGAGCAACGCGACAGAGTGTCGGTTTAACGGGGCGTCGCCGTCGTCACTGCTCACGGTGCGGCGATGGGCCGTTGGGGGGTGAAACGACGACGGCACCGATGCCCGCCCACGAGCGCCAGGACCCGGGGATTGGCTGGAGGTGCGCACGCGTTTTGCCGGCGCGGACGTCGGAGCCGCGGCAGAGCCGGTGCCGCTTGCGTTAACCCGCTGTGGTGGCAACGGCGCACCGGCAGCCGGCACGTTCGATCGCGACGAATCCGGCTTGCTCATCTCGCGCTCGTACATCGCTGGAAGCGGTGGCGGGAGGGAAGCAACGCATCGGTCGATGGCCGGCGTCCCGCGTGATGTGCGACGCAGATCGGCAAGCAGCAGCACCATCTCTTGCCGCACCCCGGTGTGATTGACGTCGGTGCACACGGCGCGAACAAAGTGCAACATGCCACGCACGTCGACCGCGTCTGCGTCGGACTCCTCGCTGTCCGGCTGCTGCTGCACCGCCTCGCGCACGTACTCGCACACCTCCTGTATCAGCTTCGGCGTCTTGACCACGGTCACTGTTTCAAGCATGTGTCGCACGACAAAGCGCTTGCCCAGCTTCTCCGCGACAAGCTCGCACACCTCCCGCACCAGAGGCTTATTTTTGGCCTCCGAGAGGCGAGGCGTGAAACCGGACACGATGGCGTAACCGGCACCGAGTGACAGCGTCGTCACTTTTCGTACTGCCTCCTGAAAGACCTGAGCGATGAGAAGAAAGACCTGAAAAATAGGCTCACGAAACGACGGGTGCACGCGCACGTAGACAACGAGGTAGTCCATTCCACGAGTGGCCTGAGCCGGCGTCCATTGCTGCACCATCGTCAACAGCTTTGTGACGCCCTCCTGACGACGCGGCCACTCCGTGGAGCGCACCATGTCCAGCACCGCGTTGTCGCCGTTCAGAAACCCTAAGATCATCGTAACGGCCTCCATTTTGGGAGGCAGTGAGGACTCCAACGATATGCCATCCTCCGGAGCATTCTTGCTCGGGGTGGCGGCGCCGCCACCAGGGCGGCGCTCGCTGCCAGCGCGGCGCGAAGCCGCAGCACGGGCGCTAAAAGACAGTTTGTCCGCAGGAGAGGAACCCAACGGGGTGCTCTCAGGAATAGTAGAGGACGTGCGCGGTACGTGCTCGCCGCTCTCATCGTGCGACGTAGAAAGACGACGTGCGGCGGACGACGCCGCGCCCGACGATGCGGTGCGCATGCGGCTCGTGGTCCCTACAGAGGAGGTCTCCGCAGCAACATCGTCTAGCCGTGGCATTTTCTTCGCTGGAGAGCTAGACGGAGTCGCGCTACAGACACCAGAAGCGGGCGGGGTAGGGAGGTTCGACGCGGGCCGCGAACCCGTGGACCGCGGTCCAACACCGGATGCTCCACGAGCCACCGCAGCGGCCATATTGTGACGTTGGTTGTCATCCAGCGTAGAAAGCACCGATTTGTATTGTTCTTCCCCATTAGCTCGAATGAGCTTGTCCAGCAACACGTACGCGATATCACGGATAGAAGATTTCTCATCGTTAACGAGGCGCGTCAGCATAGCAGTAGATTTTCCAAGCTTGGTGTAGCGATTTTTGTCGCCCAACACATCGATCATGTGCACGCAAAAGTTGACAATCGCGGCACGCTGGGTCGGATTCTTGCTCTGCAACGCCTGGTCAATCTCCTCGTTGCACTGATCCATCGAAACGCAATTGAAGTGAATCAAGTCCTCCAACGTTTTCATGACGTGAAGCTGCACGCTCAGTTTCTTGTCTTTTAACTTGTCAAGCAGCGGAGCAACGTACGTTCGAGCATAAGGGCCAAAGTCGCTGCGCAGACCACGTGCGCATTCCTGAATCATCTTGAAGCCCAACAGCATCAGCGGCGCCTGTGGATCGACAAGGTACACCTTCATCATGCTAGCAAGCTCGTGGTAGTCATCCTTCGCTCGAAATCGAGGCGCTGCTAAAAGCGGGAGGAGGTTCTCGTTCACATACTCTACGCGCTTCTGCCACGTAGTTTCCTTGTCTAGGGTGATGCGGAAAAACTTTTTGGGGAGCTTCGGGATCACAGGCGACTCATCCAAAAGCTGGAATCCGACATCATCGGCGACGCACCCTTCCTCGTCACCCGTCAGCGACACAATCGGCTTCACGGTTGCGTTTTTCTCCGTGCTGGGTCCTCCGTTTCTATCAGCGCAGCGAGCCCCTTTGATGTTCTTCGGTGGCGCTTCGCCAACCTTGACAGACTCGAATTGCTTCTGCAACTCTTGCAACTGAACATCGCGAAGGTCGGTAAGAAAACCTTTGATACTTGCACCGATGTAGCGATAGCATTGACAGCACAGTGACACAGCTTCTTTACGGACCTGTGCGTTGGCATCGTTGAAGAGTGGCTGCATGGCCTTGAGAATCTCCTTTACCGGGAAGTGCTGAACGCCATAGTCTGCCACAAGCGAAGCTGCGAGCTGAGCGGCAGCAAGTCTGTTCTTCGGCGCCCGATGAGCAAATGCCGGCAATAGCGCCGAGAAGACGGATCTGGCACACCCTTCATGCACTAGCGTGCTCACAAAGTTCTGGCCCGCCTGCGCGGCTTTCGGTCTTCCGGTGATGCCTTTCTCTATGACGAAAGGGAGAGCCCGTTCAGCTAGTTGACTACGTTCGGCTTCGCTACAGTGATACAAGACAGCCGCTAGTGCCTCGATCGCTGCTTCCTGTACCACAGCGTTTCCTTCTGCCACGATCGGCTTTAGTGTATCTAAAACGAGTTGTTTGTTTTCGATGGGAGCACGTTGCACCTTCTCAAACCCCTCCTTTCGCGCTTTCCAGTTGCTGTGCGCCACGAGTTCGCTCACAGGGCGTGACCGGAAGTCCTCGTCAGGTGCCACCGCTCCATCAAATGGCTTCGCACCAACTCCGCCGCCAACAGGGCGGCTGTCTATATCCATTTCTTTTTCCTTTTTCAGCTGCGACGCCAAATTGAGTTTGAAAAACACAAATTTGGGATAGTGTGAAGCCGTCCGACTTCAAATGCACTCTGTATTTGTTCTATCCTATTGAGACAATGTTAGAGAGAAGCAAAGAACACAACAGAGAGAGAGGAATACTAAGAGAGACACGGAAAGAAGGTTAGGCAAAAAATTGCTCATTTACGCACTAGCAAAAAAAAAAAACTCATGTCCAGTGTATCGGGTTACGTAAAATTTTGAGTTGTCTTCAGGGTCAGAACAAGTGGCAGTTTATCCAAAAGACATTTTTTTCTTTTCAAACGAGCACAGAAACTGAGTGAACGCACCCCAGTACATTCCTAACTGGTGCAAAGTAGGAGAAACCCCAACACTATTGACGTCTTCTAGCAAACGCGACACAATGCCAGAAACCTCATTCGGATAAGCTACGAGGCAGTCAATTCTTCTTTGCTTTGTTTTAGAATTCAATTTGCATTTCACAATTACCACATCTCTTTATCTCCACAGGACGAAGTGGCACGTAGTGTTTTATTTTTGTGTAGTGATCATACCTACCAAAGGTCTTGACAAGCTCGAGACGTCGAAAGGAACACACTAAAAGGTGACAGCGGTTTTTAAGCCTTTAGAAAGCAAACGCCACAAGTATGATGCACTGAGAAGACAGAAAGGAATAGGGAGACTTATTGAAAAGAAAACTTAAAGATCTCCACCCATGATTTTTCTTTTTACAGAGGAAAAAGAGGGGAAAAGGTGATAAAGCAATGATGTTGGCGGTCACAAGAAGTCTCCCGTCTATGTGTGTGACCTGTTCAACTGGGTGTGTCTATTTGCTGTTGCGAGCGGCGAACTCTTTCAGCAGTGCCTCGACTTCAGCGTCCACATTGTCAACCTTTGCAACGTTCTTGCGCTCGTACACCTCCACGTATCGGTCGTTGCGGTTAACTATAATGACACCTGCACCAACGATCACTTGGTTTGTTGACGGTGTAGTTTCAGGGGTATCGGACAAGAAAGTAGCATCTACGTTGCCCAATGTGTGCTCCGAAGCTGTGGTGAAGCCGTTGCTACTATTTGAGGTCGATGCCGAGGATCGTTTGATCTTCTTGGGGTTGACTGAACGCTTATTGGTGCGGCTGAGAATACGATATAGCTTTCGGATAATGAGAAAGTAAACTGCCCAGACCCAGTATTTCCGAAGAAAGGCAATCAGTTCGGGGAACACTGTGCGCGCAATTTTCGCCGGACTTAAGCTGTACAACGAATGCCGCACAGCTGACATTGCCGCCGGCAGCTGGTCTGACACTACGTCGCTGTAGAAAGACATGTTGAGCTCGACTTTGACAAGCTTCGCGACCGAAAGGGGAAAAGAGGTTGGACAAGAAAAGATAAAGAGAGAGAGAGAGAGGACGAAGTGTTTTCGAGATTTTAGTGCCGTTACCGTGTAAACCTTACTGTTTTGTGGTGTGTCAGGACCAAGTGGAAAGAAACTCTAGCTTTTGAGTTGGAAAATGCATATTTCACAATTTTCATAATCGACACGCGCAAAAAAAAAAAAAAGGGATCAGTCCCTGCGGGAGAAAATTCTTCCCGCACACAGCACCGCCCTGTTGTTCGTTTTCTTTTCCGTGGTAATTTGACAACCATGAGAAGCGAGCGTAGCGTAAAAAAAAAAAAAGGATGAGGCACAACACTACACGACACAATGTGCGCAACGAAGAACAAAAAAACAAAATGTAGTACAGAGAAACAGAAGTAAGAATTTATTGTTGTTAACACTTAAAGCGAGAGCGAGAGCTGTCAAATTGGAAAGGCTTAGCCTGCTATAGGAGAGCATGTTTCTTTCGATGTTACGGTCTGCGATTGCCCGGTTCCTTAAGCACACAGACATATACAGCTTTGCAACGCGTTCAGCAACTGCGACGACAGCTCAAGGAACAATAAAGGGGTCACACACTGCCCACAGGGGTTCATACACTGCTTATACAGCTCTAAAAGACGACATGCTGTTGCTCCTCCTTTGTAGCAGGCACATGAACAACACATTGCGACTCTGCTCTGTCCCATGTGAAAAAAGTTGTGTTTTTGATAATCTTTGCAGCAGATTAAGTCCCACAGGCACTGCATTCGCATAGGAGAATGCACCACATGAAGAAGGTCGAATAAAAAGGAGAGTTAAAGTGCTTGGTCGCAAAGAGTAGTGTAGCGAGGATTTAGACACGTCTGCGGATTTATTTGCGCATTGTCAGAGTTTCCATCCTGCTGACATTAGTTTAACGTGATTGGATGTAAGTGCGGCAGCACGCGTTGAGTAGCACAAAGTAGTCGACAACCCTCGTCCAGTTGTCAAATTCCATCTGATTCGGGGCGATGAATGTTACATAGAATTTATCGGGAGCCGCGCAGTGAATTGTGAAGGCGCGCTTCGGCGACTCTAAGAACCGTCGTTCACCGTCGGCGCAAAGAACTTTCCCATCTTTCCTCAGATGATGATCCTTTTCCACAGACTCAAGCCCAAACGTGAGCGACACGATAAATGACATTGGAATGTACCCGTCAATCACGGAGGGCTCGTCAGGATTAAAAATCGCAATGCTGGCCTCATCCGCGTCAATGCCGTGGAGCATTCGTAACGCTGCACCACACTTCAAAGGCGAGTTGGGCTTCTCGTTGAAGACGTACAGTCTAGTACCATTCTGCAAAGCTTCCATGGCTCTCTGCACCCTCGGCGAGATCGGAGGCCGCTGCAGGAGTGGGAAAGATGGCCAGACAGACATCACATAAATAGCACATGCCACTACGTTTTTGCCGTAGCCTTGCTCTTTCAAGAACTCTGCAAACTTCCCGTCCAGATTTCTGTTCAAACGGCCCAATTTTGACTGTTGATCTGGGTCACCTTTGCTTGGCGGGTCCGGGAACAGAGTAGGGCAGCGCTCCAAGCTTTCGTGGATGCGTGTGCTCAGGCATCGCTGAAGATAGCGCTGTTCTCTTTTGGTCGAGTAGGCCACATGGGAGTACACGTTCCAGATTGCCACGGGGTCAATTTGATCGCGCGGAATATGGATCACTTTCCTGAGATTCGAGTCGTTGAACACCACGTGTTTCGCATTTTGTGGCTGTTCCGCTTCTCGCTTGTCTTCAGTCTTCGTACTCGCCTCGGCTTTTGCATCCTTCGATGCTGCCGGTGTTGCTGCTGCGGGTTTACCTTGGTTATCTATTGGCGACTTTTTCTTCTTGGAAGCGGCAGCCTTTGCGGAGCTCATGGTAACGTATGCACCGCGGCTTGTGAGTGCGGTGTGTATATGAGTGAGGAAGCTGTGCTGCGAAGGATCACCGAAAGCAAAGAAGGCCTTCCGACTACTGCGCTTCGGGTGTTGCATCAATTAAAGAAAAAAGGAAGAGGATCAAGAGGGACCGAGAGTGAGATGAAAATGAAGTTTATGAAGAAGGATGCACGGTATTGATCCATTCTTTTTCTATGAACCCAAGCAGCTTGAATCATGGTTTCTGCTACGCCGCGCTTTGGCAGCGTCAAAAGAGAATGCGGGCGATCCGTAATCGTGCGAGCTGGTAATGCGGTCGCGATGGTTGGGGCTTCGTGTCGGACAATGTAGTATATCGATAAAGTTCTTTACGCCTTAACTGTTCTTCACAAGCCGCGTTTGTGCGCCTCAGAGTCAGCGGGGCTTTTTTTTTTGTTGTGTCGCGGCGCCCGTCGGTCTTTTTGGTTTGGCGTTGGCGTTGCGCTGC